AACCAGTGAATAATCATCTCTGGATGACGATATCCTACATGATATCATCAACCCGAGAAATATTTTACTTTCTCGAGAAGATAACATCTCACCCAAAAGATATAGTCAACCCGAGAAATATTATTTTTACTCGAGGACGACATCTCACCTAAAAGATATCACCAATCCGTGATGAAATAGTATCTCGGAAAGACGATATCTAACCTACAAGACATCATCCATCCGAGATATACTTTTTCTCGAGAAGATGACATCTGACCAACACGATATCTTCAACCCGAGAAATGTTTTCTTTCTTGGGAAGAGGATATTTCGCCTACAAGATATCATCGACCAGAGATTTTTTTTTCTCTAGAAGACAACATCTCACCCTACAAACAAGATATCACCAACCCGTGATGACACAATATCTCGGGAAGACGATATCTTATTTACGAGATGTCATCAACCCGGGAAATATATTGTTCTCGGGAAGACGGCATCTCACCTACAAGATATCACCAACCCGTGAACACTTTCTCGGGAAAAGGATATCTTACCTTCAAGTATAATTTCGCGAAAACTACCCAAATGATGTCCTCCTATTTTATAAAATGACAGATGTTCATCAACCCATGTAATCCTAGAGCTCAGTAACGTGTGTCTACCTATTTAAAAAAAAAAATGCATAAGAATGCACTTCCTCGATAAAGAATTTCAATTGACTATATACTGTTAATTATTTTTCTTTTTGTAAGGATCAAGCTACGATTTGCCTAATGATTTTTATTGTGCCTCGAACAGGTAATGTTTGTAACTTTGAAATTATTATATTTTTTTAAAAGATTTTTTAAAGTTAATTTTTACACCATGGCTGTGCCAGGTCAAGCTCCCTTACGCTGCTGCTGGTGTGCTCGGCTGCCTACGCGTGCCATGTGCCTATATAACCCCACCCACCCCGCCTTAATCCTACGCCTTAAACCTGAACCGTAATCATTCATTTAATACAATCATAACTTTGCCTTATTTGCCTTCTTCCAAACGTCGAATTTCGCTGGTCTCGATCTCAACAGCTGGTCCTCTCCAATTCTTATGTGCTCCAAATGATTCCGTTGGCCATCTTTTAAAATTTAAATTTATACAATCATAATCAAAATAATTCAGCTCTCAGTATGTTTTTCTTCTGCTGTCCTCTTGAACTTATAGTTGCATTTATAATCTACAAGTTACCCTGAAGCTAATGGTGTAAAGTTCATTATTTTGAGCAATTTATACAATTTTGGATCCGTAGATACATTGTCCATAAAATTGATTTTGGTCCATTGGAATGCCGCCCTATAATACTCTAAATAGTGTGCTTGCATTAAATAATTTCAGGTCAATGATAAAATCCGTTGGCTCCGTTGTTAACTCCTCGAGTTCATGGTGTTGATGTTTTTCATTTCATCTTTAAAGGGAATATACAACATTTGCAAACATCGAAAAATAAAACTACCAAGTTTTTGCGAAATACCTTAATAGGATGTTGGTAAATGACAGTCTAAAGCATCCTGTAAAATTATGGCACCTGGTATACTGTCATTTTCAAGAAAAGTGGTATTTTTGTATCAATTTCCAACGCTGATCGGCCGATCAGCGTTGGAAATAACTGGCTTTTTTTCAAATACTGGCCCCAATTGACCATCGCACTTGTTTGCAATCGATTACAAACCTATGAACGGGTACGAGCCAGCTAGACTGGTTCCCTGACCTTACAATTCCCCAATGTATGTAAACTGCTCTGTTTCTTCTTATATGGAGTCAGGGAACCAGACTACAGGAAAATGATCGTTTTTCTTGGTTTTTATAGCATTTTCGAACCCCAAACCTCCAAAAAGTCAGTGTAACTATATTTGCTTTATATTTCCAACCCCCCAATCCCATCCATTTCTGAAAATTACAGCAAAAGCAAATGATGTATATTCCCTTTAAATAATCAAACTATTTGTTCTGGTATGAAAGGTTTAAACCAGTAATTTAATACAATTATAACAAAAAGGCAAACCAAATTCCAAGGAACCCTCCGAACATGTTTACTCCAACTTTTGAGTAAACCCCTAAAAGCCCCTGCCTTAGCTTGCTGGAATGTCTTTGAAAGTTTAGCAAAGACGATGCACCTGGCTGCATACCGCGCGCGCGGCCTTTCAACTTTTCGACCAATAAGAATCTTCGGAATCTATGGACACGCCCACACCACGCCGGCCACGAGCGGCTCACGTGCCATCTCCACCGCTGCACTCACTCTCGATTTTGCTACTGTAACAATCCGTGAAATGCACAATGCACCAAAAGGCGTGTACATGTATATGTTTTGACAAACAAAATTTAGCAGGTATTCACATGCAAATTACTCTAAATCAAATGGGCTTTCGCCTACAGGAATTGAATTTCAACGTACAATATTCAGCAATGCAAAAGACAAACTCGCTGCACAGCAGACTCAGAATGGACGCCATTTTGTTGGCAACAAACACATTGTGAGGTGCTTATTCTAATATCTAGATATATTTTTAAAAATGAGATGCTAAGTAAAGAGAAGAATTGCAGAGTCTTATCGCACAATATTCAACAATGCAAATACAACCTCATGTACAAAATGCAATATATTACGCTTACTGTAAATAACATTAAACTGTTTTCATTACATCAGATTTAAGGACCAAAGAGAGGAATTTCTCTGGCTTCACTTAACTACTTCGAAGTGAGATTAAAAATAAAAATACCGGCAGAAATATCAGGTGCAATATTGCTCAAAAGGCAGAATATTCAGACGTTTTTTTCTCTTTTGGTTCTGTGTGACAGGAGAAGATAAATCTTCACTCACCTCGATAGTTCCTTAATTAATGTTGGACTTACCCCGACGAACTCCCAAAGCTTGACTTCAGTATATTCCATAAACGTCATTCAGATCATTCGACAAAATTATGAGTTCACAAACATTCCATGTGTCCATCCTGTCCAGTTCAGCACAAAATGAGTATTCAAAGGAATGCAGTTGCGAAGTCCAGTTCAGTTCTGTAAAACAAAAGTTATGACAAGTTCTGTAGGCCTACAGCAAAGTTCAAGTCAGTTTTTCAGTATGGTAGTCAACGACGCAACATGTGTCTGCGTCGAAATGATGCCGTGACCCCGAACACGAGGCCGCTTTCCTGGTCGAATTGCAAGACTCCAAGCGTCAAAAATTGATGTTTTATCGCGCACATGAAGACTCCAGGGTATGATGTACAAGTTTCCGCGTTGATGGCTTGAAGCTAGACGGCCGACTCGGAGGTTAAAAACTCAACTTTTGCTCGTGAAATTTGAGGCAATTGTTTTGGTGATTGACCAAAAATAGCGGGAAGACATTGCGTGCTGGCCCAGTGTCCGTTGACCCCGTTCTCGGTAATTTTCCATGGTGTAATGATATGGAGGTGAAAAGTGTCATTTTTATATCGCTGGCTGTTGCTCCGTATACTGGGGTTGGACTATACTCAGTGTGTATTTCTCCGCACAATAATTTTCTCCGCTTTGACCTATTTAAACATAATGTCAAAAATTTCATCGTGAATGAAAATTGTCCATTAAAGAAAATGAAACAAATATGAAGGAATAATCTTCATTTCCAGATGGAGTAGCATCAGTTTCGGGGAAAAAATGCCCTATTTTTTTTTTAAAGACGGGAGGGCATTTTGAGGAAGTATCCGTGACGTAGCGCGCGTGGCTCGCGTGGCCTCTTTCTCATTGGTCAGCAATATGTTGGTGACGTCTTCTCGTCAGTCTAGCCAATTTGATTGGACGAAGGAGTCTGGTAAAAAAAAAATGAGCAGACGAAAATGTTATACATTGGTACCGCACAGGATGATGTTTTAGCAGATTTTCGGCTAGATGTGACGGAAATCCCGAATCTAGCAGAAAATCCAGCATATAAGGAAAGTTTTAACATATTTCTAACACAATTCTGTAAAATCGGTAATCCTATTAAACAAATATAGCAGATTTTGTTTTGAAGATGCTTCAATCACTTGAAATAAACCCTTGATTTGAACTCACTGTGGGAAAATAACCTTTTATCTTAATTATCCTGATTATATTTTCGTTTATAATCTCAAAGTTTTATAACAACTTCGTTTTATAATAACAAAATGAAGAACACAGGCATGAATGTAAAACAAATTGTACGATATGTAAAAAATATAAGGTATCTATAACAACGGGAGAAAATAACTCAATGCCAGAAAAAAAAAACTATTTTTAATACCGACTAAAAAATACAAGGTTGCCATCCATAAAGGTTTATGAAAATAGGCCTCATTAAATGAAGTAATTAGCACCAAAATGAAATACATATCTGAAAAGATAATCAGGACACAGATGCATGATTCTTTTCAATGCATTTCAAACATAATCCAAAACACTTAATTTTTTTTCTGATTTGTGCTTCAACGCCACACCAATGCAGGGCGCCCCCTTTCGAAGGTATAGTTGCTAGAAATTAAAGGGGTGTAACATTAAAGGTGGCGCAGGCTGAGCGGCCGCTGGCCCAGACGCCTGTTCTCTAGAATTTTGGAAACGAAGATAGGTTCCTTGCTCTATGGGAGATGCAAATTTTATTTAAAAGAAGCCAACAAAATATAATAATAATAATAATAATAATTAATAAAAGATAAAATAATAAACATTGGCACCCCTAAATTTTGCCCAAAAATGAAAACTAAAAATTACAAAATACTATCATACTAACTCAGGCTAAAAAGAACCATGTGATTCAAATGTGACTTAAATGGGATTTTTCCCACCCATTATATTTATCATAACTTTTTTTAAAGCAGAAATTTAGCCATTGTAAAATTAGGTTATAATAGCTCGGTTCGTCAAAAAGATAAAGTTGTGTATGTCGCTGTAGTATTTTTGTTTCACTTTAAAGTATTTACTGAACAGTCTGAACATCTTTCAAGGGTTTTTCACTGAGGTTCATTTTCAGTAAACAAGATTGAATAATGTACCGTTTACTGCTTATGTTTTTGCGATCGCCGATAAACCATAAAATAAATAAATAATCTATGAACAGATTAAAGCGCTTGGTGAAGTTTATTACATCCGGGCAATTGCAGTCGTGGTTTCTTCATCCAAGATGGCTGCGCAAGGTGAGCATGTTTCCCGCAAATTTTTGGCAACCTGATGTTTCATCTTTTCGTCGTGAATTCCTCGTTTTTAACAATTTTGTTTTGTAGATGAGAATGACTGAGAAGTATTTTATCCACGTACACGATCTTTTTGTCTTTTAATTGTTTGGAAGTCGCCAGAATATAGTTGGAACGAATTGTAAAGGTGGCGGTGCCTCGGCGCTCGATTCTGTCATTTTCCAGGCCATGTGTTTGCATGATACGGTCATGACGGTACGTGCACGCCGTTTGCGCTTGCGAGCATCACGTGCCGCGCGGGGAGAGTTATTTATGCACGAATTATGACCTTCTTGATTATGCAAATGATTTTGTTCTATCATCATTTTTACCTGCACATTATTGTAATTTATTTCCATTTAGGGCCTATTCCGGTTTTTGCCATCCACCCCCACCATGCCCACGGCATTGTCTTGTTTCTTTCATGTTTGTTGTGTTTATTATAATCCATTATATTTGTATGATAATCATGCTAATTATCGGGGTCCATACCCACAAGCTAAGCTTTCTTATGGATTCCGCATCTCTATTAATTGTATTTATTATCTGCCTATCACCTTGTAGTTGTACTCATATAAATTATGAGATGAAATAAAGTCAAGTTCAAGTTCAAAGTGAAACCACTTAGGGCCTAAACCAGTATTCACATTCATGACATTACTCATCACTAGAGTAGTACAGTAGTAGGCCTGTTGTGCGGTTTCTTGTGATTTGCACAATGAATGCGCGCATGCGCATTCATATTTGCACAACTGGCATGACTGGATCCTTATTCCGTGCTTTTCAGGGCGATACATGCGCGAAATTAAAAAAAATTGTGGTTTTTTTAAATGTGTTTTCAGACGATCGAATATAACTTATAAGTTATAAGCTTTATGTGGCCTCTGGGCTCTCATATATTTTGCACTATATTTAGTCGGGCACCATTCGCAGACAGTGTTGTAATTGTGCGTCTTGCAGCCAGACTGAGGGAGCGATGGTCGTGTATTTGGAACATGTAAACGCTTAGCGTAATATGTAAGGGAGCAGACTGATGACCAGCTTGGCAGATCATGCACGATGTCAATATCGCTGTAGTGTATGGTCCGATGTTACTGTTTTCTCAGATTTTTGTCTTGACTATCCAAATTTCCTGAAGAACGTTCGTGCAGCGTTGGTCGAGATTGTAATTGGGTGCAGAATTCTCAAGCCTTATGGCCTTACTAGGGTCAATTCAAGCTCTTCCCTGAAGAATATTTTTGAGAGGTTTAAGGGGATCGAAGAGCCATCTGCAACATCATAGTCAGCCGACATTTGAAGAAAAAAAGATTTGCGTTGACGCACCACTTTTGGGGCAAGCTCCATACCAGAAACCGGAGCCTTTTTTTTTGGCCTAAGAGACACAACAGTAGTGGAAAGAATTCTGATTTTTGGAAAACAAAAGCCTAAGATGGTGCCTAAGATTAACTATACTATTACTAAATACTTTTTCCTGATTATTTCATATCATTAGGCAAGAAGAAGAAGGTTAAGGGAAAGACATTGAATCTCAATGACTTCCTGTCTGATGGGACCAGCAATGCGCCGGGTACCAGCTATGTCATGGCCAATAAGTCATGGGCGGAGCAGACAGACGAGGCAGAAGGTAGGAAACCCAACTAGGTAACGCCTGACCGTTGGGCAATTATGGTAACATTAAGCCTTGCCCCATGGTGTGTTGACCAATCACAGCTTTGCTTTATATTTGACATGTGTGCATAAAATACTAATACGTGCACGCACGTATGATGTGTGCTGGTGAAACATGCAATGTGACATTGGAGAGGCACACGTTGTTCCCAAGTGCGCAGTGGCGCAGCTTATCCCTAACTGCCTAGGTCCCTTTGGCTAGGATCCATCCTCAATGTAAAAATACTCCAAAATCATCCGTTATTTCTTGCATTTGTTCAGTGGAAGGGTGACCACTGCCCCAATCCTTCAAGATCCTCCAGTCCATTGTAATACAATGAGAAACTGCTGATGATATCCAGAAGCTGTGCAGATGATATCGACATGTAGTATGATCCAGGCATAGTTTATGCATTGCTAAGCATAAACAACACAAGGTGCAGCTTAAGACCTTGACACACTGCATGATGCATCATCCAAAATCAACTGGCACTAAAATGGTGTCAGCCTGAATCCTCCAAAACCCTCTGGTTGATTTTTGATTGAGGAGGGTTAGAGTGAATAAAGTGCTCGTTTACAGGCCTGGGCCATTGACAAAGGTATGATGTGTTCAGCTTAGGAAGTTGCTGAGGCCTTTAATGAACTGATTTGAAAAAGAGAAGCAAAGAGTGTTGTGGTATAGATGCTTGTGGTTCTATCAAGCAGAACGTCTTCTAATATCCGTAACTGATAATATCCAATTGACTTCTTTTTTTACAGACACAGTCATGCCATTTATGGATACTAAACCACTGCCCAACCGAGCTGCCTTACCGACAGCCCCTCGCAGTGCCCAACCGTCTGAGATTGACCGCTCCAAACTGCCTGATAAGCCACCCTACACTGTCTATCTGGGCAATATTCCCTTCGATGCCGACGAAATGGACATCACCAACTTCCTGGTCAATTGCAATGTAAGTGAAATTGTTTTATGGTTTGATAGCAAGACAAGGTTGCCGTCCAGTCCGTTACATTTCAGTTGTAAAGTCAAATCACAAGGAAGGTGACATGTCAGTATGTAATGGAGGAGACTGATGTATGAATTCCATTGTCAAGTCTTCATTTCAACAGATATGTGACTTAACTTGTGAAGACTTGTGATGGACTCGACTTAAACATTGATCGACAGTGCTGCCAAGTGACAAACATCATTTCTAATCATCAGGTTCATAGTTTCTTAGTTGCGACCAGATTTCTTTGATCTGATCATTTTATCTTTGACATCATTGACCTGACGACAAATCTGATAGAAGGTTCACATTTTTGTTGTGGACTTAACTTATATTAGTGTTCTTATTTATTAATAAGCTTGGTGATTCCTTTTTGTATTGATTTATTTATTGTTTATTAATGGAAATGATGATTTTGCTGCAAGCTATTAAAGTAACTTATTTTCAAGAACCAAATGATATATTCCGCTTCAAATATTTTCAATTGGTAGTAATGCATTTCAAACTTTGCATAATAAAAACAGTGTTTTTGAAACACCTGTTAGAGTTCAGATTTTGGGCATAACTGCATTTTTCCATAATTGCTCGCAAATTGCAAGAAAATAGTTTGATTTGTAGATAGACTAGCTTCAACCACTAATCATGTTAACTGATTTGAATGATTGATTAATTGATTTGAATGATTGATTGATTGGCTTTCAGGTGAGTCAGGTGCGTTTACCCAAGGAAGGTGACAGGCTGAAAGGTTTTGGATATGCTGAGGTGGACGACATGGAATCGCTCATGACTGCTTTGGCACTCAATGACCAGGTATACACATCAAATGCTAGGCTACAATCATTTTTCTGATCAAATCAGCTTCTAAGCTAAATGACAGAACAGCTTAGTCACATTTGCAATCATGCGAGACTTAGGTTTAATCCCAACTCCCGAGGCATATTTCACATGGAACCCTCATTTATTCTAAAAAAATCCACAACTCTGTAAAAACCTGATGACACATTCTTTGTAGGCTTATCTTATGACATGTAAATGAACAATGGTTGGCTCGCTCTGGGCTGTACTGAATTAGCCAAAACCTCCTGGTTGATTTTGAAGGATATTTGGTGGTTAGGGTTATTCATATATTTCAGTGAATTTCGCCTGAAAATGTGAGTTGCCAACATGGTTAAGAAGAAACAATTGTTTTTTTAACATCAAATGGGAGGTGACTGGACCAAAAAGCATTTTCCAGATGGGACAGGATCTTTTTCTACAGAACTAAGAATTGTTCAGCATGTCAGTAATTGCATCTTTCCCTTGTCCCCAGACGATACGAACAAGACGTATTCGAGTGGATCTTGCCGGCCAGAATCATCAAGGTAAGAAATCCTTTCAAATGCCTCAATAAGCTCAACAGAAATTGGAAGGGTTGGGAAAGATGAGGGTTAAGAAGCCCCAAACTACCCTGCCTGTTACTCCCTGTCCGATCCCAAACCACATTGCTAGTTACTCCCTGAATCGCCCTAATCTGCCCCAGCCCTGTATGGTTTTATGCATTCGTCAGGGTTTAAATACAATGTAATACAATGTAATACAGATGCTCATGTTTTATATATATATTTTCCCAGGATCTTTGTTGATATTTGTTTTAACTTGACCTTTTTTTTTCTCAGATGGAAAAGACGATCGTACAAACAGTGACTGGAGAGCAAGAAGCAGCGATGGTGGGTCATCCTTTGGACGAGGTATGGCATTCAATAATCCATGCTCTTGGGTGTTTTCATTCATTTTATTTCTTTAAATCTTAAATCAAGTGGCAGTGTGAACTGCTCAGATTAAAGAGAACTAGCCATGTGCTTTATGTAAGGTGACAAATCTGTGAGGATAGCGTGATTTAGCTGTTCTCAAGAGTGACATGACTGAGCTAGTCCTTTGTCATTTACAGGAGAGGATCGGCGAGGCAATAGATACTCAGACCGTTACCAGGACAGGTCAAGTTATGATAGATATGGTGATGCCGACAGAGGCTACGGCTTTGACAGAAGGACAAACGATGGTAACATCGATTTCCACTCTGTTTGGTTGGCCAGTAGATCGGTTAGATGGTTTGCTGGCATGTGACTCAAACAAAACAGTCTGTCTATCTTTAGGCAGGTAGATTGCTAGTAGTTTTTGTTGTGGGCAAAAACCCTGTCGTGTCAAGAACACAGAAATTGTTGTCATGTTTCCTTACCTTGCATAAATGTTGGTCATAACATTTTTGTTATTTTCTGTTTGCCTGTCGAGAAAGTCAGGATTGCAGAATGTTGATATTAATGTTGCAGTCACTGAATGGTTTACATTAATCTTTCATTTTCCTTGACAGGGTCCTATGGTGGAAGAAGAAACGATGGTAAGCATTTGAACTTTTCTCAGGAAAACATTGTTTGAACACTCTGCAGAAGAATTTCAGATAATTAAGTGAAAGAATTGGATGAATCATGTAACAACTTTTAGTTGCAAATGACATGCAAGGCAGTATCTCAATGGCGTACATAACATCATGTCATGTCACATTTTCCTTCTTACAGATTTTGGTAGCAGCGGCGGTAGCAGTGAAGATAATTGGAGACGTGCACCTGCTGAACCTTCCAGCAGTGCATTTGAGAATCGCAGTAGGGGTGGGGGCTTCGGTGGCGATAGGGATCGTGGATTCGGCAACGATAGGGGTTTTGGCAGTGATCGTGACAGGGGTTTTGGTGGGGATCGTGACAGGGGTTTTGGTGGGGATCGTGACAGGGGTTTTGGTGGGGATCGTGACAGGGGTTTTGGTGGGGATCGTGACAGGGGTTTTGGTGGGGATCGTGACAGGGGTTTTGGCAGTGATCGCGACAGGGGTTTTGGTGGGGATCGCGACAGAGGCTTTGGCGGTGATAGGGACCGCAGTTTTGGTGGTGACAGAGATCAAGGCTTCGGTGGTGATCGTGACTGGGGCGACAGAGGCAGTAGATCACGAGGATTTGAAAACTTTTCTGAACCTCGAGACAGGAGCTTTGGTGACCGGGATCGTGGATTCAGGGATAGAGATTACGGTAAGTGTCTCAAAACCTCAGATTAACAAATAAACACGCTCTCAACCAATAAGAAGTAAAGCTCAGGAATTTTGCTGCACACTAAGCAGATCTGTCAGGTTTTATTCTAAGTTGCTTTCTTCTTGTTTCCTTGTTTTAGGAGAGCGGGATGGCAGGAGGCCTTATGGGGGCGGGGGCTTCTCAAGAGGAGCCGATCAAGATGGTCCCCCAGAAAGCGGCCATGAACAAGGTATGATGTTCAAGTATACGGTGCAGTGCTGTGGTCGAGTCTATCACCAGTCCAGTCAAAAGTAAATCACAAGTTTTGTCGCAAGTTACTTGGGATGAAGAATACCAAAGGAATGCTTGTGTCACAACTCATTTGAATAGTGTGTGATTTGACTTGAGACCGGAGGACTTGTGAGGACTTGTAAATGATCAAAAAGAGCCTCTCTACATCCATGATATCATTTAATTTGCATGCTTTACCATTCACACTTGGACATGGAACACAAATACCAACTCAACTGTGAACATAAAGACAGAGTTGGGGAGACTGCTTAGATCCATTACCACTGTATGCATATTCATGCGAAACGCTACAGGATTGTGCACATTCTGTATAAGCTTAGTAGAGCATTCTTAGCGCAATATGCATGCGCACTAGTAACAGTGGCACGAATACCGCTATACCGAATGTTCGGCTATACCGAACATCATCCTTGGCTCCCGGTTTTAATGTACAAAAGGTACCGAACATTGTTGTTGAAGAAAGTCAACAGATTAACAAAAAATCTACCGGTTGTACATGTATTAAACACTATTTGGGCCACTTTTAATTCCCGAACATCAAACGACCCGAGTTACGTCGTGTTTGAATGTTGAAGAGCGATAGATGGCTACTATTTTCCCAAGGAATAGAAGGGAAAACCACTCGTGAGAAATGCCAGTTCACTATTGGTCAAAAGAGGGTACCGGCGGTTCAAAATCGCTATATACCGGACGATCGTTACTATGAACACTTTCTGTGGATCCCACGATGTTCGTTATAGCGACGTTCCACTGTATGCGTATGCAGCGTGTCCCTTCCACTAGGACTCTTGAATGCTCCATCCACTATTCATGCATGGCGTCCATTATAGGAGTCTTCAGTCGCTGCTACATTGCAGGTGGTTTTAGTTTGTGCACAGATGTAACGGGATTATGTACATTCAGAATAAAATGAGCCAGGCGTTCTTCACGCACTACACATGCGCACCAGTATGCACACAGGGTGTGTCCTTTCCACCAGGGCTTTTGAAAGTGATGACAAAGCTGTGTTCATTCTTGGAGTCCATTGAAGGAGTCTTCAAGTGCTGCTACATCTCAAGTGTTTTAAGCGTATGCACAGTGGTTTGTGGGTATCACAGTTGAAGAAATTGCTGCGTCACCACTAAACCTGTGTGGCAACCATTTCATTTTCTATTAGTGTTGGCTAAAAATTTAGGTGAAAAACCTAAATATTTTCCACCTTGCAGAAGGTCCACGGGAACGCAAGAAGCTTGTCTTAACCAAGAGATCTGATCATCCAGGCGAAACACCGGCACCTTCAAGTAAGCCCTCCTCATCGATATTTGGTGCGGCAAAACCTGTGGACACTGCAGCCCGCGAGCGGGCAATTGAAGAGAGAATAGAGCGAGAGAGACGACTGGAGGAACAAGAGAAGATGAAATCGGAGAAGGATAAAGAGACCATTGTCAGGAGGGAAAGGTAGCAAACAAGATTTAACTCAAGAAAATTTTTTTCCAGAGACGTTTGTTTTTCTCCAGATACACGCTTATGCTTTTGCCCCGAGCCTGAATGACTTCTTTAGGTGATTCCTTGCACATGTTTCCATACCAATTAGATTCAAATCTGATTTACCATTGACAAGAAATGTCAAATTCCAAAGGATGTTATAACATTTGGGATTTTCAACAGAAAAAGGTGCCAGAATGGCACCTTTGCAGCTAAAAAGGCCTATTTGAGTGGCACAGCATTGCACTCCAGCATACATGGCCCCGTCTAAATTACCTGGCTATGACTAGCAGTAGCACACATGTCAATGGGAAGTGACTTCAGCCACATCCATAGTCAAGTAAGAGAGATGCGGCCTACTACTGTCAACGAACATAGAGGTCAGAGAATGACCTATTGCAACTGCATTTTTCTTTCAAACTAATGAATATTCATGATGTGTGCTTTCCCCACCCCCAGACCAGAGCGCCCTCGACGAGAGAGTGAAGGAGAAGGCAGAACAAGACACAGCAGCTCCAGCTCAGGCAAAGGAGGACCCAGGCCAAGTAAGACAAGCAACACTCATTTTAGACTGGCGTCCGTCAGTCGCTCCAAACCAAACTATTTCAGAATTTTCAATTAACTAGTGAAAACAATTGACGTTTGAAACACTTAGGAGTGGCTACTTTGAAAAATCTAATGTTGCAGTTGTTTGAAAGACTCTGGTGTCTAGTCGATGGAACATTAATACATAAAGCCTCTCTGAAACCAAAATCTATTTGGGTTAACGTAAGTCACTTCTAATCTTGTCTGGTCCGGCCTTACTCTGGAGTGCCAGTCAACAGCAGGTGTAATACTAGGACATATCGAAGGAGGGGATTCACAGTGAAGAAGAGCACCAAGTATTTGCATCAGAGAGGAAACTTTTCAACTTTACAGACTACTTCCAGTGAAAACGTCCAGCAGAAAATCATCCATCATTTATTATTGACATGTGGTGCCACATAAAAACAAATGCAATCAAAATCCTCAATTTTTGAAATAGTTGGTATTTGAAAACTCGCTCACACCTTCAGAAAAAAAGGGAAAAGTTGTTCGTTCCTTGACACAAAGTGCAAAAAAGTACCTTTGAGGACATCTATGATGCATTCTGTCAAATCCACCCAAAAGTTTTATCAGTTGTACTTCTTTTTCTCAAATCATTGATCATTAATCCTTTAGAAGCTCTCTAGGATGCGTGAAAAATCGTAAATTTTAAAGGATTCATGACTGTTAGGGTTAAAGACAGGATGTCAATTTTATTTGCTGAAAATGATACAAAAATGTGTTTTGACTGCAGTTATCGCAAGAAGAGAGAGTGAGCGATCAAATGAGGATGACTCGGCGTTCCACAAGGAAGAGCCACTGTCTCCAACCTCCCCAACCGCTCCTAAATCACCCAAGACCCCAATCTCACCAAGGGAGGAAGTCAGCCTGCAGAACGCCATCCCAGCGCCCCCACCCAAGGAGAATGCGTGGGCCAAACGCAGCGAGACTGTCACGTCGCCTCCACCCAGTTCAGTGTCATCGCAGTCACATACATCACCACCTTCTAGAGAGGCTGACGGGAGTAGGCACCGAGGGGAAGGGAGGCAGGAGACTGGTGGATCGGAGTCTGGGAGGCAGTACAGAGAAGCAGGCCCGCCTAAGGAGAATGCTTGGAAACGAGATGGGAAACCAGCCGCAGGGGGCCGGGGAGAACAAGGAGGTTACAGTAAGAAACCAGGTAGAGATGCAAAGAGTATAACACTGATGCATTATGGGCTCCATGCGCCAACAAGAGAGGGCGCTGTTTTACCACTTCTGAGAGACCAGTGGGCGGGGCACGCATGCACGTACTAGTTTGCGCCTGTATTGCACAAAGAACGTACAACTATTTTATGCTGAATGTGCGCAAAGCCATAGCGTCTTCTTGTGAGCGTCAGGCATCGTTGGCGATACGTTCCAATGCCAGGGATCTCCCCCAACTCTCTCCTTCTTACCGTTGAGGGTTTACATGTGCACGGAGCCCAAAGCCAGTATATCTCTGTTCATCTTTAACAATTCCTCTTGATTGAATATTCACTCTCAACAAATATCTGCCAAAAAAAAGGATATGCTATTCTCAGCACTCCATCGTACCAAAAATTTCATCATATAAGATTTTCAGCAATCTTTTTGGTCTTTCAAAAATATCGTTTTCATGGCGTGCTAATAGTACTGTTTGAAACAGGAGAGAGATACTCCCAATTGAAATGTAAAACTTGTGTAATCCTGTGAGTTATCCCAGGTTATCACAACGTTTGTAATACTAGGCAATTAGTTTGTCAGTAACTTACAAAAGGGTAACGGGTTTTAGGGATAAGAAACAGTAGTTCCATCAATCACTCTGTCTCCTACAATCACTCTCTCCCCCACCCTCACCATTCGCTGCATCCAGGTGATCATGGGGGCCCAGGAGCCGGTAGAGGTGACCCACAAGCACACCCTGCGAGGGACAACAGACGCAAGGAAGAACGACCGGTCAAAAAAACACCGGCAGAAATGCCCAAATATGAGAAGCCTCCACCACCCGTAGGTATCTGAGTCATGTCACTCTTTATGTCAGGGTGATGTTTAATATTTATCACAAATTTTGCGTGCGTAAACGTGAAGTGTTAACGATTTATTTTATTCTGAATGTGCACAAAGCCATGGCGTCTTTGCGTGAGCATCAGGCATTGTCGGCAATGCGTTCAAATGTCTCTCCCAGTGGTCTCCCCCAACTCTCCCTTTCTTACCATTGAGGGGGTACTTGTGTATGGAGCCAATACAGCACTGTATGAACTATGCATTGTTAGAGCGTGGGACAAACATATTACATGCTTACCTCAGGCATGCAACTTTTCCTGAGATCCGCTGATTTTCCTTGCTTTTTACTTCTGGTGAATGCCATTACAAATTGAAATATACTGTACAAAGCCTTGTGTGGTTTGGACTTTCCTCTTTTGTTCTAAATTACCAGTTACATGCCTGTTACTTGAGTTGTTATGAAACCACTGACCCGCTAGTAATCTTAGGGCAGTTTTACGGGAAAGGTTGCACACAAAGTCTCACAGGGAACCAAAAATGAACATTGTTTGAGGGACGATGTATACACGTATTTTCAAAGATTCACTTATCCTTACAAACCATAAAGTTAAACTTTTTCCGCGATAGCCTTGAAATTTTATTTTCTGTGACCCGAGCTGTTCTGACTTTTTAGCCCCGAGCCTTGCGCATCTTTTGATACCAAAAACATAAAATTCGGACCACGGGTTGCCGCGCATCAAAAAAGTTTCTGGCGCTATGCGCTGTGAAAACTGAATTTCCCCATGTACGTAGTGTACACAGCCCGGCCCATTTTGGGTTAAAAGGTCATTGAAAGGTCATTTAGGGTTAAAAGGCCATTGATTTGTTTGTTTGATCCTGACAAGCTAGGAATTGAAAAACCAACTAAAATGTTCTTCTGGCCTTCCATGGAATGAAGCAATAAAATAAGTAGTATTTTTCCCTTCAATAGAACTGCAACCAACCTAATATCTATACATTTTGTTCCCTCCATAGAACTGGAGACATCCCAGTATGTTCAATTGTTGCCTTCCAGTAAATGAAGTCAACCTTATTTGTTTCATTTTGCCCTCCATAAAATTGACACCAACCTAATATGTTCTTTTTTACTTACCATAGAATTGGAGTCAACCTAATAAGTTCTCCAGCTTGATGACAGAAGACGACCCCCAAGGCTCTGACTAACCTAGCTTGGGACTCGCCTCCATGCTCCTCATATCAAGGCAGTGTATCGATAGACCCTTTAGTACAGGCTAGCCTCTATGACCGCGCACTGCTCCCATTTGAATGGTATTGTGAGCAATTAAACATATCAAATATGCTTCAGAAAAGATCTTTTTAGAGTAAAACCATAATTCTGAATAAGAAAAGAACTGGGAGAAATGAGAGAAATGTGCTGCTGGTACAAGTCACTAAAACCTGAAGTAAATGAATTATAAAAACTTAATCACTTCATATACATGTACATGTATTTTCCTATTTATTTCGTTCAAATGATATCTGGATTGATAGTGTGGAAATAAGGTGGGATTTATTTTTGAGTTTTCATTTTGTCTTTTTTTTTTCTCTTCAAATCAGTCCATTATGTTTTCAGTTATTTCAACCGGGGGAATTTTAAATTTGGTATGAGGTCTTACAAAATGCTTAGTATTCTTAACTGCTCTGTTCCAATAATGTTTGTTCTAAAAAATTGCGATGAAGTATTTTGAGTGGTAAAACCTTGGAGAGAAAGCTGTTTGACATCCTTGCAAATAAGGTGCTTGATTTTTTGTTGTCTGTGTGGTTGGTTTGTCCCCTAATTACTACTTCAACTGAAGTTGTAAACTTTTGTTTCCTGATCAATAAGAAACAGTCTATTTTCAAGTTGATTCGTTTTTATCAGCGGGGAACTTGGCAGCTGTTATGTTTAACCGATTTGTAATTTGTATGGTGTATCTTAAATATCTGTTTATCGCAGGAATACAAATTGCCAAAATTTCAAAGAAGAAAACGCAACTAAAGGAATTGTGCTGTTTGTAATCAGTTTTTTGAAAAGTAACATTTGATGACAATAAAATTGAATTACATGTTTAACACAAATTTAAAAAAATGTTAGAATTATGAAATTAAATGTATTTTTTGAGGAAATCACGTAATTTTTCTTTTCTTCAACAGAAATTTGCTGCCAGAAACTGGTTTTTATTTCTTAGTTTTCAGAGAATTCTTAAAAGGAGTAAATGACAATAGACTCATTGGCATAGGACACATCTTTATTTTGTAAAGTAACAAACATTCAAACTAATGCCAATTTCCATTGCATCGATGTTAATACGTGAACCACTTGTAAATGTACATTTGTAATAATTAAACAATTAAAGAGGTGTACTTTTATATTAAAAGCGTAGAAATGTTTGGCCCGTAATGGTAGATTATGATAAGCGTCTAGGGAATTTTGCCACTTGAAACTGGTTTATTCAGAGGCCAAATACATACATGTAACGGGAAACATAAAATCGTCCACTGTGTATCAAATGACGTACAACGTTAGTGTGTAGTGTAGAATCGACAGGATTTTTTTCCAGCTCCATTCTTAACTAGTAATAAATCTTAATGGTGTTTAAATTATGGTGTTATTTGAATTGATTCTACTCTTGGTGTTTTCTGACACGTACTTAAAAAATTGCATTACTGATGCTCATAAAAATCGACCTTGATTCTAAAATCTTTCACCATGCATGTGCTGACTCTCGTTCGACATCAGTCTTATCTAGCGTTATTCGATTATTTGAAGCAACATTTTCCGTCTGTCGGCGGGCCCGGAACGGCCGTAAGAGATCAAATAGGGTATGCATAGCCCCCCCCCCCTCTATTTTTGATCAATTTTCAAGCAGCCTTTTCCCGGCTCATATTTTAAAGGGGAAAAAAAATTTGATACATTTTGTACTATTGGAAAAATGACCAAACCCATTAGCCCGCGTTCGGGATATTGCCCCCCCCCCCCTTCCGTCCCCTGCAAATTGGGCCCTAGTTGCACCCAAAGTTTGATTACTACACCCCTTCCCTATGGACACGCACCTCTTTTCCCCTCACGTTGAGATAATTACTTGTCTTCTATCATGATGACATTTGTTTGACGAAACGAAAAATACAAAAGCCTTAACGGAGTTATATGTCCTGGCTGTTTTATTTTTCATTCTTGTAATGAAAATGCAAGATCGGTTTCCTGTGAAATTTAATGATCACATAAAAAAAAACTTCGATGCCAAATATTGTATACAGCTGCGTTTGTTCGGGAGAAAAAACAAACAATTATAAGACTTAAAAAATGACGTTCTGGTTTACTTCGACACAAATAGTATAAACTCAAAAAAAATTGTTCAAGGACATTGATTCACTTTCTTCAAAATCCTCATAATTACAGCTTGTATTTGCATCGTGATTAATTCTTTGGATCAAAACATCTGCTATATTTATAGATATATTTACATACAAAGCTTCAGAGGTGTCATTATATTTCTTTCTTTTTCTCCTCTGTTTCATAAATCATTGTACAAACAGAACATAAACATGTACATGTATACGTTGGAGTTACGAACAAAAATTAAATTCTCCCATTCCAATTTTTCATTTGGAATTGGGGGCAATATTTCTTTTCTAATGAAAAATATCAAATGACACAATTTTGATCACTAATTGAATATGAACTAGCGCGGTTTTAGAACAGTAAACAATTAAATTATTATTATATCGCATTCACACAGATCTTATCTTTAGCTAAAACCTTCATTTCTTATTCAAAGAAAACGTTTTTCAAATAAAGGAAATACCAATGTGCTGAATAAAATAACTCAATTTTTCTTATAGTTACGTATTAAATGCAAAACCATGTTTTTGCAGGTACCCTGTTTATCATTATTAAACACTTTTCTATTTGTTCATTTCTGTTTGGCTCATACATTGATTCAAAACAGACATGAAACTGAACAAACCCAAACCCCACAAAACATTTACCAGACAAAACAAAAACAAGTGAATAAACTCTCAAAAATGGTTCATGATGTAATCACTGAGGCATGTTATTTTTAGGCATCATTTGGGTGATAGGCATTTGCATGGGAATTTGGGCAGGCATGATTGGTCGTTGCTGGGTCAAGAGCTGCTTGAGAGAGTTAGCCTCTTGTCTCAATGTAGCCAGCTGGGCGCGCAAGATGTCATTCTCCTTCTGGAGAAAGTTGGCGCGCATGGACACCTGGTCTTCTCGTCGCTTGCGAGAATCTCGCGATCTTTTGGCCGCCATGTTGTTACGGGTCCGGCGCTCAAAGTATTTATCGTCTTTGTCGTTTTCCGCGACAGGCTTTTTGGAGTTCCGTCTCTTAGAGGTCGAAGCTGCACACTGAGTTGGCACTGAAAAACAAAATAAAGCAAGAAATGTAGATGAGTTTATGTAAATGAGAATCACCCCCCCCCCCCCATCCCCCTTCATAATGGCGCAATAGTTTATGTAATTATGATGAAAATGAAGTTGGTTTGTATTGAATCCAATTTACAAGTCCCTCTCAAGTCATGTAGTTCCAGGTCAAGTGACAAGTTAATCGAAACTCTGAAAAGGGCCAACTTGCGATCGACTTAATTATCATGCAAGATGTGACTCAGTAGAAGGGAGATTTCAATTTAGTTTTCATCTTGACTTACTATTGCTCATCATATCGATGTTGTTGTTATCGGTGATACCTGGTGGTGAGACACCCTGTACCATCATCTGATGCTCCGGCGACACCATCTCTTGTTGGCCGTTAGGTCCCGGGGATTGGATTACCATCTGCGGTACCGGCATGGAGGTTCCCTGGGGGCTGTTCAGCTGGATGAAGTGCGGCGCGAGACTCATGTTCAGATTGGAAGCCTGATTGTTGGGCATCATTCCAGCTGACATGTTTATGGACGGTAAGGTGGCCGAGGCAGCACCAGCCGGCATGCTGTAGACGTTCTCGGGTGAGGAAGCCGATGTCGTCAATAAGTGGCTAGAGTTTGGCGTTTGTAGTTGAGAGGTGGGTGTCAGGGTATGCATAGTGGATGGATCACCGTGTCCAATCGAGACCGGGGTTCCCATGCTTGAAGGAGGCATCAGGTTGACTAGAACTGACTTGTCTTCGTCTCTAGACTCACCGTCATCAGTCGGGGAGGCGTCTGAAAGAAAAACAAGGAGCAGAAGGTGTGACTAAGATTTGTGCCTCATATACGGTAGCTTCACTTTGTTTTGACGTCTTGTGAGCAAAGGCAAGCGAAATGTATGCACACAATAAGACGTCATTTACGTGATGGTCCAGGAAACATAGTATGAGAGGGGCAGTGATAAACTTGCATTGAGAGGCAAATTCAAGTAGCACAAACTGACGACATTTCGTTGGTTATGGGGAGAATAACAGAAGGGTATCGGTTTCACTGGGGGGAAAAAAACGGTGACATTTTTCGGCCTTTAAAATTTCAATAATGTTAGCTTGATAATTGATTTCATTATTCAAAGTCAAAGCCTGCTCACCAGACGGAGGAGGCGACATCATCTTCTGTCCGGTGTTCTGCGCATGCGCAGCTTGTACGGCATGCAGCAGTTGCTGCTGCTGCTGTTGCAACTGCTGTTGGTGTTGGACAGCGAGCTGCAACGCCGACAGGCCGCCCATGTCATTAGCCGCCTGCAATGCTTGACCAAGCAGGGACGAGTGGGTGACTTGCATGGGCAGCAAGGGTGGTAGGGAAGACATGTTCATCGAGGCGGGTGGGTGTGGATGGACGGCGCCGCCTGACACAGAGGTTATTATCGGCACGGATGGGGCGGCACCGGCCGGTGCCATGTTCGCCTCCGCTATGCGCCCCATCTCCTGGGCCTGGGCCTGGGCTTGGTAAGCAGCTGCAACTGCTGCAGCTACTGCTTTGGCGTATTGCTGCTGGGTTCCTGGTTGCTGTTGCTCATGTTGTTGTTGTTGTTGTTGTTGTTGCTGCTGTTGTTGTTGTTGTTGTTGTTGTTGTTGTTGTTGTTGTTGTTGCTGTTGTTGTTGCTGCTGCTGCTGCTGCTGGTGGTGTTGTTGTTGCTGCTGTTGTTGCGCTGACTGCGACTGCATAGTGATAGGAGAGGTTGTGGTCTGATTGGTGTTTGACACCGAGCCGTTTGGATCCATTTCTTCCACTGGCAGTGTAAGCTCCCTGTAAAATCCTGTCGACTGGGAACACTCCTCCGAGTCTATATACAGGGGCAAAACAAATTTAAAACCTTCAAGAATCAAGTAAAGGGCCACGCAAATCCCTAAAAAAACATTTCTTTTCGAGAGAAACGATTATTCCTTAAACGTTATTAAAAGCTGTGAATGAGGGAATTGAAATAAGGGAGCATCTTTCATAACAAATGGATATATCCTTAACAGTTATTAATTACCAATATGTCAACTTCTTTCAAAGATCTTGATTAATAACACCACTGATTTTTGTTTTCTAATGGCAACATAATATGACCAATAACATGCAGACTGATAAGTGAAGCAATCATCACCCATCTGAAAATACCCGCCCAACAAACAGAAATTTGCGAAGGAAATGCGCCTCGTAATAAGTCACAAGAAAATGTTGAAAACAAAATGTGTTCTGTAAAATGCACTACTTCTTAAATGGAGTTGCCGCCCATCCTTTATGAAAACCTATCTGTTGACTAATGATGACATTTTGCGAAATACATGTACTGGGAATTCCCGAACATCCAAAACAAAGGTTAAATAGCAATGAATTTGATTGATGGATTGATTTCCACGGTGTCGCCAAACATTTTGGATAATTCAACAGAGTGAAAAATAAAGTTATAATCATAAAGTGGATTTTAATTTTTATAAAACATTACTACATGTACAATGATTAAAAAAGGGAAATAATCTAACTTTTTGCTGCAGCAGAAATTGGCTCGAAAATTCATGGTGTCGGACAAACTCAAACAAATAGATATTTGGTGTACTTTCTAAATACATGTTCAGTTAAAAGTAACAACTGAACTGTTGAATATTGTTAGAAATATATTTCAATAAAATGCATGTAAACCTTTCACCGTTCATTTTGTGGCATTTAACATTTTGGAATTTTTGGCATGGATGTTGATATTTCCGTGGAATTGCGAATACATTTATTTTAAATATTATGGCGCATCTGGACTACTATATCAAAGCCTTCGCGGCCTTCGGACAAAATGTATTCCTTGCTCCATGGAACAACTGACCCTTGTCCAATTCATGAATGGGCCAGACGAAGAAACACTTAAGAAAATCGTTAACTACAGACGGTTGCCAGACAAAATGCACGCTTATTGATGCGCGTTCAAGAGTAGAACCTCCCACGCAGGCAAATCATCCAAACTGAAGTCGGCAAAACAAAATGTAGTGTATAATTACAAAGTTATCTCTACATATTTCAGAATAAAGAGGATCAGGAGCGGGTCTGATCTTAAAAAAATAAATACGTAAATAGTTATGGCAAAACGAAGAACCCAAAATTAAAATACATGACGAAAGTATACAAACTACAAACATAATTTTAAAAAAACTGGTAACGGCATACCTCCCTTACTCAAGATTTCCTGTAAAAAATACAATGTTTTTTTTTCAAACTTTTTAAGCCAGTCAAATTCTGCATTCTCAAAAATAAAGTTGGCCTAATCCAACAAAAAAATATCACCAAATTCGATGGAGAACAAAAGTTGAGTCCAAAAGTTCGATCACGAACCACGCTAGGTCACGATTCTTACATAAGAATAATACTCTTAATTTGGGCATACTCCATGGTTTGAGGTTTGGCAAAGAACATGCAGTGGAAAACACTTTATCCAATATTATTCTGTTTTCTTAAAATGCTACCACTAGTACCAGTACCAAATGCATACAGTAAAACATACACAGAAGAACACCGTACAGTACTTTATCAAAATATGCAGAACAGGATACAAAACCATACTTATATAAGAATCGTCTTGAAATTCTCTCTGTGTTTAGCCAACTATTTTTGTTAATTCAAAACATTTTAAACAAAACTGAAATATACACATATGGAAAGGCCGTATGATCCAAATGCCATGTTTGCATGATGCCTTATCCATAGAGGAAGCTTTATCTTTTGTGTTACGCAAGGCGTTTCAGACAAAGTTTCCCCATCAACGAATTTTCTCCTTTCCGAATTGCTAATCCATGAATTTTGACACGAGACAAAACCGTATGAACCCCCTAGGCTTACATAACACTGTTACGCCCATCGACCTCCCTCTAATAACATCTCAGGGATGAGCCAAAAGGGATTCGATATGTGTTAGGCAACATTACGCAAGATGGCGACCATTGTTTGTCATGGGTTTATTGAACACAGCAGTTATTCAAGGCGAAGCCTCTAAGCTGGGCCGGCATGGTGGCCGTGGTTATAAGGAGAGAAAATTACGACAAATTACGTAATGAAACTGCTGAAATAGCATCCACAAACCAGACAACACAACACTTGCAAGACACGAGGTCAGAATCCAGCATGTGCTCCGATGATGATGTTGGGGAGAGTTTCAGTCTCTGAGCTAGTCCCGACCGAGAAACAACCGGGGGAAATCTGGGTGTGTTCTCGGGGAGAAATGGGAACAACGGCCGGTGAGCATCGACCGACCGTGTTTCCTCGTCATAGTGTGTCTATTTAGTCTGGTGTGAAATATGAGGGCAGTTTTCGCCAATGGATAATATCTTGGATTAATGATCTGTGGATGGACGGACAAAACTCCGCAGATTTCATCACTGAGCACGATTTAGTAAGCTCAAAACTTTGTTCCCTCGCTCAACAAGGTGTTTATGAAACAAGGTATCACTTTTATTCTATTTTTTTTCCATTTCCTTGAGAAGTTTTTTCCACTGATCATTCTTGCTTCCAAGTTCCATCCAGCGAGTTGACTCTTCACCATTTCTGACTTACCTGGCGATGTTGAAAGTCGATTATTTCTCTTGGCAAAGGAACTGATGTGTGGAATGGTCGGAGAATCCTGCTCTTCACCAAACTGAGAATAAGTCTCGTAATTCGGGCTCTTCTCACTCATTTTCTGGGTTGGCGATGGCGGGTTTAGAGCTAGCGTGTTCATGCACAACACTAAGGGACGGGGGCTTACATTTTCACATAGCCTGAATGTTGCACGGTGTAGGCTATTGGAAGCGGTCGTACATGCACATTACATTGGGCATGCAGCAACGTAACGGGGCGCTGGACCCGCAGGACCGGACACTGCATATGCATGACGGATTACATACAATGCAACGCTAAGCCTACGCATCATTACGTATTCATAAGGAAAGATTATGCAAGACTGACCACAACTATGTTATCAGGCCACACACGGACTTATTAAACACGGGAAGGTGATAAACCTGGGGTTTAGGGATGTAATTCCGATTTAAATACGTCATGATTTTTGGACATGGAAATGGTCATATTTTTGAGGCCGAAAGTTGTCCTCCAATAGAAGTTCCTGCTCCATGGTGATGGCTAAATAATATTAATGGAGGAAGGACCCGCACCCATGGCTGAAGTATGCAAATGAATCATTCAAGGACTTCTGTGAAGCCGTTGCTGAGCACATCAGCACGCCAGAATAATGAGAAAAGCCAGACACATCAAGGACATAGGTCTGGTCAATATGGTCTGAGCATATGGCCTGAGCAGGGAGGCCGAGGCATAAAATCGTTCTGTACTACTGACCAGTAATAGCCTACATGTACATAACAAGGCCGCGCCGCACACGCACTGTCGTATATGCGTATACAAAATAATCGTATATTAATTCCCGCTCGCTTAAATCGTGTAAACTTCCTGTTTATAATTATTAAAATATTCGTTGATGTGTTGGGAAAGGAAGAGCATAAAACTCCAAACATAGAGAAATACTCGGACACTCCTTGCGAAGTTCTAGATCTTGTCTCTCTTCTAGTTGTACCATAGCAACCAATCTGCCCTAATCATGTCTCCAGCATGGATGAAGTGGATGTCAACATGTCAATAATTTCCTTCTCTGTCTCATACTTTCTTCTTTATTTCTTGCTTGCAGCACAGAATATGCACAGAGTAAGAAACATATAATACAACGAACGCATTGTTATTAAACAGCGCCCTATTATTGTAAACGGCGGTGTACAAAATTTGATATCCCAGATAAATTCCTATTCATGCTAACCTATTATACAAATACATGTATATCCCTTTTGAATGAGAAATCAAACACTTGAAAACTTCCGCCCATGTTTGGTTATACATGTAATTAGTTATAATTGGAATAATTATTATTTTACAAATTTCGAACGTCGAGACATGTCAGAAATTCAACACAACCTCAAAACTGGAAGTTACTAATTATGTTTTGATGCCAGAATGAAGCAGTATACCCATACTTCCGTAGGCCTACATGTTCTACATAATTATTTTGCATTTACAGACAATTATAAACGTATACAGAAGTATCCTCGTTGGTTAGAAGGGGTGAGTAAAAAAAAGCGGAACCCAAACCCCCAAAGAGAAATTTCATATTAAAAAAAATTAAGTAGCACCAAAAAAAATAATGACTGGAAAGCCAATTTCATAAAGCTACTTTTAGATGAAAAAAATACTGAAATTGCTCAATCCGTTCAAAGAATATCACCATTTAAACGCAATGACCCTAAAACCTGTTTCGTCTTCCCCCAAAAGTACACAATATCTTTATTAACAACCCTGGTTAGACCATGGAGCCATGGTTAGACAAACAATATTTTTTATATAATCCACTTTAAAGAAAAGAAGAAGACGGGCCTTCAAAAGGACTTTGTTGCATATTTTTGAACTTTTAAACTGAGGTTTAATCGATGGTGATGTTTGAAGACAATTGTGACGACGATTCTTGACATTGCATTTTTGGCGAAAGAGGTTTTAGGTTTATTGTGTTTGAATGGTGATATTCTTTGAACGGATTAAGCAATTTCAGTAATTTTTTTCATCTAAAAGTAGCTTAAGAAATTGGCTTTCCTGTCATTATTTTTGCTGCTACGTACATTTTTTTATTATGAAATATAATGTTGGGGTTTGGGTTCCGCTTTTTTGACTCCCCCTGTATATCCTAATTTTCATTTGCTTGAAACATGGCTTTGACATTTTAACAAATAATTGAATTTAGGGAGGAGGTTTAACGGTGAGCGATATTTGTACGAATTCTAGATTTCACCAATATCGCAAAGACACGGTCCCATGGTTTTATATTTAACAATTCAGTTCATAACTCAGGCAATTTTTGGAAATCCTTCTTGTAGCTTGTTCGGCGGACATAACAATGAAAACAACAGTCGTCAGTTCCATTTTTTTGGCTATTCCTGAGTTTTGTGAGGTAATAGCTGGGAGAGTGGTCCAATGGAATATTCCGGCGCATTAATTCTCTTTTCTCTTCATGCGTACTGTACATTAGATAAAATCAACATGGCAGCTGTAGTGTAACAGTTCTCATCTGCATCCAGTGCCTTCAGTAAACTTACAAAATACATGTAGTATAATAATGAGCAAAATATATACAAAATACATGTAGTCAAATACATTGCAAAAGGCTATAGGTGGAAATGGCAAAAAAAAATGTTCTTAATACATGTACTTTAATAGTAGGCAGATTGCAAGTATATTGTAATCATTCCAGCGTATATACATTTGATCGCTTACCCTTTTTTCACAGATTAAAGGTACTAGTCTAAATTCCATCCGTAAAATATGATTACATTTACTCCCTAAAAAATGTTCCCAACATTGGGACAAATCTCGGATCCAAAATGGCAGACTGGATTGGGTTTCGGAGGGTGTAAAATTTGTAAATACTTGTGCAAAGAATTCTTTGAATTAATGTTCTTGGAATTCTTAGAAATCTCCGGAAAGATCGTATTGCTTAATATCGAATTAAACTAAATACCACGGATTTTTGTCTTAGTTTTCAAAGTTATAATCATGGTATCGTACGTAATGGGTATACAATCACTTAAAAAATCGGGCTGATTGTGCCAAATTTCAGAAGTACGGCCTAAAATATTTTTGCATGTGCGGTTTTCGGTGGTTTCATATCATTTTATTCAACAGCGACAACCTCGTATTGATTGCCATGGTCTTGACTCCGCCTCCCTTTGCTATCGAGGTTGCTATATTCTCCTCCCTGCTCCACAGGTTGGAGCACAGCTCCGCAGTCTTCTGCACTGCGCACGCTCCCTGACCATTGACCTCGGTCCAGGTGACTGTACTGACCATCCGAATCAGCGGCAGTTGCTCCAAGGGCGTTGTAATCGTTGCATTCGTCAGGAATTGTCTTTGGTGATTTGGCCAAGGCGCGATCGAGATGGCTGTATTCTTCAGTCGGGTCGATGAACTCATCGGAAGCTTCCCGCTGCGCATGCGGATTGGACATGGCGTAGGTAGCGCCACCAACGTTGAAGTGTTGAGGAGGAGATTGGAACGCCATTGCGTAGGAGTTGTCATGGTGATGTTTTCCCTCAAGCTCAGTGCACTCTTCATTGACATCTTGAGAATAAATAGAGAATGGATGTCTGTCAGATGTAATTTTCTTATGTTTAACTGTCAAGAAATGACACTGGAATGTCAAGTAATAACATTAGTTGAACGTGAAGGAATGACATTGGAATATCAAGGAATGACATTGGAATATCAAGGGAAGGCATCCGAATGTCACTGACATTAATTTGGTATGAACTGATTATTTCTCAGACAACTGAACGACTCAATCGGGCTTTAAACTATAAAGAGAAACATATGTTGTTACCTTTTGCATTTTCATAATGCACCTCAGGCGAAATGGGGAGATTGTCATCAGTCCTGCAAAGAAAGTAAAACAAATATAAACGTGTTTATATAATATAAAAAAAAATAATTTTGATGCCAAACATCAGATTTCCTTGAAAATATATTTTAATTTGGAAGGACGGCAAGGAAGAAAATATCCTTTTTTTCAAAATATCTCAACATCTTTAAACACCTTGAAACTGCCCCAAGTGCGTATGTTTCCTGTGATAGAGCTGTATACATATTCTGGTCCGATGTCACACCACGGAGCATATCATGGCGGGCCCACTACGCTTTGTGTTTCTTTCACAATATTTCGTCAAAGTAATCCATTAGTGATATAGCAGGATGACGTGCACCAGCGAAACCGATCACTGATAGACTAGACCTTTCTGTTATTTGTAAGCATTGCGCGCCATTTTTTATGGTCCACCGCAAGCGCACGTGGTTGGCAACATATTTTCCCAAAAAAAGTCCTCCTAAATCCCTCATTACATAAGAAAAAGGCATGTTAAGGAATTATTTGGTAATTAATTTTGAATTTTGAACACTAATTTTTTTAATGTAAGTAGGCATAACTGTTCTTAGTGCCAACCACACGTCGCCGACAGAAAGGTCTATATCAAAGCCTATTACCTTTTTTTCGTGGCTTGTTTGCGCCTGCGTCGGATGAAGAGCAGTGAAACAATCAACACGCATACAAAGATACCCGCTATCACTCCACCAATCACGGCGCCCGTTACAGAAGAGCTTAGGCCTCCAGGATCATCTGGCTCTGAACCAAGCGTTGGGGTTGGTAGGCCTGCTTCCTTTACTGAAATATAATTAAATAAAAGAAGATATGAATAGCTAAAGTTGAATTATCTCATTAATCCAAACATCCTGGCCGCGTGAACATTTGTTTTATAAAATAGGAGGAATGATGTATAATGTTATTAGTGAACAAGTGCATCTGAGCTAATAAACTGAATTTTTATTCATTTCAAATTGTAATGCCCATCCAGATGTTTCCAAATCTGAATGAATAAGATCTTGTGATACTGTTGTACTTACTGATACAAGTTCCATTGATTGGGTTGCACGTCTCAATTTGCTCATCACAGCTGCAGTTGTGTCGACAATTGCTTCCGTAGTAACCGTCCGGACACTCTACAGAACAACTGTATTGAAGCAAAGATACATTATGTACATGTACTAATCCATTTTCAAGCTATCGCGACAATAACAAAAATATATCATGGGTTTAGGTCTAGTGAAGATGCTTTTGGAACATCCGGAAGTATTCGTGGCAAGTTTCCTCCTGCCGAACACGCAAGTCAGACAGCAAACTATTAAAATGTTGGTACAGAAACAGAAAGTGACTCATCAGAGAAATACATGCATGTGAAAAGAGGCGAAGGGTTGGCACAGAAACACATGACATAAGAGAGTTTGACGGACGCACAAACAAAAAAAATGACCCTACTTCATTCCGTAGAACCCAGGTGGGCATAGACAGCTGCCATCAATACGGTTGCACTCCAAAGCGTTGTCAGGACATATGCACGTCTTGGTGCAGTTGCGTCCGTACTTCGATGGTCCGCAGCTGTTACTGCAGTTCAAGCCCATCCAACCAGCTGGACAGTCACAGTGTCCAGTCAGGACATCGCAAGTGGCGTTGTTCTCACACTGGCATTGCTTGTCGCAGTCCACACCATACTTACCATCAGGACACCTGCCATTGAGGGGAAAAGGTCAATAAGATATCAAAGTTCAACAGATTTGATAATCCGATCGGTATGTTGAGTCTTTTGTGGATGTGTGTAGTTTTATTTAAAAAAAAAAAAAAAAAAGGAAATAAAGGAGGGATATTTTGGGGTGTTTAAACATATAAAAAGGGGATATGCATCATAATGCAGTCTCTCTTTACAAACCGTCTACGGTAATCGATTGACGTAAATTTGCATTAATGGTGTCCCCGAAAGAATATGATCCTTATTCACTTTTAAAATCGAGATGTCGTGAATTCCCAACTCCTTAACTTTTGGGAGATGTCCATTCCGGGCTACTGTAATCGAAGAGAAGGCTTCACATGAAAATGGTCCCCTTCCATCGATGTTTTTGCTCGGCATATTTTCTGACGAGTGTGATTGTACCCAATTTATTTTTGTGTGGTTTTACGAATTTGGAACTCGAATAGATTTTAATGATTAATTATCAGAATCAAAGTCTCTCAGTCCAACTTGTCCTCGCCATTGATAATGCACATGCACACACAAAAAGCAACTTGTCCCGCACATCCGAGGTTCAGAGATGAGGAGTCCTTGACACATTCTTCAATCTGCTGTGACAATCCATATATGCCTACCAACTGACTGGCTTTGGGGTAATAACATAAAATTCTCACCCGGCATAGAAATTGCAGATACCCCCCGAATCATCCCTCCAGCCTGGCGGACACTCACAGACATTGGTGGTGTGGTTGCATCGTTGCCCGTTGATGCATTCACCGCCACAGTCGGGACACACACCACTGTCACTTGCTACAAGAGTGCAGTTTCTATCGTCGAGTTGTTCACTGACACATCCATATATCCGATCGCATTTGTATCCCCCACCGTCACACGAACATGTCTTTGCACAGTGTATGCCGTAGTGTCCCGTCTCGCATTCTTTTGGGAATAAATAAGTTTATAACTATTGTATTAATGTATGTAAAGTTGTAATCAATAATATGCGCGGTGTGACCTCAACATTTCTTGCGAACCACGTACGATCAGAAATTGTCAGGACGGTCATGTCAATCACCTGAGTCTTCCAGACTTAGGTCACGTGACAAGCTTTCCAAAATGAGCCATGTCAAATATTGTCCTTTATAATATCAATTATGCTGCAAGTCAAGCTTGTCTGGATTCAGACAATGACCTCTTGATCCCTCCTGTATCCTAGCTGATTGAGGGCGCTATTATGCAGTTCTGAGTTCAGTTCGCTTTTGTCTACCCCGTAAAGCTAGCCAATCGCTTTCATCAATTTGCACGTACCGATTTAATATCATATCCCCGCCATACTATTATTCCACGGGCGTTTTGGCGACACCATTGTGGTCTCATTGGATAGATTTCTGCGCGCACACGGAATGTAAGCGCACCATTGCAATCACGACGCTACAAGCTATACCCACAATGCTTTGCGTATCCTACAACGATATCTCAGAGTGAAAAAGATCATCAGCCACATTGATGATTTTGAATTCAAGCTTTCGTTTTAAGTGAATAAAAACGGGGAGTAATATAGCTTTGAATGAAGTCCTCGGAGGAAAATTAATATACCTGCGCAATTTCCTCCCTGCATTGTCCATCCGGGACAGCACTCGCAGGTCTTTTGCTTCACCAATCTATATTCAGAGTACTCTCTGGGAAAGAAAACACACACAGGAAATGTTCACTTGAAAATTCAATTGCACGTATTCCGATAATATAATAATAATGTGGTGCTTGTATATAGCGCTTTATACCAAATGTCTTAAAGCGCTTCGTAACTATTACACCTATTCATCAGGCCATGAGACCAGTTTTTGCAGCAGCTCGAGATCAGCGCAATCTGGTTTCTACCTTCACAGGTACCCATTTTTTTACTCCTGGTCCTGCTTCTGGTGGTTACTGCGCAAACACCTCCTAATAAGTGGTTATCTCGCACAAGTCGGAGTGGTTGGCGCAGTGAACCACTCTATCCTGGGATAGAGGCAATTGCAGTGTAGTCCAAGAACACAAGCACCATGTTTCCCGTCAGGGTTCAAACCCACGTACACCGTAACCATAGGACCACGGGCCGGGCGCCCCATCACAAGGCCTAGATGTAGTCCCAGCATTTAAAAGTATTTCCGGGGGAAATTCGCCTCCGGGGCGCTGTCCAAACATTGTATGTTTGCACACATCATGAGATACAACATACGAGCGTTTTACTACCATTGGCCCTGCTACGTTTGCATTCGCCTGAAAACGGATGACAGACAATCGACTTAATATATCTTAAAGCTATTTCTCTGTGATAAAAGTACAGTGCGCAATTCAATTAAAACCTATACGCACTGGGGGTTACTGGGGTGATAGACTACCAGGTACTAGTGTTTGGGGAAAGGTGAAAACATTTCTTCCCAAGATAAAATAATTGAGCAAATTGTAAAACTTGATGCTTACCGACGACAGAGGAAAAGGCACCACCAAGGTCTTCTTGTGGTCGTCGTTCGAACTGACACATATTCGATATACCTTCAAGAAATGACCGAAAAGGCGAATTTCAAATTGAAAATGGATTGGAAACCGAGACTCAGTGCTAAGCCATTGTATGACATGGGCCTTATTCACGAGTCAGCCATTTTGAATTGAAAGTGAGGTAAAATCTTCATTTCTGGAAAATGCAAGAAATGAAAGCAAGAAAATTACTAAGTATTTAAGCCAGATTAAAAAAAATGAAAGTAAAATAAGGCTTCATAAATAGTCTGGCATCATTCCATTCAACAGTTAACAATTTATGAAATACATTCAGGGAACACGACAAAATGGCCGCCTCGTGAACAACGCCCATTGATGACGTTATATTTTTAGATCCTCTCTACAAAAGACAGGGCTGAGGTCCTCGGTTTCAGTGCATATTTGGAAGTCATCAATAGGACACACGTTTATACGAACATACACACCCCGCAGTCCGCACCAAAGGTAAGGAGCCCATTTTGTTTGTCATTGACACACCAGGTTCCCAATGTTTGTGCACGTAAACGGAAAAGACAAAAAACAAAAAAAACAAATAGGCCTAAGGAACTTCACGCGAATTCAAGCCAACAACCATGAATCTTCTACTCAAGTATCGAAAGTAAAACCAGCATGAACCTGCTTGTTCCTGTGTTGACTCTTCTCTTGCTACATTTTATTTGAATAGTATCCGGGTTTTAAATACACGTAGTGCCTGTGCCGAAAGGGCATTACGGTCATGACACCGTTGCAAGTACATCATCACATGGCGCAACTGATACGGATTTAATTTCAAGGTAAATGTTTTTTTTCGGGGCAAAGGGCCAAACCTTAGATTGTAGAATTAAAAGGGACTTTCCCCAAAGTATACATCGATTTTAGAGGAAAAGCAATGCGGCAACAGTTAAACCATGTCACAACATAATTATAACAAGCTCAGCTGAGAAAAAAGGGGGAAATGATTAAACGATTAAACATCAGGCATCATTTTCTTATGAAATATTGAAACAATGAGCGTAGGAGGAAAAACTCCTTCATGACTATTCCAAACAGCGGCGTAGCCAGTGTTCTCACCATACCGGGTGAGTTGGTAGGGGTGGGGTTGTTGCTGGATGCTACAGTGGGGGAGGAGCAATTTATGTAGCATCCATGCTGAAAAGTAGACAGGTTTTTTTTTTCATCAGTCTCCCGGCTTCCGTAAAATCAAAAAGTGTGTACGTGTACAGGGTTCATTACGGGGTAGAACACACAATAGCACAATAGACCCCACAAGGAAGTCTTTATAATCAACCTGCCCCATAAGGGAAATGCTATGGAGTTTGAGATTTCAATAGAATACAGGAAAACAAAAGAAGAGAAACAAAGGTCTTTTCCATAAGTATCTGTGGGTAAGACTGTGTGTGTTTATGGTGTAAATCAAGGACACACAAAGTCATGACGAGAATCATGGAGTAATTGAGGACAGGAGTAAAAGATCGATGACGAGAAACAATAGAAAATCCTCGATTTACGCCATAAACAAACCTGATGGTGTGTGTGTGAGTTTGTTTCTGCATTGAACAATAGAGGACAATAGGGTCCCCAACTCCCAAAGGTCCCCAATTTGGATTAGTGTACAAAACATATGGGCAGTCTTCCTAAAAAGTTGGAGTACAAACAAAAGAGGGACATTAGGGGGTCCCCTAATTGCAGGCAACTACACACTTGCGTGTGTGTTTGGGGATAATGAGGGGGGGGGGGGAGGGGCTGGATCGGACACCATGTAGATACCATCTTTCTAATGGAACACCCTTCAAAGCGGACCCCAGCGGACAGGAGCTCTCCATGGCGGCACAAATAAAGACGTTCGCGCGACGGCAAAAAGGGTCACTCGTGAAAAAAAGGCCGCTCGTGAAAAAGTATAACAAAATAGCGGTGGGGCCGAAGTTTAGCTTTGGAGCCGAAGTATAGGGGGCGTGTGCCCTCCCCCCTCCTGGCTACGCCACTGGTTCCAAGGTTTCGATCTTCGAATCAAAACACGAGTCTCAGCAGCCGCAATATACCCAGAACATCCTCGTAAGTTCTTATCATTCGGCGTGAGCAGTTCGTGCATAGGATGATGAGAACATAATACAAGCTAATCAATCGACTTACCAGCATCGGTGTTGCGCACTGTCACACTCATGTTCGTCGTCACGGAGTTGCGATAAGGACCCACGACACAGGAACACCAACAAAATCAGAGTCAGGAATAAGAAAGTGTGTTTGGTCATTGTTATTATCTCTGTGATGAGACGCATGCCCTCTCTGATAAATGGATGAGAGGACCGTACTTGTTGCCGTGAAGTGGTAGGATCACAACAAGAAGGAGCTTACTGAACGATGAGTCGAGCAGATACGGCAGAACTGCGTCGTTTGTTCCCACCAGTACACTCTCAGTCTCAACTGTCCTTCTATTCTATGCGCGATGTTGTTTTGTGGCATGAAAACCGCAAACTGTGGTAAATATTAACTAACAAGGAAACGCAGTGTGTTTTCACCCGGCAAGTTTCATTTCTGTCGTATTAGTTCTGTTTTCACGGATCTTCCTTAATTAAGTTCCTTGTGTACACAGTGCCTAACAGGTGCATTGAGCACATAGGTCCCGGTCATAGCGTGAAGGTCTGTGCATGATCACACTGAATGCATGTAATGTTACACAGGTACTGCGGAGTTCGTCATGTATAGAAAGGCAGGCGCATTGAACCGTATCCGGTTGTGACACTAACACTAACAGTGCACAGAGGCTCGATATACCCCTTTTTTGAGTTATACTTCATGGGCAAAAAAGCCACCTGCTCATTGAGTATCCGGCATCAGTAACGGATTACATAGTTTTGTTTAAATCAAAGACGATGCGCGGATGCGTTGTTGAACCCCAGATTATTTGGGGGTGGGGTGGGCATGGGGTGGGGGTTGGATGGGTGAGATGTTGACGTTAATTCCCAAACAGAAACCAACTGTCATAGACCCCAATGATAAATGCCCCCACTTCAGAAATTCAGGAAAAACTCTCCAAGGTGTTCGAGACATACATCCAATTAAAGCTTATTTCATCATCTTTCATTGTCTTTTCAATGTTCGGGGGGGGGGGGGGGGTTATAACTGATGACTTTTAAGAGAAATTTCCATCCGAAGATGATCACCCTTAAAATCGTTCTGAACTAAGCCCATCGCGATTTTGAAAAACAATGCCTACACTCCATTGCAAAATAGAGTGCTTTTAGTTTTAGGGACCCAGTTTCCGAGCCAAATACTGCAAGCTCACAGTCCCGTGCACAGCTTGGCCGGCATGCAAATCGTGATTTGGCCGACGTAGGCAATTTTGGTCCCATTTACTGGTCTGCAACCCTATGCATTATAATATAGACTCATCACAACCGGTTACACGTGACCTCGCTTTTTCGGGAGCTTACACTGGACATGTGTTAGAGCGCCATCAACGACTGGGAGCTGAACAGTGAATTCACGCTCCGTGTCATAAAACAAGACTATTGGTTGCTCAGATAGTAAAGGCTTTGCCAAAATACCACCTGAATATACTTCATACAATACTGACGTGCGGATGATGAATCTTTTATTTATTAAAAGCAAACAAAAAATCACGTATGTTTTTTCTTTTCTTTTTTGAGAAAATAACGATACAAGAATTGTACGGATGATATCTGTTTTATTTGGAGAAATCTGTTTTATTTGGAAATGCGTGTGGGATGTATTATCAATAAAGCCAAACACAAATAAATATGTTGTTTGTCTGTTCAATAAAAGGTACTTGATCATAAGAAGAAAAGATGTACCATTAAATGTATTTTACGACAATTATTTTTCATAAATCGCTTAGAAAACTATACCATTGAAACATGCATAATTGCATCAAACCTATACATGGTTAAGCCCCCCCCAAATAGTCGGTCTCTAGTCAGACCGAAGTTCCGGAATTGATGCGGCGACGCGGGTTTTTTTTTCAAGCTTGTATTGTACAGACAAGGTACTATTTTGCTTTTTTGTGCCTCATTATACATTGGTGTCCTCCAGATTTTGCCTTGGTGCCCTTTATCATTTGCCTTGGGGCAATTTCCCCATTCCTTGGTGCTCCTTGGTACAAACATTTGAGGAGGCGCGGCAATAGAGGGCGCTGTCGTAGCTTCCGTGTTAATTGAAGAAAAAAAAAGGTTGACGCGCATGATTAAAATCGACGCGCTCGCTGACCAGAGACCGAGTATTTTTTTTTTGGCCTTACTTATATTTATCTATGTTTTCTCTATCAATATATGGCGAAATGCATTGGTTAAACAACCAATTTGGAGTTCGTTCCTCCATGATTGATAACGGGCAACTGAAAGCAATAAAATAACTCCCAGACATTCCAAGTGAGCCAAATATACATATAATTTTAATGAACTTTTTTGCAGCACGTGCAGTGGGTGTAGTTAGTAGACCTGTGGCCTGCAGTGTCGCTGCACCAGATCAGTTTCATTTCCTTCAGGCAAAGGACAAAATTAAAAACAAAATTGTAGCGTGTGTTCGGTTACATCAGTTTCTGGAGACAAAATGAATTTGTTGAGACAAAACGAAACAAGCAGTTGTTGTTGATAATGTAGGCTACAGTAGCAGCGGAAAAAAACTAGGATAAAGGGGAGAAATAGTCCCTTGGAATTTTAACCGGAAAAATTCATTGAGCATTTTTATTATGAGGCTGGAAATAGGTCACATCGTTATATAATTTTATCCATCTTGTCTATTTTCTTATAATGTTGCAAAAAAGAGCTCAGGCCTGGGAGATAACATCTGTCTGATAATTGCATTAATTTTTTTATTGTTTTATAATTGTTGATCTGTCCTACTCGTTTTGTCTGTTTTCTCTTGTAAATGACAGCTGCTTTTGTTTCTCTATTTGCATAAATTATTTGCTGACGCCTACAGCAGTTTAATTAAGTAAACTCGAACAGGTGCTGCTAAATGGCACATATTCCGCTTCCTGTTTCCAGATGTCACATCATGATTTTTTTCTGATATTCTTATTTTTGTGTGTGTCAGTCTTCTTCGGCACCAGCGTTAATTTCCGTTATTAATTAGGGAGTAAGACTTGAAAGTCTTTACAACTTTCAATGGGTTTTTGACATTTTGTACGACGACTATGTGTAAATAAGATACAAATTACCAGATAGGGTCTTCAGTATATAGTGCTACAACAGAGATATCCAAGTGTTGAGGCTTCAATCACACCGTCTAAATTGATCAGTTCATTACAATGTGAATGTTAGTAGGCAACACTGGTAGATTGTACTTGTAGGATTATAGGCTCAAATAGCGGTTTTTAATGTACGAACCCCTACTGTACACATGTACATGTATGCGAGTTCATGGGTGTGGCGTTCTTATATGCCTCTATCATTCTTATAATATTACCACGCAAAGATATTGAACCATTATGTATAGGAACAAGTATATTGATAACATCACTTGACCTTAGTCCTTGTGATTTCAGCAGCCCATCTCATGGACACAGTACTGGCAATAATATCTCTCTACATCTCTGATTCGATCACGAAGAAGAGTGCTTTTGCCTGAATGGTAACATCGATAAAAAGTGTCGATCTTGCCGTGCGTAATTTTAAGATACAATATGCATTTTCTCAGAAGCCATGCGATAAGATTCGCGGGGAACCAAGCGGACATGTAGAGCCGAGGACACCAATGAGTTTTAAGTGATGCTACACTGGCAGGTTTCGGCCACATGTCCTTAATAGTATGGTGGTATTACCTACCCATAATGCTTTGGGTTTCCTTCACATGCAGTACCTTGTAAAAAATAAAAGCACCTTTCAGGAAGCCAGTCTAGAGTGTATTGACAGTAAGCTCTGAACCACGTGGAAAACTCAAACAGAATAATTAACGATGTGATTACTTAATAAGAAGCTAGTATAAAACGTCATAGCATGGCTTTATATTTTACAGAAGATAATTTATGCAACAATCATAATTAACTTTACCTGTATTTTCAAATTTATATGAGCATTTAGCTCTGAACTATGTGAAAAACTCAAAATAAAAAATATTCGCGGGGTGTTTTATACTGAGAATCTAGACATGCAGGCTATTATTTTCCTTCCGTTGTGTCCACTTCACCCGCAGGTTTGCTCCAAGCAGAAACACAACCCTAATCACTGGCAGCCCCTCCCGCAGCATCTTGCCTGAAGACATCTCACTGAGATTGCATCAACCGACGGCCACCTGGCTAGAGACGAAATCACGCGAAGATTAAGACTACAGACAATCAATAAAACGGACTCCATCGACGGGTTATCGGGGAACGAGAGGTCGACGTAGCGGCGTGGATGATTACTCAGTCGCTACGGACACGCTCACCAAACGCGTGTATGTTTAAGGCACTCGTGCACACACGGGACATGAAAACCGGTGTCCTATATGAAATCTATATACTCCTGTAAACTAGTCCGGGATCATTTGTTTTTACCTCACCCGTAGAACAGTTCATTTGGCTTCTTCATGAGATGTAGGCCCTTGAGTTTGGGTATGAAATACAGGTTCATTTTATACATCAAATCTTATCACATTAACACAAAGGGTAGGCCTCTACCCGTTGACTTAGAAGGGATATGCTTGCAAAGCATCAGCCAGAGATGTAGCCGAAAACTGTAGAGCAAGCCCACCTGACTGAAGCCCCACACGTAAACATGCATGACTGTGGATTGTTTTTAAATGCGGGATACAAATTATTATGCGGGTCGGGAAAATAAACTTTTATAGCTATTATATTTATCACCATTTTGTGTGACTATTTCACCCAAACGCATTTAGATGCCTTAACTTAACATATTGATGTGCCAGATAAAATAACCACGCAATATTTCAAAGCACCTTTTTTCCGCGCTGCATTTTGCCACACTGTGACTATAAGTGAGACATGCGCGTTACATTCGATTGGACTGTACTGCAGCAGGCCACATTTCACACCAAGTACTATCAGTGAGAGGACGCGGCAAGCTAGGCGGCTGCACGAGGTACAGTGCTTCAGATTCAATAATGTTTCATCAATAAAAGGACCGAGTATCCAGGTAATAGTATCGTGTGGTGAAGTCCGTGACATTTTAGCTTTGTTGCTGGCTGGGGCCATCGGAGCTAGCCGCTACGTCCCTGTGACACTACACCGTGAGTTCACAGCCGATAAGCCACGTACGTCTCCAATCATTGCACATCTTCGGTCCGGTCATTATTTTTCTTCGAGCAGTGTTCACATTTTGTAAGTACAATGTATATTGGTATACAAACTTCAAATTTACTTTGTAGTAGTCGACGGCTTTTAAATCGTGCATCGTTGGTTTTTAATACATTGGTAAGATTTCACGATGAGACTGCAATTAAATAAAAGCAAACTGACTGCAATCATTTTTTTCATCGATGCTCATACTTTGATGTCAGTTTGAAACAATGGTATGATTTTCAGTCACTTGTGCAGTTGCCGAAAATGCTCACTTGTTGAACCATAGCACCTGCAAACACGGACATGTCAGGATGCAAATAATTATGATAATTAATTCTCATGTCTAGTTACTTACGCCGGTACTTAGCGCAAATGACAGTGGCGTGTTATTGACGTACACCGTGAAAGCAAATTTACAGACTGCACTACCTTAATGAGTCAGGCAGGCGGTACCGCCGAGTACGTGCGCTCAAATCCCTCGCATTAACCATCTCATTGTGTACACATCTCACTATTTGAACACAGATATTCTTTTGTGGAACTTGGAATCTTTGAACTTGAATCTCTATGTGATACCACGAATCGATATCTTGAGTTTTTGTCTCATAATTATTTGCTTTATTAATATGGAGCATGTAATAAAGCAACCATCCTAGCGCACCAAAACGTCCCCCTTTAGAAAACTTTCTGTAGAGCAGAGAAGAAAGGAAATAATTTATTCATCTTAAGTCGCTGTTATAAGTCATGGGTATGTGGGTGTTATCACTGAGAAAATCAGAGGCTTCAACTGAAAATTTCCACTTATTCCCGCTGTTAACAAGTGACCAAAAGGAAACTTTGTAAAGCCTCTCCGTTTAAGTTTGAGACAATTTAATAAACCACAAAAGAAACGGGACTAGGCCCGCTACTGATCGTGAACTCTAAGTGTGAGAAATCGATTTGTTAGTGCCTTGTGTCCTCTCTGATCCTACGCACTGCAACGAGCTTACTGCATCTACCAGAATTTCCTGTTGTATCTCCTGATTCCTTTTTCACTCAATGAAAATTTGTTTCTAGTAAAAATTGAAGGAAAATTGATGCTGAAACTTACCTTTCAGATCTGAGTCATTTTCATGAAATTATTACATGAGTAGTTTTCTTATTTTGATTTTCCCCCCAATAATAACAACCCCAAAGCTCATTGAGTATAATGCGCAATATCTGCATAAACCCCCAGGCAATACATTTTCCGACTCCAATGAATTTGAAGGTTGCATAATGAATGCCGCAAGGCTTATATTTGCAATCATCTCTCTACGCATCAAACCAATATAAGCTGCATACAAAACCACGGTCGATGATGTCCTACCATAGAGGAATAAGACGTCCCGGCCCGGCAGTTAGGAGGATTGTGGTCCTCCTTGATCTTCTTATCCCGTGGGAGAAAGCCAGAACTGAAAAACAAATTTAATTCAATTTATCATGGAATTTGATTACTGAGAAACAGACTTTTGGTTTTCGTCAAATGGAACTAGAACTGGAAAAGAGAACTGAGATATTCACAGAGTGAAGCATTATGCGTTGATGAGACCAACGATGGGAATATGAGCATATTATTAAAGAGGGAAAGGTTGAGGATTGACTTTCATGCATTAGTGATGCTTGTTTTCTTGTATAACATGTTGTTTTCCCCTTGTGAATGTTAATGAGGTAGCGGGACCAGTGGGAGTAAATTATTCACGGAATTAATGGATGAATAACTCATATACCGCCTACGACTGGAAGTTGTGTGCCGTCTATTATGGGAAAGTACTGAAAGAGAAACAGCATGGCGAAGAGAAGGGCGCCCTTAGGAGTGTTGTCATTCCGAAGCAGACTCCTGAAGGCATCGGGATTCAGGTGGGGGATTCAGTTGGGGGATTCAGGTCGGGAGTCAGGTTGAGGGTCAGGTGAGGGAGTCAGGTGGGGGAGTCAGGTGGGGAGTCAGGTGGGGGAGTCAGGTCGGGAAGTCAGGTTGGGGGTCAGGTGGGGGAGTCAGGTGGGGGAGTCAGGTGGGGAGTCAGGTGGGGGATTCAGGTCGGGATGTCAGGTTGGGGGTCAGGTGGGGGAGTCAGGTGGGGGAGTCAGGTGGGGAGTCAGGTGGGGGAGTCAATTGGGGGAGTCAGGTCGGGAAGTCAGGTCGGGAAGTCAGGTTGGGGGTCAGGTGGGGGAGTCAGGTGGGGGAGTCAGGTGGGGAGTCAGGTGGGGGAGTCAGGTTGGGGGTCAGGTGGGGGAGTCAGGTGGGGGAGTCAGGTGGGGGAGTCAGGCAGGTGGGGGAGTCAGTGGGGGAGTCAGGTGGGGGAGTCAGGTTCGGGGAGTCAGGTGAGTGGGGGAGTCAGGAGGGGGAGTCAGGCAGGTTGGGGAGTCAGGTTGGGGAGTCAGGCAGGTCGGGGAGTCGGGTGGGGGAGTCAGGCAGGTCGGGGAATGTGGTCGGGGAGTCAGGTCGGGGAGTCAGGTTGGGGAGTTTAGCGGTACTTCCTTCGCCTTCCACCGCTATGACCCGGGTTCGATTCCCGCCTGGGCCAATGTTGATTGGGTTTTCAGTCTACTTGATTCCGTGGATTTTCCTCAGAATATTATTCTGGGGTTTTCCTCCCTCATCTAAAACTGTAATTTCTGCACATTGTCTTTTTATATGGGAAACCAGTGGATTCCACTGAATGGGCTACAAGGAAGTTAAAATAAGAACTAAATAAATAAATAAACACATTTGCTAATTCTGCCGGTTTAATATAAGGTTAATTTGCACTCTTTCATCACTGTGACAATATATGAAGATTCAGGATTTTGCCCCAACTCTTGAAAAAAATCCTCTACACCATGTACGACTGGGACGCCGAAGAACTCCGGAGCACTACGTCATTACTCAACGCACATTAATTGTACCATAGTGCTCTATGATTGCACATCTCATGTATTTAACATTTTTTTCAGGATCCAATGGCGTGTGCTGTAAAGTGCAGTTCATACATCATCTTGGCATGCCAATTCATCTATATGCCAATTACAAGAATTTTCACGCAAGTACATATTTATACATGTACACATGTACATGTACATGTGCACATTTACCACTTACAAGTGCATGCTAATCAGAAGCTACATGTACATGTACATGTAGGAAAAGCTACATCCGGTATGCAGTGAATCACTGCAGTGATCCCGGCACTGTAGTTCTCTATGCATGTTTACGTAGGCCTGTAGCAGGGTACAACAACATACCAGATTATCCCGTCAATAACGTGTGGCCTGTGCGCCAAATATACGAGTATCGCCACTACCCAGGCCATGCCCAGTAGTTGAGCACCGACTGCTGCTCGTACAGCATAGAGACAATAATGGATCGGTAGTGGTAAAAACACAGTGACTGATGTGACCCAAATCTTTGTGGAGACCCCAATGATACCCATGGCCAGGCAGCAACAGAATGTAGTGAACAGTAAGTACTCCTATACTATGTGATATGAATGAGTGATCATAATAAGCTAAAGATTCTTCCAACCATGACAAGAAAACAAACGTTGGTTCAAACGCAAGGTTCAGGGATCGTTCGTTGCACCATGGTTGCACCTTGTACACTTCTCACGACCCGGCTATTGTATACTAGAGTGGTAGACCATAACACACGTACAATGCGGAATAGTCAGTATCGATTTCCATTAGTTTTTGGTCAATCTTCTCGGTTACTTCATGTGAAGTATTAGTACACACACTAGAACTGTTCTATATGAAATGACCATAGTACATGTACATGTACAACAATGGAGGGATTCCTCCGTGGTACAATTAGCTCGGTAACTTAGAATGTGATGTTGTGTAGTCAAAGAAGTTCTAACGCGAAAAATCATTCGAAATACGAATAGTTTTCTGATAGTTCTGATAGTCATTTTGTCCTGAGCTTTCAACCATGGAGAAATAAAACACACCCCAACCGACAGTGTACAGTAGAACCCAGATGCGAAGCCATAATGGTTTGACTTTGACCATGGAGAAAGGACACCACAGTTAAGGGACATTTTTGGTTTGGTGGGACCATGGAGCTATAATTAAAGGCTCCATGGTGGAACCATGGTGGAATGGAACCACAGTGGATGATCGGGGACGTCATGTTTGTGGAATTACATGTACTTGTACCATTGTGCCAAGCGATGGTGATAATATAGGGGCCATTGGTGTCACACTCCGTGCTTGGTCGACCTTCATGTCAGGGTCTGCTTGCAGCAGGTCATAAGGGAGCAATGTGTATTCTCTGTCTATTTCTGCAGAAATTTAGAGTTAGAACGAAAGAAATATTCATTACGCAAACTTGAATTGTTTATTTAAAAGACAGTGGTTACAATACAACATTACTTAATTCTACCACAAATTGAGCCACAAGTGCAGAGAACATGCTTAACATTCAGTCCAACTTTTCTCGTTATTCCCGAAGCCAACCAAATGCTCAAATGTTCATAATGGGACAATTACTTATTAGGTCTTGGCTGTTTCGAAAAGTGTGAATATTAAAGTAAATGATTTAAGCGGAGCCATGAGACTAGACTGGCACATGTCCAACACTTTGAGATGATGCCCCATGTATGAGTCTGGTTGCATATTAAACTTACATGAAACTGTACACAAAGGGGACTATGTACATGTACTAGAGGGTTCTAGTAACTGCTTACACATGTAGTTGTGCAGTACTGAAGAAGTTTTGGACCTAACCAGTTTCTAGTGCCAGACGTTTTTCTTTCACATCAGTGACGTCATTTGTTTTTCACGGATGTTTCCAAATTTGCGGTCAGGACTAATTCACATCTTGAGAGTCCCACGTGATTCGTGCTGGTCCCAGAGAGCCAGTCTAGTATCCTATGTGCATCTCTCTGACTGATTGACTGGTTGTTAGTTGTGAATTACCCGTCTAACACTGTCTTACACTGGTAGACCAGCTTTGGACCTTGCCTATTAATGTACGTGACGTAGAGCATCTACACCACAATGTGCATATTAGTCCGGCGCCGCTTGTTTCATACTTCCGTTATAATAATGTGCCGGAATTAAGTCACGTCTCCATGCCAACGGCGAAAGTGGATTTCTCGTTTCCTTCATGTTACTACTTTACTGGTTATTCAACAAAGATTTTAGCCATACTGAATCAATTTAATAGATATGTGCGCTCTTTGGCATTAGCTTAATAGCTTGCCTTGTCTTTTTCGACTCTCTCTCTCTCCTTTAAGAATTGGTGATTTTCAACCAAGTGATCCCCTCAATTATAAGGTCCACTATTCTGGTATAAACACCACCGTCACAGTCTGAACTCACGAGTGATTATTATAGCTTGGAGGATGGCCATCTTATTCCACCAGAGACCCTCGAGCTGTCACTCAAACGAGCATCAAAGCCAGCGGCAATTCGCCTGTCCTTCATCAAATCTGGCCTTTTTTCCCCATCAAAAAATAATGTTACGGAATATCTCGTTACGTGTTCCTTAGGCAGCTGGGTACTCACCTCTGAAATCGGATCTTGAATAAAGAGCAGTGTGCCTCTCCAGGGGAAGGGACTCGTTTCCTGTATAAGCGAATTGAGTGTCTTGAATGTTTTCATGTTTTCTGCTGAAACATGCACAGAAAAAAAAATCTCATCAGGTTTTAATGTAGTAGCAAATATAATACTATCAACCCAAATTGTTATCAACATTTTACAAAATCTGGAATATCGTTGATTTGATGTTCCTAAGCTCGTTCGATAAACGAAATTATTCCCTTTTCAATTAAAAAAAATCGTTTTAGTGCACCATAATTCCCGAGAGTGTTTTGGAGTCTTTTGACTCATCTGCTAATGCGAATTTTCATATTATGTGCATATAAGCGGGAAGGGGGGGGGGAGGGGGATGTCATATTGATCTGACGCTGCTTGAGCATAAACATATCAAATGTATTTTTTGTTTCAATTTAATTGTCTTTGTGTCTGTTTCACTATTGGTTCAGAACATGGAAGGCCAGTCATGGACCAAACGTGTTTTAGGTCCTTGAATATTATGCTTAAAAATTAGAAAATAAAATCAATAATCTGTGATTTGACGTCACAGGAACAGCACCCCAATAAATAGTTTACAAGAAGGCTCTTCACAAAACGCTTTAATCAAAATAGAATGTTCGACTATACTCCCTACACGCGGGTATCTGCAGAATTATCTTAAAATGGAATATTCACTTCATCAAGGCTGTGCACTTCCTGTCAATGCTGTCTGCAGTACAGTGATTTTGATTAAAAATAAAGATGCTTCCAATTCAGAATAATATTATGCAGACTCTTTGGAGACATGCCAAAATATTAATTCCTACATGACATTAGGCTGTAACTCGATTGAACTCTATTTCCAACATGTCATCTATCTGCAGTTTGATTGAACTCAATGAGCCATTACACCCACAAGTCAGTTAGCGTCGGTTCATGAAAGCAGCCTCAATTGCATAATATGTCATTTTTCATAAATAATACGCATGGGAACACATTCGGATGAATAGTATTCTGTTGGAAACGCGTTATTACCAACGGACGCGAAACGGAGCAGTGCCACGCTTGACGGAAATTTCAGAAATAAGAAAAACGGTTTGCGTCAATTTAGATAGACCTTTGTGTTCACATCATGGGCAGGAAGGGTGTAGGGCACTCTTTTTTGATGTTCAGTGGTAGAGGCCCTTGTAATATCCAACATATTAGAATACTAATGAGTCAAATTTTATGACGGATTCCAGCACGACGTTTGTTGTGTGCTCATTCAACTATGTCTTCTTGTTGCTAGAACTTTTCTTGTACTGCATAGCAGTTTCTTGAAAGCAAGAAATTTTGCACAGACTATAGTTTAGCGTGTTTGCTTTTGAAAAGAGGCTTATGTCGACGGCTAGGTGAAAGTAACCCGAAAAGGTAAACAAAGACGCCAAATGACAAAAAGGCGAGCCAACATTGGCAGTTGATAGGCTTCGCAGTTCACTGAAGCAGTCAGGTTCTTTATACCAAAATATCCAAAGTTAGAGTTGCGTGAATCATATTGTGCTTGTTTCCCCCCCCCCCCCCCAAATTGTAGGACAAATGACATCACTGGCTCTTTGGCTTACATTGTTTTCAACTGAGAGTATTTCAGAAAGGACAGTGACAAATGTAACCTCTGCCCCCCCCCCCCCTTTTAAAAAAAGGGATGATTACCAAATACATTACCACTGATATCCTTTTGGCATCACAGTGTTTCCTTCGGCTATAATGTTATACAGGTATATTTTTTAATGTGTTCTTCTTTTACGCCTTTAATGTTGTCGTTGCAGTTTAAATTATGTCAAATTGTTCGATATGGAGTTGTATATAGCTGTTATTTTGTTCGTTTGAAACATCTGGAAAAGAATCCCTTGCAGGAAACTACAGACTCTTTTCCCTACGTTTGTGTTATTACTCTTTATTTGGAAGTCTCTGGTTTTGCAAAGACGTCATATCTCGCGTAGAGTACATCCCTATAGAGACTTCATGCTAAAAATTACGCTCCCAAGAACAAAGTAGATATTCCATCCTTTCGGTCCATAGGAGCAAACTTAACTCGCATGAATTCGCGTTACCATGGAAACCTACATGTATCAGAGGAACTCATGCTTGAGACTCAACGCAGATGTCATGCACAGGATAACAATCTTCGATAAAGTAGCATGATAGTTGTTGGACTGGTCGAGTGCATACATACATTGTGCTTAGGGCGGGTCTGCTTAAGAAGGAATAATGTGTAATCTTTATTCCAATGATGTAAATATCGTCAGAGCAAATTTGCTTAACGATTGGCAATGAGTGTGATGTCTTGAGTTTGCTGAGTCAGTTTTCGTGATATGAGATAAGAAATATGCGCCAAAGCTGAACACAGATTTAAGACGACGATTATGATGGAAAGGAGTTTCTCATTAAAATCATTATTAAATGCATTGTTCCGATTTAAAAACGAAAACAAACGAACTAATAATGTTTACATAAACGTGTAGTAAAGTGATACCTGCTGATCATTGCTTCGTCAGTTAAATTTCCATATTAAATTTGGTTGGGCAGAGGCATCAAAGTTATTGTAATTTACGTCCGGCCCAGGAGACTTTGAGGGCGTGAAGATCATTAATATGAACTGACATGGCTTTATTTCCTTCGTGATTGACTCTGTAATGATGCGCGAAGTTAAATAAATATACAAGTCGAGCAGCCGAGAGTGATGCGTAGCGCGTTGGATAAAACTGTGAGTCAAATTATTTGTTTTATCGCCAGTCACCAAAGTATGTATTTATTATCTTGATTCCTCACGTTGCCGGCTGGGTCGGAGAGGTGGCAGGTTTCCTGATGTACCATTTTTAATACATGTAATATCCACATAGGCCTACAGACCCGTTATCAACTCCACACCGTCCATGCTAATCGTGTTGACGTACTGCCAACGGACTCTGCTGTGTGAAGCAAGATAGGCCAGGCAATCTCCACGCTGTTCGACTTCGACCCTCCCGCCTCGTCTTTCCTCTCTTGCTTAATTGAATCGGATAATTTGCCTGCCAATGCGTGTAGTGTTGTTAGCGCAATTTGCGTCTACGCCCGTACCTCATAACTAAAAGGGCATTTCAACTGCAGTCTTGCTCGTTGTTTACGTGACAAAGTCATCACAAATATTCATTGGTGTTCCCTCTTTAACGTTCATTACATTTTTTTTCTCACACATTCTCGGACGCACTGATTTTAGAGTTCTTTTAATTGAAGGAATTAGGGACCTACGTTGGCTTAGCTTAGCGCAACACCCAATAACCTTTTAAATACGTCTCCCGACCCAAAATTTCAATTTCGTTCAAATAAAACACATAGACCATGCCTTCAATTCAAATACTGCGATATAAATTTAACGCTGATTTGTCTATATGTATAGACCACTACAGTGTCAAGGTTTTACATCAATGGTCCTATATAGATACCACTGGTGTTAAATTTAACACCGCTATTTTTGTAGCTTGCATGACAGCCATCTTGGATCTGCAGTGTTTTTGTTTTGTGCATTAATTTTCTACATGTGAAATTGGGCATTCGTTATGAATCAAAACAACGAAAACTTCTTAATTATGGTTTTCTGTTCCTCCGCGCTTAACTTAGTGCGTCAAGGACTCGATATCTCCATCTTAGCTTTGCGCATCTTTTGCTTTAAAATCGACAAAATCAGATTCCATGTCCGTAAATGCACGGACCGAAAAATATCATGCCGTCTCAACTCCAATATCTGAAATCGCTTCCATACCATAATGTTTATGATGTTGGTCATTCATAACATTGCATGTTATTTCTGTGAGTGTTATAGGGATTTTCCTTTCATATTCAGTGATAGCAATTGGAGCGACGGACTGTGGACCCAGGGGAAATTACGTTACCATGGTGATTTGACACGCCATTTTGGATGGATGTGTTAGTGATATTTTGAGTTCAGTTCGGAGTACTTATTTCAAGTGACTTTTGTTTTGAATTTCAGGTCTCATTTTGAGAAATTAATTCAAAGGTAAGTTTGTTTAACTTCAAATTAAAAGGTAAAAGAGGTGAAAACATAATGAAAGTCTTTTCATTAAAGGCTACACATCCAATTTCTATTTGTATTTCAATTACCATTCAATTCAGTGCTGCAATTCACAATAGCAACCGAAAGTACATAATAAGTGGTTTCGATTTATTCTCCATTACTGCTGGTTGTTATAGAATTATGAAGTGGAACCATGTCCCTAGATATAATCTAAGAACAATCAAAAGGAAAGACAGTTAATTAATGATGTGATGTAATCACTACTGATACTTTTACATCATGTTCAGAAGCATGTCCTAAACATTTTGTTTCTGTGAGGAACTTGCCGCACGATTCTCCATGTCACGTAGTCTCATTTCCTGTCGTTCGTTTTTTTCTGGAGGCCCTGGTAATATTGTCGGATCTGATTGGGCGTACGTGCACAGAAAATAGCCGTGTCTCAATCGAGGCAGTCGTCGTTAGAAGTAATAAATTAGTCGTTATTGAAACATGTACCCACACTATACCATCGGTTTGACTCGGGTGTCACTCTGACGACCAAGCGGCACTTTTTCTTTTCCCGCCGACGTGACTCGCGGAGCAATTACCGATACAGTAAGAGTCTTTTAGTTGGCATGGCAACGATCCCTATTCATTTCGAGAAGACGCTTGATGGATCCGGCAAATGGCGTTAAAATTTAACCCGGGATAAATATTTTGTGCTTTGGGTGGAAATTGTGGTCCTACAACTTGTGCATTGAAAATGTACGTGGTAATAACAGCGCGGTTGTGTGTAGGCGTATTTTGATGGTTCGTTCTTAGAGTACAGACCAATTCGGGCAATTATATTACGAAGGCCCCCTTCTATGGCGAAAACATTGTGTTATGGCTGTTAAGATAATCCGTCACGTGACAGTTACTTTGTACTCTGGCGTGCATAATGTTTCTCCATTAAAGGGGGCCTCGTGAATGTACAGTTATAGAGGAATCAGTTTCACACTCGTTTTTTCCGTAGCCGGTTTTTTTCACATCGAGGTTAATTATTGGTAGGCAATCATGATAGGCGATACTATAGTTACAATGTTTGCTGCCCATATACGCGTGTTCTAGTGTGCCTCTGTCGTCAACTCACTTCCTTCATTGGTTCAGCTGCGATCCAGACGCAGCACATTCGGCTCCGATATTTGCATATGAGAAGCAGCTCTTGTACTGTGCTGCTTTTAAAAAGTAGCGGTGCAGTTTGCGGTCTGAATACAGAATTATTTATGGTTGGGCCCCGAGGGAGAAGAACACTCTAGATTACGAAGATACAAGAAACTGAGTCATTTATCTCAAAAACGCGACGTCAAATTTCCTGAAATATGGGTCGACATATTGAGATAATGTGTCCTTCCAGGGGGAAAATAGTTTATACTTATTCAAGATCGTTCGTTTGAACGTGACATCTTACAAAAACTAAGAAGCTAATAATTCATTTCGCAAATCGACTGACAAAGAATCAGATAAATATTATCGAGTCGCCTTGGTACACCAGTAGTAAATATTTTTGTTTCAAATAAAAATGCTTTCATCGGATGCCCCTTTTAGCTCAGGTTTGTTGTCTTAAAAGGATGAACTACCTGCATCATTATGTTGACCAATCGCTTGGAATAAGCGTACATAGCAACATTAAACAACGATACTGTTACTTTCTCAGTCTGTACAATGTAGAAAAGACCATTAGTTATAATGAGCAACCAGAATGCCTACCATAAACAGCAACAACTACATGCATGAAAATGTCAATGATATGAATCTATAATTAAAGCAGAATTCGATTACAAATGAAAAGTAGGTTGACAAACAGCGTTGGTAAGCGTGTCCATTAACGCTGAGCTTTTAGTAAAGGCTTCGGTGCATGGTCAGAAAAGGGATGGTGAACGTGGTGAGACTCCTGATGTGTGTGTTAATGTTGATGATCTAGTGGTGAAAATGGTGATATTGCTGAGATGATGGTGTAAACGAAGATGATATTTATGATGAGGAAAATGATGACGATGTAGGAAATGAAGACAATGACAGAGTAGCATGAAACGCCTCATTTGATGAGGATATTAAATCGTTAATTATACGGGTTTCCGATCAAAACAGGATAAAATGTATGGAAAATCCATTAGTTGTATCTTCTGTAATGGGTCACCCTATATGAAAAGAATAGCGGCCTGTGGTTTAATGTGCTTCATTGAATGACTCACGGCCATATGGCATAGGGCCCGTTTAAAAATTAATATTTTATTGTCTCTAAAGCCCTATATATATACTTACTGATATTACGTCCTCTGCACTGTGTAAGTGCACACACACGTGTCTAATAAATATCACCTATAGACATGATGGCAAATATACTCAGAGAATTGATAATTCATAATAGCAGTGTGTGTTGATCATTGTGGCGTTATGCAAACATAGTTCTGCGAACCGCTGTTCAAACAATCATCACCACTATGGCTCTGAAATAATATAAGAAAGTTAATTCAATTTCCAGATGATTATATTATATTTACGGGTCGTGTGCAATGTAGCAGTATATTACGTGTGAGTAATTCAGACGTCCCTTATCCGAATGGATATTCGATAGTTTTGCATTCGTATTGGGAAAGGGCAGTTTGATAAGTTGCTTCACTGGACACACTACTATCTCCGAAATCTACCATCGTCAGAATACAGACCCAACTGTCTTTCTGTATATGGAAAGGAAACAGTCGATAACGAGTTAACTTTTATCACAAAATTTATCTGTATACTTGATACCTTCCAATCTGGGTGCAATTTCTTCAGCGAAGAATCCCCGCTATAGGGGGCCTATAGCAGATAAATTGTTGTAACGGTAAGCGTATTCCAGGGGTATGACGGGAAATTATGGCTGCATGCTTACATTATTCTGTGCTTACTGGGTGAGTGTGTAATTGCTATGCTATTGCTGTAAGCTCTGAAGTATTGTGGTCATAAGCGCAGAATTCCGTGGTTAGCAGAACTAAGACGTCAAACTCATCTTCTTTTATTCTCCACAGTAGGCAGCCAATCGGATGTCGGAAAGATGACGTCACGTTCCAGACTCTCCGTCCTTATACTGATGCTCGTCCTGACGTTGCTGAGTATCCTGGCGTACTTGCAGAGTCCGCTCCAAATTGGTCTTACCAAGAACATTGTCGTCGGTAAGGACACTTGTGCCAGTTAACCCAGTTTTCGTATTCCCGATGCTTTGGTTTCTTGGTCAAAAAGGACGAAGCTTTTTACCTACAAAAAATAGCTGAAATCCTGAGTATATTCCCTACGATTTGTCGTGTTTGTGTGCAATAAAAACACCACAGTTTGACTCATTCTAAATGGTGGTTACAAACGATTCCTGGGGCCGTAATAATTTGGTACTTAAAGATACAGTTAATAAAGTTTTAGATAAACAGAAAATCAACAAATCGGTTGGTCCTTCAGATGCTTCGCAAGACACCTTGTACAATAGTCAACTACAACCCATTAATAGTGTATACGTTCCTTGATGATAAAATGTCACTTGAGAGTGTAATCGTATAATTCAGATTGAAATTCGATACATTAAAATGTCAATGACTTCTCAGGGTGCGTATATAAAGTTAATGTATTTTCCTGGTCATCATTATTATGCAGTGTTGTAGTCGGTATTTTCCCGAGTCCCCAAGTAAAGTGTACAACAAGGTTGAGAATTGATTCAGTAACCTTGAACTCAATAACCAAGTTTATTCATACGTCGACTGAGTATTCTGCATTGACAGAAACATTTGGAAACCAAGTGGACAGTTGAATGTTTTTTGAAGAACGCTATCCCTTGTTCCATTTGCAAAACATAGACCCGGGTTTCAGCAAAGCTTTTTGTCCAGATACGTAGATTAACTCATATACCCATAATCAAAAACCTACTACTCAGACGACACTGCGTGCTGGTTCAGGATAAATCCACACCGTCTTATTTTTCAGAATGATGACTCGACTTCAGTATGCATGTTGTGCATGGAATGCATAAAAAAAATACACCAGCCTTATTGAAAATGTACCCTACCTGCACTTGGGCTGTTCACAGTAATTGTGACACCACCTGACCCGACCTGTGCATGACTCAGGATGGAGTGGGCTGGGGTTGATTTCCCTCTTGTTCTGAGTCTAGTCGTGACAATTCTGGTACAACTACAACAACAGGATTACCTTCATCAGAATAATCAGATTCATGTGTGCTAGACAATTGTTGTAGTCATATAGGAAATCGGTATAGGCCTACATGTTCGTGGTACTTATATTGCAAGGTGCATGTTTAGTTAGTTTTAGTTCAGTAATAAGCTCTTTATGCCCCTTTCCCCCCTCTTATTGATGTTATTGCTTTGCCTGCCTGCTTTCTTTTGACTACATTTTGTATGGTGGTTTAAACGCATATTATTGTAATGCAGTTCGTCTTTCTTTTTTTAATGAAAAAAAGGGTTATTGTCATATCGGGTTTTTTTTTTTTTTTTAATTTGACACACACACCATGCTACGAAGATAATAATAACCAAGAATAGATAAAAACAACCGAAATAGCCAAACATTGCATTTATTAGATATGAAGTCAGTATGTTACTTATGCTTTTGAAATCCACCTCAACGCCTCAGTTTCAGTTGTGTTTTTTCCCCTTCAAAAATCAGTCTCTTTTTGGCGGCAATATGAGGAAATGCGAAAAATAGAAAACCAAATTTATTGTCACATTGTACTGACACAGGAAGTGTTGTCTTGTTTATGCAGGGAATTTCCCGCCACGTCAGAGGCATCTAAATGACATTGCAAGGACGACACTGCCACAAGACATGCTGGGCAACAGCACGGTAAGTATCAATTATCGTCTCGTCTCAATCTCAATGAGGACATTCAATTTCTTAATGATCTCACTGATTGCCTGACTCAAAGACTGACTGTCGCTTGTGAACCGGGCAGTGCTATCGTATAGGGTCACCCCGCAACGCCAATAAATGGGATAAATCCGGCCCATTGTGTAGATCAGATACATGGGAGACTTCCAGTGAATAAACATTCTGAATCGATTGAATAGATGAAGGATCTGGGGTGAGCTTTACGAGGCGTCCCTGGTCGTGTTCATGGTAAACGAGGAGATCGATCACTATTGAAGCCTGCGCAGACCTCTTGGCTATGAGAATGAAAAAAATGAAGACCACCTCCTACCTGACAATTCGTTCGATCGAAGGAAGATAAAAATGAAAGAAAAGAGACTTGATCACAGAAAACTTGTAGAATAATTTGGGGCATTTAACTCGTGCAGATCGTGGTTAATTCTGCAGGTTGTGGGTTCGAGTCCAGCCTGGGGTTGTGGTGTGTGTGCCCTAGGCCGAGTGAGCAAGGCACTTTTTTTGTCACTTATTGCTTCTCCAAACCCAGATGGGTATTTGAGAGGGCAGAGATGATTATTGTGGTTGATTCTAGCTGCTTTGCGCCGAAATGGCAGCATCGAGCTGTATACTCCCCAGGGAGCTGAGATGGTATTTGGAATGTTTATTGGCCCAATGATCAGGGATAATAATTTACTTAAAGGCGCTTTTATCTTAGCTAAAAGCGCCATTATAAATACCCGTTATTAAAATATTATTATAATTAGATTAGTGCAACCATATAATGTTCTTTGTGTTTTATATTTTTATATCAGGATGAGGACGTTTCCAGAACTATTTTTAATATCGACAAAGACAAAACAGCCCGTCCAACCGAAGACTTGATGGTCAAAAAAAGCGAAGAACAAAGGACACGAAAATCAGTTCTTCATGAAGCTTGTAAACATTATGATAAGCAGACCAACTGGTACTCGCAGATGAGAATACCCCCAAACATTATAGTGGACGATGCCCACAAAGTTGTCTACTGCTCCGTGCCCAAAGTAGCCTGTACCAGCTGGAAAAAAGTCTTCCTCGTTTTAAACAAATCCTTCAAAAATACATCGGAAATCTCGCAGTATTTCGCCAACCGGGATGGGCAGAAGATGCTGATCAGATTGAAGGATCTCCCTGATGCAGACATCAACAGGATACTGAAATCTTACACCAAGTTCCTGTTCGCCAGGCATCCATTCTCGCGAGTGCTTTCGGCGTTTAGGAACAAATTGGATCCGGAGTCTACCTTTGAGAGAGCCGAGATCTGGCAGCGGACGGTAGGCAAACGGATTCTGGATGAATACCGCGAGAGTCGCAAGGCTGGTGCTCCTTTTGACTTGACATTTGAAGAGTTCATCAGATATCTGACTGACCCAGAGGTACCGCGTAAAAAGTCCAGCAATAAACACTGGTCGCGAATCTATGACCAGTGCCTGCCATGTGACATTGACTATGACGTCATCGGTAAGTTTGAAACCTTGAACGAGGACAGTGAATACATCTTGAGGCTCATTCACGCCGATGACGTCATCTTCCCGGGTTCAGACTCCAGTAGCCCCACGGGGAGTTCCAACCAAACTCGGCTAGAGTCTTACTACAAAGGAGTTCCACTTGTCGACCTACAAAACCTGTACCAAAGGTTTAAGATTGATTTCGACATATTTGGCTATGAACCGCCTACTCTTGCGTTCAAGGGAAGTTAACATCACGTGTTTAATATGCATTCCTATAAATAGCACAGTGTGTGACTGCAGAGATTTACTGACCGAAATTATGGGCGAACGTTGAGAAACGTTATTGATCCTTCCTGAAACACTAGACAAAAACCAATCTATAGGTTATACCATGCGATAGCCGCGTGATCTCACCACAATCCAAATTGTTGCTACTATAATGCCAAGCAAGTTTCTACGATGGCCAACGTCTGACGTCATTATTGCATTGAAATGTTGTTTTGTAATTTGGTTGATATTATTCCGTGATTAATATGCATGTGACGTCATAGTGACGGAATGGGCAGTTGGCTCATTTCACCAAGTTGAAGCACTGTCGAAGGAACGATCTTGTTCGGGTCAGTAATTTACATGTGACCAACAAAATTGTGTCATGTGATAGTTTGTCTCAACTTACTCGCCAAATAAATATTGGTCCTCTGGTGTCACTTACCCAAAGAGAAATGTTTGCTTTTAGAGACTATATTTTTACATATATTTTTATCCATGTATAAAGCAACAAGTGAAGAAATGACGAAATGCTTACATTTATCATATTAATGCGATGGCGATAGCTACAAATATTTCCAGTTTGGCCCGTGTGGTCTAGCGGTGGAGCACAGGATTCATGATCGTGAGGTTGTGGGTTTGAGCTCCGCCGTGGCCATGCGTGTTGTGCCCTTGAGTAAGGCGCTTCACCTCAATTACTCCTCTCAACCCAGGTGTTAAATGGGTACCGGCATTATTCAATGCTGGGAAGGTAACAGACTTGCTGTAGAGGAGTTGTGGCGACCCCCCCCCCCCTCCCACAGCAGCTTATGAGTCTGGCCCAATCGCTAATGAAAGAGAGATGGGCACTCCGTTCCTGTTAACACAGGTTCGTCCCCTAATCTCCAGGTGATACCGTTTGAATAACTTAATATACAATGCTCCCAATTTCTGTGAAATATTGTCTTTGTAAGGTGAAATAACATGTACGGTAAGCTTGATGCAACCACGGGTTGAAATCAACTTTCATTATTTTTATTGTCCCGACTTCACGTCTTTTAGTCAAGTCTTCCGCTTCCAATGAAAGTTCAGATCAGATTAAAAAAAAATGCATTTAATGAGAAATGTATATTTTCGATTGAAACTATTTTTGTAATTACATCAGTGTAGTTTATAACGTTTATATGATTGCACTTGTCGATGGTGTGATTTCGGGGGAAAAGAAATTAAATTTTATGTCAAAAAATTCCCGCAAACATTGAGAAAGGGTGATTTTCCTCGTCCGTCATCATTTACACAGTGACGCAGTTTTGCGATTTTAGCATCGGACATTAATTTTAATGGTTTGTATTTTGCACCTTGTAACCCATCAGTATTTATGGCAATTCCTTACCAGAAGTGCAGGAAAAGAATGACATTTCGAAGGATTTTATTTATTTATTTAATATTTTGAATTCGTTTGCTGTGTTTCTCCATGACAAAGTATACAAGTTTGTGTTGAACCTCTTTTATTTCTTTCCTTCATTTTTTGGGGGTTTCTGTTGGGTGTTGCCGGGATGTGTTGGCTACAGTACTCTTAAACCTGTAGGTACATTGGATATTGGCAATGGCTCATAGTTTGCTTTCTTTTGTTTTTAAATAAAATTATGCTGCTAATTATATCACTGCCTTAATAAATGACAATAAATAATATGCAAATCAAATGAAAAAATGTATGCAAACATAAAAGTTCTTTTATTGGTTTAATCATGCTAGGAGTGCTGGGATCCTTTGGGTTGGTCGGGAGTTTTTGGCAAAGGATTATCTCAATGACAAGGCATTCACAATCTTGATGCACTTGCTTTTGAAGCTTTCAAAGAGAAACCCGCCCCCCGCCCCCCTTCAGAACTTTGATGCGAGACGTCCGTGCTTGGAATCTCACCCACGGACCATTATGTTGATACCACTGAAACGTCACGCTTGAATTTTGCTTTCTTAATTACTTCCGTTTTGGATTTATACCAGGATTAGTAAAATTGTTATTTTTTTCGACTCGATATTAGTACGCTCAATTTACTTTAAAAAAAGAGTATTTAATCGTTGAGGGCGTTCTTTTACAGTTTGTTGAGGGCACAGAGGGCGCCCTATGAAAACAACAGTAGGCTGGCACCTTGCACTCGGTATTTTCAATGCTCGATATCCGTACAGAATTCAGGGAATCAAACACCTTTACTTACTGCACAATTTTGTACATTCACTCAATGCCATGAATGCTGTACTGACACGTCACAGTTCACCCGAATTTCGTGTGTTTCTGTAGAGCCACGTGTTGAAATGAAAGCTTGGAGTTGTTGAATTCAACACAATAGGCGAAGTGCCCCTTTGTACCTATGAGTAAGTTGGATCCACACACTGTGGTCTCCATTGCTTCAGATGCAGTAGAAACTCAAAAGTTTAGACCGGAAGTAAGTAATTCCGATCGCCGTCCGGCTTCTTCCGAACTCAACGACAATATGTTGCGTCCAAACGAAGGCTCAGTCCAAGCGCTCATTGTATGTTTTGTGGGAATCTTTGTGTGCTATTTCTACTATGGAATTCTGCAGGAAAAGATGTAAGTATGGTAAAGCATTTGTGAGGAAATAATCGGAGTAATTGCAGAATACCCCGCCACTCGGAAATACACCCCTAAATTCTCTGGCTACGAGGTTGGAATCACTGGAAAAGAAACAGTTCAAGTCCATGCCAGCTATGCGGATACTGAGTGGGGGTCCATTATTTGAGAACGAAGCAACACAAAAGGAACGGGAGTTGCTGAAAAAAAATTCTAAGTCCAAACCAACCACCCTGTTGGCGGCTACGAGGCTACGGAGTGGGAGTCCCCTTGAATATGCTTGAGAACGAAGCAACACAAAAGGAATGGGAGTTGCTGAAAAAATTCTAAGTCCAAACCAACTACCCTGTTGGCGGCTACGCGGTTACGAAGTGGGAGTGCAATGGAGCATGACGCATAGTACATACAAGTAGCGCTGAGAATGTTTATTGAGGTCAACCAACCGTGACCTCGTAGCCGGCTACGAGGTGGATAGATTGAGTGGCGGGGTATTCTGCAATTGTGCCAAATAATCTATCATTATTGTGGAATTAATATTAATAATAAAATTGATTCCGTCTGGCAAAAGTGGCATGTCTGGTAAAACCAGTAGAAAGAATTCCATATATACGGACATCATTGTTTTCAATATTTTTGAAGCGCCAAAATTATACCCTAGTAATTTTAATTAGCATGATTAGTAGGGGATAAATTCTGTGTATGTACATCACTTGTTCAGTTATTCGCCTCCAAACTGATAAATTTTACCTCACGTACCTTGTGTAAACATGGAGGTTTGCTCCATGGAAATAATAAAGGAATCTGACACTTGTTACTCTACTTCTGTTTCCTTCTTGAACACTTGGCGAAACGACAGCCTGTATATTTTCTTTTGACAGAACAAGGAGTGACTATGGCAACGGTGAGACCAAGGAACGTTTCAACTATTTCTTCTGCCTTGTACTTGTCCAGTGCATCATCAATGCTTTGTTTGCCAAATCAGGTGAGGCTTCTGCAGAGTATACTTTCATTTTTTTTTCTTTTTCAACACTGTTCATAAAACCTTTAAAAAGCTCATGATTATCCATCCTGTTATGATGTACATATTTATGTATGTATGATCTTTTGAAAATTGCTTTGTGCACACTACAGTCAATTTGGCTTTGTTCCTGAATTCCTCCAGCCCTGCTGACTCTAGCTTCATCTGCTGGTCCAGACTCAGACCTTGAGTGCAGACAAAATTCTTCAAATTTTCATAAGGCAAAAATAAGGTCCCTATTTCACCGGCTAAGTTTGAGGTCTCAATGCAAATTTTAAAGGAGACTTCTCTTCAAAAGATTTGCACCTGAGAGATGCAAATTGATTTCAATTTGAAGCCAAGACTAGACTGGTATGTATCAAACTTTTTAAAAAGATTGACCCTTCAGCAGTCTGGTGGCATGTCTGTAGAGGATGTGTGGAAATAGAGATTGGTACCAGATGTTTCTTTTGAAACAATTGATTGATGCAGTACTAAAGGGGTGTTGGACTGGTTGTTTCATATGCCAGTCTATGTTATTGTGTTGCATATTTTTACTATCTTAAGTTTTGGGTGTATTGAGAGCCCCAACTTTTCAGACTACTGCTGGTCATACACAGAGTCCATCCACCAGAATGCCTTGCATCCTTTTCAAAACAATTAGGGGACAATCCAAGAAATGATGTGCTACTTTTTAAGCCTCTTTGTTCACAAATTATTGTCTGATGTCATGTGTTCTTTTCTCAGTCTTGTTATTTAGTAAACCAGGCAAGGATACAACGACCACCAAACTCTACGCATTGTGTTCCATCACGTACCTCGGTGCTATGGTAGCCAGTAACTCGGCTCTGAAATACGTCAGTTATCCCTTCCAGGTGCTTGGCAAATCATGCAAGCCCATACCAGGTAATCACACACCAATCTTCATTGACATGGGGGGGGGGGGGAGGGGGGAGGCCTCATTCCCCAGTTCACAGGTCAGGGTATAATGAACAGGGGATGAACAATGACAAAAAAAAACCACAATTTTGTTGAAACTTAAAAATGTTTTGAGTAAGATGCATGGCGGAGATACTAATGGATGAAAGGTTTGGGGAAACAACATGCGGGAATAATTTCTCAAACTAAGAGAATGGTTCTGAAACAAACTGGAGGTAGGAGCTTGACGTTCCTGTCAGTATGCTCTGACTGTCTTCAAGAGAGTGCGTAAACTTCTAAGAAAGTAGACGCATATTCTAAGTACCAAATGCGAATCGATGAAGTGTGAAATTGCATCCAATGGGGATGCCAAGTAGCTGGGAGCCTGGAGCAAGCTTGGTGCGCCCATACCCACTGCAGTGCAACTTTTTGAAATTTATGAACAATAAATGTAAAAATAAACAATATATATAATACATATATTTTTGTCTTATTTCAGTCATGCTACTTGGTGTCCTCCTGGCTAGGAAGCGATATCCTCTTGTCAAATATCTGTGTGTCTTGCTGATTGTCATTGGGGTGGCAATCTTTGTTTACAAGGATAGTAAAGCATCGTCATCGGTAACGGAAAGTTTCTTTGGATATGGAGAAATGCTTCTGGTAAGACTGATAGCCTACATGTAATTTTGTTCCTCAAAATTCAAATCATGGTAAATCCTTGGGTGTCCTAGTCCGAGTGTCAGACATTCACGTGTGCAGAGAGCCACACGAACGAACTTCTGATGCGACCCCGCACGCCAGCCAATCGGAGTCAACTTTAGAAATTGTTTCATCGTTTTGATAATAAATGTGGACTAAGCTGTTGATTGGTCAACTTGTCTGCCATTATTTATTTGTATTGTTTGTTTCAGAGATGTCAACAGATTGAAAATCAGGTGTTGCCCTTCGTTGACGTAATTCCATAAGCACTGAATACTCAGTGGTTGAGGGCTCACGAGAAAACAAATCAAAAGCTTACTAGGGTGGGACTCGACCTCGCGACCTCCTGCTTATGAGTGCAGTTGTCTCACCACTTGACCAATGAGCATGTCGGAGTTGGCTGGCAGTTACTCGAAGTTCAAACTGCAGTATTGAAATATTTCTTATATTTAATGTCTTATTCAGATACTTTCCTTGACCTTGGATGGGCTGACGGGAGTAACACAAGAAAAGATGAGATCGGAGCACCAGACAGGGTCACATTACATGATGGCTAATGTCAATCTCTGGTCTATCGTGTATCTGACCATCAGTGAGTATTACATGTAATTGCCTCTGTCCTCCCTTGGCCCCTTGGATAAACCATGTGACATGACCCTCTGTAACAATTGTTTGAGACTGGCATTCCAGAGTCATGTTAAAGGGAATATATATACATCATTTGCTTTTGCTGTAATTTTCAGAAATGGATGGAATTGGGGGGTTGGAAATATATAGCAAATATAGTTACACTGACTTTTTTGAGGTTTTGGGTTTGAAAATGCTATAAAAACCAAGAAAACTATCATTTTCCTGTAGTCTGGTTCCCTGACTCCATATAAGAAGAAACAGAGCAGTTTACATACATTGGGGAATTGTAAGGTCAGGGAACCAGTCTAGCTGGCTCGTACCCGTTCATAGGTTTGTAATCGATTGCAAACAAGTGCGATGGTCAATTGGGGCCAGTATTTGAAAAAAAAAGCCAGTTGTTTCCAACGCTGATCGGCCGATCAGCGTTGGAAATTGATACAAAAATACCACTTTTCTTGAAAATGACAGTATACCAGATGCCATGACTTTACAGGATGCTTTACACTGTTATTCACTAACAGTCCAGCAATGTATTTCAAAATGATTTGGTAGTTTTATTTTTTGATGTTTGCAAATGTTGTTTTTTCCCTTTAAACTAAACCATTAGGCCAATCAGCATTGATTTTTAGGTTTTCATCACTCGAGATTGAAAAAGATCAGTCAGGAGGGCAATTTGTTTTATGTTTTATAAATTTTACTTCTTCACATTCAAAGTAAATTAAGGGGACAACGTCAGATAAACTTAAAAGAAGACACAACAAACCTGAAAACTACTCAATTAGTTAATATTAAGTACCAGTCAGCTGTTTAATAACCTAGGGGTTGTGTCTAGAATTTACAAAGGGTAATGAACCTCACGTGTGCGACACCGTGCCTGTGGATTTGGTGAGAAACTTGTCTGAAAAAAAAGCTTTTTTTTCAGGAAAAAACACATTTTCAGAAAAAAATATAAAATATGAAAAAATCGAGGCAGGACTGAAAATCGGGAGGGAGGTGATGAAATCCTAAAAATCAACGTTGATTGGTCTTAAGGAGATTTGAAGAAAGCACAGGAAATATTTGCCAGTTGAAACAGTGAAGACTAACCACATGCACATCAAAATTCGGACTGTTGCAGCGACTAAGAACAACTCAAGAGTCTTGCCAATGGAAATTAATACATACCTGTAAACCTTGCTTATGTAAAGCAAAATCTATTTAGATTGACCCGAGTTGCTCTTAATGCTGTTTGGTGCAACCCCGTAAGGGGGGTTAAGTTGTTTTTTTATCAAAGTGCTTTTTTGGTCGCGCTAATCAGCAGCTTTTTTCTCACACGTGACTTGGTCATACAAAAAGGCTCCTAAAAGTGTTTTTTATGCATGAAGAAGTGCCTCAATAATTATGTTTCCTGTTATTTTCCTTTTCCTCCAGCTGTCCTAGTGACTGGTGAGGTATTTGAATTTCTGGAGTTTGTCTCCCGTTACCCCTATGTCGTTTGGAACATTCTCACATTTGGAGTTGCTAGTGCACTTGGCCAGGTAATACATGTATTTCATCAAATTTTGTTTCAGTTTTGTGAATGGAATATATCTGTTAATTTTAAACAAAAAATACCTTTTACACTGAATATTCAAGAAATATTGTTTTCATTATGTTTTAAGCTTAATATGTTAAAGGTTCACATGTATCCAAACTGCTCTCCCCGTGCTGTTTTTGAGTTTTACCCTGTAAAATGGAGATTCTTTTTCTATTGCTGTTTTTCCAGCAACACAAAAATTATTCACTTTTTGACGAGAAATATAAACCCTAAAAGTGTACTTCAGAGGGTTTTAAAAATATGCAAAACAGAATTGCTTTTTCCCATTTAAATAAAACATAATTATATTAAAAACTTGTCAGGGGAGAAAATAGTAGATATGTTGAAGTGCAAAGGTAGAGCAGCTTGAATTCTCGTGATATTCAACATTTGAAATGTTTTCATCTTGTTACGTCTCTTGACCAAATTATTGATGGCCCAGTGGAAAGCACAAATATAGGAAATGCATACAGTACATGTATGTATTAATTGAACATGTCAAGTGGACATTTAATGTTTGGGAACGGACAGTGCTTACATACATATGCAGCTTTAAAGTAATGTCAGTGTGTCTTCAATGTGTCTGTTACCGAAGTAAAAACAGTGTGTGTCATTATCCTGTTGCCTTCACGCATTGTTACAACTTTGACAGGTGATATTTCCTGGTACCCCTAGGCCCCTAGCATTCCCCAGCTACACCTAGAATTCTGTCTTTCCTTCCTCCAACCCTAATGATTCAACGCCTGTTTCCTCCCCCTCGCTTCCCTTTGCATACAGCATTTCATCTTCGTCACGGTGACGACCTTTGGCCCGTTGACCTGTTCCATCATGACCACTACCCGTAAGTTCTTCACCATCCTGGGCTCGGTCATCTTGTTTGCCAACCCACTCGTGCCCAGGCAGTGGGCCGGGGTTCTCCTGGTCTTCACAGGGCTTGGGTTAGATAGCATCTTTGGAAAGACTAAACCACAGAAAGCAAAGTGACAGTCAGTCAGACAAGTGTGACAAGGAGGCAACCAGTGGGTTACAGGTGCCAATGTTAAGAGTCCACATTTGCAGTGTGTATTTAATGGTCAATACCGAGGAATTTTTTAATGGGAACCTTAACCCTCCAGAATCATACCAGTTTCCCTATTGTGCTGGACCCCAATGGAATATTCTTGAACTCTCAAAAACCATCAGTCCTTAATCCTACAAAATCAAAGGATCTGGATGGGCTACAGTTAATGTTCAAACAGTTGAATGGATTCTCACCATAGTCTATCCTGAATACTCCCATACCCATCCAAATCCAATAACTGCAAAAACTGTGAGGGTTACGGTTATATGTTAACATTTGAATGGATCATCACCATGGCATGTTACCCGGATACTCCAAATCCATCAAAATCCATTAACTGCAAAAATCCTCCAAAAACTCTTGATGGAGTTTAAAGGATCTGGATGGGTCACAGTTAATGTTAAAACATATGAAGGGATCCTCACCATGGTCTAACCTGGATACTCCCAAGTCCATCAAACTCCAACAGCTTTGACTTGATTTTGATGGATGAAGGACTTCAGAGCCCTGGCACCATTACTGGACTTTGGCAATGGTGACATACATGGATGTTCACAAACCGACAACATAAATCCACCAAGCTCCTACACTGGTTTAGCATTATTGGCCTTGATGTGCCATGTTTATCTTCAGTGCAATCTGTGTCAGTATATCATGTTTATACTTGATGTTCATAGAATTGAGTGAATACTCAGCACTGTGTTACTTCAATACACTGTATTCCCAAGTCCATCATCGGCTCAGACTTTTTTTTCGGATGGATTCAGGGATGTAGATTCCTGGCATCATTAGTTTTCATGAGTGAAGTTTAGACTTAGCTTAAATTTCCATTGAATTCCTACACCTGTTTCCACTTGATTTTGATTAATTGAGGGGGGTGTAGCACTCTGGACCCATTTTACTTGACAATTTTCATCGAACTTTCTTCAATTGCAGTGTGTACTTGTTTTTTTTACAGTTTGAATCGAAGGAATCTTTACAATTGAGGTAAAATGTATCTTCCGTAATCCTTTACAATCAACCTTCATCCATTGCTTGTATTGGGTTTGATTGATTTTGATAGATACGGGACTGTGCAACCCAAGTACCATTTTGTTTTACACTAGTGGCGTTTAAAATTTGTTTGAGGGTAGAATCTGACAATTGTGTATAAAGGAAAACCCAAAATGCTTGAGGAAGGCTCAATATCACCAGGTTTCATCTTGGAGGTTGTCTGGCCTCAAGGAAACTGGCTTTGAGGGACATAAACTAGTGTGGAAACCATTCAGGTGGTGAAGGATTCTTTCCAGAGACTCGCCCTGCTTTTCTTGATTTAAGAAAATTAATAAATACATTATGTTTTAGTGCGTCTAGGTCTAATTTTTAACGTTATAGGATTCACGGTATCATTTTCTTTAGTACACTGTATATGTAGATATATTTTTATTTACGATATTTTATTGTAAATATAATTACCTGGCAACTGCAGTATTATATGTGTCCTATTTTTCACAAATGTCGTAGCATTAACAGAAAAGACAAACAATATAATATTGCTTTATACATTGGATTGTTTCAGTGTTGAAAATTAAAAATATAAAATCAGTAATTATAAATTAAGAAGCAGTGAATACCGAATAACGAACTCAAACTCGTGGTACTTTGTTTTGAGATTTTATTTTAGTAGAAATTAGCAGTAGAAAAATACAAATAAAAAGTCTTTCAAGCTTCCAAGTGCACAAATAAAAATGGAGGCAAACAATGCAGCGCAAAATATGAAATTTAATTGCTAATCCACATGATAAAGCAATTTTTTTTTAAAAGTAATTCCTTTTGTTGTTGTTTAAAATGGTGGACTGTCGTAATGGTCTTTACAGGTCACAGTGAATCAGAAGAAACCGTCTCCTGTATATATATGTAAGAATACGTAACTAAAGCATATTTATTTGTATTCCAATTTATTTTAGACAGGTTATTTCAGCTTCAAACTATTTTCTGCATGTACGAACATTTAAGGATTACAAACTAAAACCACCTCTGTATTAATTACAGTTCATTTACAGCCAGAATAATTAAAGTGAGCTTAAAGTTTGTGATCTAAAAATACATTTTAGAATGATGAATTTGTGTTGGCTAAATGTTTGCACGTTTTGTTCCCGTAGACATATTTCCATTTCCAGAAGCGAGAATTTTAGGTATGGTCTTGGGGCAAGTTTCAGTTGAATATTAGAATTGTATGTCAACTGAAAGTTGAATATCTTGTGTTTGTACTATGATGTATTCTGGGCACAAATCCACGTTTGAATAGGGATGTTACATGCACGATAAGGAACGACATACTTTGCTCACGTAGCATATGAAGTCTATTTTATTTCCTTGCTTTTTTGGTGTGGCACCATGGGTTTCGCCAGGATTTTTCTAGGGGGCAAAGCACATTTCCCCCCAAGAAATCCCTGTACTTTTCAGAATAGTCTCAATTTATCATTTTTTTTTTCGAGGGTAGGCAGGGGAACATTTGCCCACCCCAACTATTAAATTATCAGCAATATGACTTCGCACCTTTTTTCCTCTCCCCCCCCCCTCTTGCGCCCCCCCCCCTTCGCGACGCCCATGTGTGGCACCCTTTAAATGAAAATTTCAATTTCGAATTGATGATTTTTTAAGTATTGGAATAATGAATGATTATAATAATTAGACAACTCACAAGAAGTAGGCCAACGATAAGATACAAACAAAACAAACAAACATATTGCATAAGCGTCCAATTTTGATATAATAGGAAGCCCTTCGTAATTCCAATGGGATTAGTGCATATTAATCTTCGCTCGTAATATAAAATACTAATGGTGTTTTTTTTAATTCAAAAATACAGTTTTCTTCCTTAATATCAGCAAGGGGAAAGTTTCAGCAGAGCACGGACATACAAATTACGTAATATTCAACAAACACTAAAGCTCGCTTCAACTATTTTGTAGGGAGGACTTTTTATCAAATTTAAAATTGTCTAAAACAAGTCATGGCCCCCCTACTGCAGTGTGCGTTTCACGCGACACTGAAGTATATTCCTATAAAGGTACATAGGAACATTATTTTGCTTTTTGTGATAATTTTGTTTGATGCAAAAAAAATTGCTCCAAATCATAAGAAGGGTGCATAGCAACTAACTTGTTGCAGTTTCAGCTCAGTGTGGATATTGTCTACATTTTGAGAACACAGCGCAAACGTATCTAAAATGTTGGGGTTCTTGTAAGTGTATTCCGTTGCTGAAAAACAACCCGTGCCTCCGGGCAAATGCTCTTAAATTTCTGTCAATGATTGTTTTCTTCCGATTGATACAATTTCAGGCGGAACAATTTCACTTGATATTTGCTACCAGTCAAAACTTTGCTTTGAGCAAGGGTTTTATCGTTCAATCAGTAGGTACGTTTCCGCTAATTGCAAATTGTAGCTGCCTGTAAACAAACGCAAGTATTTCAACTTGGTCGCAAGCTATGGCAACTCATATTTCGGAGTGTCGTAGCCAAACAGTTTGAAATCCCACTTGTATCTTTTATGAAGGCGTTGTATGTCGGTAACGGACAGATCGGCAAAGTAAGAAGCCATTACCTTGGAGGTAGAACTGTTTGTAGGACTGCTGCCTTGAGCGTCTGGAAACGAGACTAGTTTGTCGATTTTGGCAAGCTGGAGGATGCTTCTCGAGTCTGCGTTAATTGTTTCTATTTTCCCGATGAACGTGTAGTTGATGTGACAGGGCCGGCATCTGTGAACCATGCTGGTCCAATGTCTATTGGACATGGAACGACGATCAGTGACGAACCTTACGAAGTCAGGGAATGTCAAGTCATATGTCAATTCTGTGGCCGACGACGATCCATTTCGGATATGAGTTTTGATACGCTTAATCCATCCACTCCACAGCCTGTGACCTTCATGTGACAACTTCGGATCCAGCTTGTTACGGAATGCAGACAGGATCCTCGTAAACGGGTTCCTCACGAAGACGAATTTGGTGTAAGTACGGAGTATAGTCTCCATCTCGTGTCGCCCATACGAACTCAACAACCGTAGACTCGAAGCGGCGTCTTTTTGCACAAATTGCTGATCGCCATCGTAGGCGTTGGCCAAGACGCCTTTCAAGGCGAGAAATATCCGTAACCAGCTTGTGCTAGCCACCTTGGGGATGTTGCAATACAGCAGACGGTGAGTATCATCAACGATATAATGCGTCAGCGCCTCTTTGGACAGGTCTTCGAATGATGCAACAGTTTGGGTGGAGTTAGACATTGTTTGGCATCCCACCTTAACTTGGCGTAGACGTTCTTGCTGGATCACCGCTTGCGCCGCCAGGAACTCATCTTTGCTCTGTTTATTCATCTGTAAGAAATATAAAAAGGTATCAGCTTTTACCCCCATCAGCTTGTCAGTGTAGCCTATAAGGTTTATTAGTAAGTTTTGAATGTAGAAACCCGAGCAATTCTAGTACATTCTAGTACAATGTAGAAGTACAAGTACAAAGAAACATAGATATAATAATACAGTGTCTGTACGCCACACTTACCATCACATGGATAAATTAAAAACTTCAATAATGCTTATATACGTTGTACACAACCATTTAGGTGACGTGCTAGTACAATTATCTTTCCAAATCTTGTTAAAAAGTGTAAATCAGAAAAGAATATCAAGACTATGTTGATCAAATTGCAAAAACAATGAAACAATAGAGCATCAACTCAGTAACTTTTTATCCAACATTTTGTTATACATGTATATTAAAGTTTAACACTAGAAATCGTTAAATTATCTTACAAAACTGCACAAATTATGAGGTGAGTTTCATATTCAGACGGTAAACTAAATAGTGGATTGTTCGTGATGCAGTTCTTTCCCTCAATTCGAAATGAAGGAAGAAGTTATTTATTTAAAATGCCCACAGAGGTGTAGGACAAAGTTGTGTGTGCCCCAAATATCTGGGAACCTGACGTATCTGGGGGCCTGAATTTGATGTCGATAATGCATCATGGGAAGAATAATTGATGTCAACCTGTTTGCAAAAGATATTTTTTTAGTATCATTACTTATTTTTTATCATTTTGTTTTAGGAACAAGGAAGATCCAAAGCTTCCTGAATCCTTTGTTTAGATTCCCACCCTGTTAAAAGGAATGTCTTTTATATACATTGCCAAAGCTATTTTGGTTTGTTTTATACTTCTGTTTGTCTAGTGCCATGTAAGATGGAAAGTGCGCCCTCTAGACGATGTTGTGCCGTCTTGTGTCCAACATCTATAGATAATAGCATAGAAAGAGAGAAGTGTGGAGAAATAATACGGATTGTTATACAAACCTGCAGTAATATAAACTCTCCTTAGACAGACATAATTTGTTTTACTGTCCAATGTGATTTTTGTTTCGCTTTAGGCCTATACACTGTTTCCCCCAAATGTATTTCAGGGAAAAAGTCCTGAATTGTTTCTAAGAAATTTGAATGGAAAACGTCTAACCATGTTACTTAATTATCATAAACAGTAATGCAAATGTCAGATAATGTAATATCCTCAATTCTTACTTCATAGTTTGCTAAAACTTTGGCTGTGTAAAAGCTCTGAACACTAAGAACTTGTGCCGCTTGGAACAAATCCCTCATTCTCACTTTCGGAACATATTCATAAGATGGCATTTGGCGTCGAGGACCTCCGAGTCGGTGTGATGTCAATTCAATATTGGATTTGGCCCTTCGCCAACGCATTTTATAAACACTATATTCGGTGTTGTCCTGGTGCATGCAAGAAACAAATCACAAACTACTCAGGTAAAATACGTCGATCAACCTTTTTCAGTTGCCTAAATTCAGTGGCAAGAACTAGGAGCTGTCAAAATGTACCATCGCTGAGGATAGAGTTAAAAAGCAAGTTATGTTGAACGTGCATAGCATAGAAAAAGGTACATCATAATGTTGATTCACTATGTTCAATGCAAAGCTTTTGTTTCTAATATATGACCATTCATAAGCTATTCCCATGCCAATTTGCATTCCAAACCACCTCATTTCATAACCTATTCAATACACTGTTCAGGCGACCGTACATTGAGTGTTGGCTGTTTGCATTAGGCGGCCATGTTTGAGGTGTTTGATAAGGTTAGTCGCATCTGATGTACGGCATTCGATCTTGGATAAGATTTGAAGGTTTGCATGGTGAAGATAGCCATAAGATGATGACTTACGTCAGCACTATGTGATCTCTTTTGTGAGTTTGTGAGGTTCCGGAAGAGAACGCACTCTTCTTACGAGGAAGAGTTTGCCCCGGTTCTTTATACCTCACAAACTCACAAACGAGATTTGTCACATAGTGCTCCGTAAATCTTTATCTCGTTGATCTTGGATAAGGATATAGGCCCTGTGTGACCTGTTATCTGTCTTTCATTTTCTGTGTCTGTTAGCATGTCGGCCTAGTTCTGGTTTGTCGGTCGGTTTCCTTCCTATTCATTACCCTATTTGCCTCCAAAACCATATCATTGTCAGTCTTGTCACATTATGATTCATGGTTAATTGATTCAAAAGGAATGGGATCAGACGACTGCATAATATACCTGTCTGCGCGCCTTTAATCTTGCGTTGGTTGGTGTACGTGAACAACAGTAGAAACACCGTCATGCATAGTCCTGTTACCACAAGTCCAAGTTGCTTGATGTGTCTGGATGTTAAATACATTGTTCCCCCGGGGATCCTGAATATGCATGGAGGTCAAAGGTTACTTTTACTGGTTGCGAGTTCTTTATAAACAGATGTTGAATCAATTGAAAGAGAAATGAAATACAATTCTTCCAAACACGCATTACGGTATAGATTTGCTGAATGTGCTCATGTCGTCAAACTAACAAGAAACAGCAGCCCATGCGAAAAGAGTTTATGCGGAGGTTATATTTGGTTTATGAATGAAAACAACGTCTGGAGGGCACGTCTACCGCCAGTTGTTAATAAACTTCACACTTGACAAGAAACTTGGAGAGTGAAATATATGGAGCAATGCCAAGACATCATTTTAACAACCAATCGGATATTTCCTTCCTTATTAAACGAAACAGAAGAAAGACGTACGTTGATTAGTTCAACATCCAGGCACCCACTTATAAATAGGTTATGATTTATATGAGACTTGAGAGGTATACTTTTATTTTCGCATAGCTGTTTGTCTTGTCAGCTCAGCCTGAGTTACGATCCGTGTTTGTTTTGTTTTCGATCAATGGAAAGGTTGACAGATTTATTTATCTTTCTCCAGCTCAACTTGTCTCTGCCCATATTTCTTGAAGCATTTTGGGGCTCAAAGAAAAACACACAGTCAACACGTACACGTACGAGGAAGGATATGCCGTCTTTCCGTCGAGTGTAAGAAATCCCCGAGTGCACAATAACAGGATTGGGACTTACAAAATAAAACACGTTTTATGTACCGAATGCCACACAGATTGTTCCATAGTCTGTATTATTGAATCCTACAAGGAAATAAAACACAAATACATTTTCCTGAGAGGAGATAGTGTATACATACTAAACGTACATTTAATTAACTGGCTGGCCGTAGTGAAATGGGCGTGTTTTCGCTTGAGAACAAAATTAGCACGACCGTCATTTATAATGGGAAAAAAATCATCAATCTTTCAATGCATATTTCATCAGCCAGTAGCTGAAGTGCGGTAAAAATCTTCTGCTTTTGATATTTAGTTTTTCGAAAAATGCAAGGTCTGCAGTAATCAAATTGACACTATGTAAATGATGTAGTATTTTGAACTTCTTTAGACATTATATAATTCAACCTTGTTGTTTAGAGCATACTCCCGCGTCTGAGAGAGGAAAAAGAAAATGCAAAACAAGACCTTGATTTTTGGAAGTTTTATGATCACTCTTTAATGGATTTTCAGCAATAGTATTAAGTAACGATTCTTTTTTTTCCAGAAAAGCGAAGTGTGACGATTTTTTCCTTGCACTACATTCTAACATAACACGCTGAAAGGAAACCATTGAAAGAAATATCAGTGTATAGAAATATCTAGCTTGAGTAACTCCATGTTAGCTGGAGTTACTCAAGCTAAGAAATATCAGTGTTGCAGATATAACTCCGATCCCAATTGTTATCCTAGTACAACCAGATTTAATCTTTCAAATATTTACCAAAATTATGTCGATACTGACCTTGCCCGAATGCCAAGTACTTGGAGCTGGTTACAGGCCTGGCAGACTGCAACGGTGTTCGTCTCTGGTACTCCCAGTTGAATGTGTGTCTTGTCCAGAATGCATGTCTGATGTTGCTCCCTCGTCCCTCTCCGGGGTATGCGCGCCGACGGACGGTACACTTGCCACCAAGTAATCTAACCTTCGGGTATACCGCTGATATACACGCGCAATACACTTGAATCAGATTCTTGTAGTTTCACAAGAATAAAAAAAACCAGCTAAATGTGTTGACCTTTGCACCGCTAGCAATGTGTCTGGCCTTGGCTCGGGCCATGACCTTCGTGAATTGGATTTTTGTTGACAGACATTAAAGGGGAGTTTCTGAAGTCTGAGTTAATTAAAGGCCTTTATTTTATTGCAGACAATTGGTTTCACTCAGTTAAGGCACTCGAATATCAACTGCCTGGAAACATGAAACAAGAGGCATTTTGACATTCAATATTTACATCCTTTGAACAAAAGATTTACATTCAAGGCATATACATTTTGTTTCGTTTGAAATAAAACGAGCATGACGAGTTTCACAGATCCAAATGCCAAAATGTAACAACTTTTCACCGCGTATTTGAAATCGTTCCTTTTATCAAGTTTAAGACAGGGAAGTGATGCTTGTAATCATCTGGTGGCGCAGTTAACTCAGAGTGCCACATATGGAACTGTTGTATAGCGCCCTCTTCAGTTTCACAAATCCGTGGAGGGAAGAGGATATGAGTAGAATATTAACATCGATTTAATATTAAAGGCTTCCTCACTTCTCTGGTCTCATAATAAAAACCAGGATATTGTTTGGGGGGAGGAGGTTCAGCCAGTGTTCAGACCAAGACAATCATGTCAGCAATCAGTAGTCAGAATCTCAGCAACAGCGAAGGATGTACTCTATCCGCCGAGAAATCAGCGAACCTTGGTCAGCATTTGGCCCTCTCAAATCACAGCCTGGGCTTTGATCTCAAACAGTTACAACCTGGAGGGTCCTTATCAACAAGATCGATTTGTCAAAAAAGATGACAGATGAATCTCTGATGCACCTTGACGTCGGAATATGCCGCCTTCTGAGGCAAAGTCACGGTTAAGAGGAACAGACAGAATTCCTCGCTATTTAATGTTTGCCTTGATCGCCGAGGCATGATGATGATGTGGTCGGTTCGCCGCGATAACACGGACGATTTCTCCCCTGACGCGCACCGAGACGTTTCCCGAGATGTTTTCTTTCGGTACGAGAATGCGACAGTCGGTGATGGACCCCATCAAAAACCGATTGAACGGAATTGAGCAGAGTAGGGAACGAGACAAAGATAAACATACTTCTGTTTCCATTGCGTTTGTAACTCAATGCCCCCTTGCTTCCCCGCTTGAAGTCAGTTCTCTCTAAATAGATGGACTTGCACGCTGTCTATTAGTTTGGAAGCTGATCCTGGCCTCTTTTTAATTCATCGGTTAAAAATTTACTTTTGTTTTTAAAGGGGTTCTTGTTCTAAAAGATGATGGAGATATTTAAGGCTAATGTTTTTTTTTTTAATAAACCATTGATTTGAAGAGAAGCATGTTTCCTTCTGTGCCTGTGATCTGACGTTCAGTGGAACAGTTTAAAATATAGTGGACGTGGTAGTTTTCCTGACGGCTTGATCTCCTTAAACCGTCAAATGTCAGCAAACAAGCGGCCAGTTGAAAGAACCAGCCAGCCAGCCAACCAACCAACCAGACAGCTAACTGGCCAATGTACCAGACAGCAGGCCTGCCACTCAGAAAGGGGGAGGAAGTCAGCTAGCCATCCAGCCATCCAGTCATCCAGTCAGCCACCCAGCTAGGCGGCCAACCAGCCAGCCAACCAGCCACCGAGCTGGGGAGCCAGCCAACCAATCGGGGAGCCAGCCGGCCAACCAGCGCGCCCGTCAGCCGGGGAGCCAGCCAGCCAGCCGAACAGCCATGGCCAGCCAATCTGCCAACTAGCCAACCGGCCAGCCAGCCAGCAACCCGGCCAGCCGGCCAAATAGCCAGCCATCCAACCCTGCGGATGCTATTAACATTTAAACCATGTAAACCGGGGAGTCAATCATCACATGCACAACTGACCTGACTCCCATTGAATATTCAGCCCCCAGGCATCCTTCGCGAGTAAGCTATCAGTATTACAAGCAGCTCAAACGGTTTGCGGAACAAAAGTGACAGACAGCTGATTTAAGCGTCATTAATAAATTATGTATTTCCTAAATAGGCCATATAACACCTGTTTGGGGGAAAGATAATTAGATAAAATTTGATAAGATAATTGATAGACAAAAATTCTTTGTAATATATTTTTTGGGGCATTAGACCTAATGCTCATAAAACCTGTGATGTCCTTAAAGGTCAGCTGACTTGGTTCTATTATTTGTTATCACAGATTCACTATCTTGACGAAATAATTGCTTGACATTGCTATATGCGATTGTTTTTTTTAGGCCGCTGTTCCAAATTTCCGAATAGAAAATCCGAAATTAATGATGCTAGAGTGTACACTTCCACCTGCGCTAGCCATGTAGGCGGATATTACGTAAACATGAATGTAATAAACGAGGCAGCGTACACGTTTGTCGCGCTTCACGAGGACGAACTAGCCCAGGGGGAATCGCATCCAATCTACACTGTGTACAAAAAGTCATAAATCAATGATTCATGCGACGGCAGTCGTGTATCAAAGTTGAGGCGGTTGGTATACTTTTATAGCACATCTTGGTGATTTGTGATGGGAGTGCTTGCATTATGTGCCAGCTAGAAAAAAAACACCGTCACCTTGTGGAGATGTTGGGAGGTAGCTCTCCAGGGATCTTAGAGTCGATTGGTTACGGCTAGAGTGACTTCAATGATGCATGACTTGTTAATGTCTAGAACAGGTATCCTACAACCTAGTACAGCATCAACAGTCACATCTGGCAGGCATTGCTACAAGCGGATTGGATGTAGCTGAGTGTAACAAGGCCATCTTATTACAGCCATTTCAGATTCTAGCCCCTTTCTGTAGTAGTGCTTGGAGCACACTGTTCTGCTTCGTGAGTGGGAACGAGTCGATGTAAATTAAGAGGCTTGCTTGCAAACGTCACGCGGTCACACCACGACCATATGGCTCGCCGATGATGTCCCAATACTTCACGGTATTACAACAACAAAATGCGGTGTAAATATTATAATAAAATCACTCGCCATACCACTGTCACCATATATGACATGTGATTGAGACACTGCGGGGTAGTCTTCCGAGGCAGAATCTGATTGGTTGAAGCAGTTGGATGACGCAGGGTGTAAAAATCATTGCTGCTTTGGCCAAGATTCTCCTATGAGCATTTCTTGGCACAGCAAAGGTACATAACGTACTCTTTAAGCGGATACCAATTATTGGGCATCGATTGGCGTCTGGGTGAGTACATTTTATTCCTGTCTTTCATTACAAAAGTTATGGACACTTACGCTTATTTGAGTTTCGATGTGTATGCTGAATATTACATCACTAATTGGCCCCGGACGTCCGTTTTAATGGCAAATATTCGCCCATCTGAAACTTTGTCAGCCGCTGAATAAGTTTAATTAATTTTCTCATCTCTTGGTTCTGGTAATCCTATTCGTTGAAAATGTACGCCAACTCTTCATTTTTTTGTGGCAGATTTGCCCGCAAAACAGTCAAAGTTAACTACCAGCTAACATGTACAATTCTATTTATTGACTGTATAGAGTCTACGGTGTAATAGGAATCTGCGGTCGCCAGCTGAAACGATCGGCCATACGTTTAGCTTAGAATCCTGATCAGTTCGCGAAAACCAGAGAAGTTAATCAGTATGGTTTTTAGAGTGTATATAACATTCCGTGTAAGTTAGCATATTGACTCTGAACCTCAGACGCAGTTTTACGTATCAAAGATATCAGGGAAGTACCATTATCAGGATTTCTAGGTACCTTAGGTTACCTTACTTTAATTTCAACTGTTGCGTTCCCTTTTTATATTTATTTTAGTGGCCAAATTATTTGAAATAAATAAAAGATTAATGAAATTCGACAACTTATGATATATATATTTTTTTTATCAAATCGAGCATGCGAATAAGCAGCGTGCCTCCATTTCGAACAATCTGCAACTGCATATCTAGCTTAACAAACATAATTATATGCGAATTTCATTTGGACAAGACGATGTAATTAACATTTTAATCTATGTCATGTTTCAATGACAACCGAGGATAAATCTGTTTTCATTCGCACAGGAATATTCTCATGTGTACGCTAGACACAGATGCGTCATGTAAATTTGTATCCGGCTATATGGATAATTAATGTACCGTTTCATATCACAAAGATGCGAGCCACATCCGTAATACAGCTGGATCGGATCGGATAACACACTATTTACTGTGCAAAGTTAACAGATGTCGTACTTCTCTCTTTGTTTTTTACCGTCTTGCTCCCCCGTTTTTCAATTTCTTTGTTTTTAAATTGTTTTTATTAAAGAAACTGCAAACGATACCCGTCCCTTTTTGGATTGCTGAATCATACAGATTTATTTTGTTGTTCTATTTTTTTTTCTATAAAAAAACCTTAATGTAACGCGTGATATGACAGCAAAATGCAAATAAATTCAGGTTAAGCCTTTAAGGTATTGAAGACTCTGAACATGTACTTTTTGAGTATTAAAAACGAACGTCATCTGATTTCAAATTTAACGTCAATGCAAGTATCGGAGGTTTAAGTCCTGCTCGGAGGGTGATTTTCTCAACCAAGCTAAATCCGTACGATCCTTCTATAGAAAGGATTTTAAAACGTATCACGGTATAAATCTTCTCTTTTTTTGCCAAATGATTCGGCCTACTTTAGAATGAGGCCAATACCTGAAGTTAGGTCTACTTCCTTTCCGAAATGTTACCCGAAGAAGTACAGTTTAATTTTAACCCCACATGTCAAAACAGATCTGAGTTCTAGAGTAACCCATAAGGATACCTTGAAAAACTTGAAAGGAGAAATGATAAGGGGGGGGGGGGGGGTTGAAGATTACGTCCGGCTTATAACCCGTTGACGACTTGATTCTCAAGGGAGATAAACTCCCACAGCACTGCTTGTCTTCTCTTGATGATGGTTCAAGGTGGCTCTCGCCTCGGCAAACTCCGATGTCTCGTAATCTGAGTCGTAATCTGGTTTCACGGTCGCTCATGATTATCGTCTTACGGAAAAGATCATGACGCCCCGGGCACGCAACAAACAAATATTCCGGGACGAATTCCCTTATAACTTCGGTTTGGGAATAAAAGGAAGAGTGGGAATATCAAATTGCTCCCCAGCTACATCACCGTGTAGGTCCTAGGGATGTGTGCCGACTCTCAAATTGGCTCCACGTCCGAAAAGGGGTGTCGTAATTGATCAGGTTTCGAAGTACACTGTCACGAGCTAGATTTTGTGAGAAACGAACACCATATACCAAACCATGCATGTTTCAATATTGCACGAAACTGACCCGTTTGTTTCAGTGGACCGGTTTTAATTGGCGTTTGCCCTGGTTCGTTTTTGGTTTGAAAAAAAAGTTACTTCAATAAATATCAAATAAAAAGTCAATTAAATTTACATGCTGGAAAAAAATTCCCCAATCATGATCACAGATCGAAGTGTCCTTATCACTTGGACATTTTCTTGAATTTTGGTTTGTCGGTTTTTTTTATTTCTTTTTTTCTGACACTATCATTTGATTTGTCTGTTAACTTATCGGATTTAAAAGAGAAATGTCCCAACAAGGAGGGAATATTAGTGTGAAAAAAGTCTTCATGAAAACACACAAACACGGACAAGACATCGAGAATCCTTGCCTGGATAGTGTGAAGCAGCACTCCCACGCATGTAGAGTGGATTGACGCGGATTTGAACCAAAGTAGCGGAGAGTTATCCCTTAGAGCCAGCTGCACCAGACGAGAGATTTATACCCTGGCTTTACCAGGCCTCGTGAGGTCAATCGTCATATCTATATACCTGATTGTCATAATGATATCCTGACATTTTCAAAATGTTAGTTTACCCGTCAGTATTCCCTTGATGAAAGCTGCAGCTCGTATTGGTAACTGTGTCTACTTGATCCGGAACTTCGGGGAAAATAGAAACAAAAAACCAAACCAAAAGCAACATTTCATTGGTGATCGATATACCGTCAAGTATTTTGAATGGTGCCAAATCCCTAAGCATGAAGTCAGTAACATATGGGCAACATACCGGGGTATCCTGTATCTGTTTGAACCAATTGAGCTTACCTATAGAGGGCGCGATTACTTCGATTTTTCTAATGGATCCGTAGATGGCCCGAGAGAACCTGAAGTGCAATCAATGATCCAAGGAGACATTAAAACGAACACCTGACTATACAAAGCAATTTTTCTTTGCAAAAATAGAAGTTCGTTTTCACCCTGCCACGACTATTTTTTTCCCTTTATAAATTGGATTCAGTTTTCATTCAGGTGTAATCGACTTGTACAGCCTACTATTTGTGTAACACGAATACTAATCATCTGGTCTTAAAATACAACTGCAGAGTAGGCCTACGTCACGCGCGTGATTTTATACGCAATGCTAGAATTTTGCATAATACCATATGTTTGGAATTGAAAAGCAAATTTGCCGTCAAACGGGCTACGGTGGTAAGCAGGGGAGCTTTCTAAACTATCATGAGTCTCTAAATTTGAATAGTCACGAGCGAGTGCGGATGCCCTGCGGATATCGGGGGCTCAATGCCGCATTATTGTTTGATAACTACTATCGGAAGCCGGTTTGGTGTGGTTTCAGCTTCGAGTCATTTTACAGCTGCTGATCGGAAGACGGTAACGACATTCAGCCTACGGCAAAAGTTGGCTGAATTATTAACGTAAGCATTATCATTATTATTATACTGAATTATTTAGGTTCTGTTTGACATTGTGGGAAGTCTTAAGTTGTGCAATCGATGTTTGCATCACCACTCAAACTGCACAGTACCTTAATTGATGTAAATTTCGAAAGATATATCGTGTTACGTGAGCGATGTATGGTAAAGACATAACGACTCAGTTCCACACTCAACAGGTTGAATCGTCAACCCTGTCTAGGCCTATGCAGAAGGTATGGTATGGTATGTGTCGTGTTTTACCGAACCAAACTTCACGTACACTGTTAAAGGCGTTTATCTTACAAATGCATCTTAGAGGTTTAAATTAGCGCTTTCTTTTCTCCTTTTTTCTATTTTGTCGGACATTTGTTGTTCTATTTGTGATGACGCATTCTCTTGTCCATTACCTTGTCACAGAATTCCATTGATACCTAAACAGATAAGTTGCCTTCACTTTAACTGAATTGAATGCAATAGTATATGGACACAGATCTTAAACATTGCTATAGAAATTTGAAAGAACATGGAGGTTATATTACAGCTTCTACTTCATGTTGCGTCAGTAAAGTGTTGATATTATGGGAGAAATATTTACATTACTGTTTACACCATAAGGAGGCGGTCGCGTCGCCTGAAGCTGTGTGTTTGTATAACAAAATGAAAGGCCTATAAGTATTTCAAAAGCGAATACACGGTGAATACTGCAAACAGTCGGCGTATATATCCCTGCATCCATTATAGTGAGTGCATACTAACTCAATAATAGAATCTGACTCAAGCGCCGTTAGATAAGCTACTCCTCTCCTCCCTCGTCATGCCGCCAGCAAAAATACTGATTAATGAGTCAATCTTAATGGGGCTGTTTTGAATGCATAACAAATTGATTTTTCCGAGTGGCCTCTAAAAAAATATGGGCCGTTCACAATCAACTTGAAGTTGTGTTTCAGGAGGTTAAAATTATTGATTTCTTTACGGCTGTTAACTCAATTATTGTGGATGTATAAATACGGGTCTTGGGTATTTCCAGAATGGTTCTTTTGGTTAAAATTATTTGGGGGAAAATCATTTATTTAAGTCCGACCAAATATATTTTTCACCATATGGAATGAAAACCGGTTCTTGGTATTCAATAGCCTGTGTCAATAGGAAACAAGCGGTGTGTATGTTTTATAGTATTTTCCTCTTTTATGTTAATGTCAAATGTCTGGTAAATAAACATTTGTATTGATGTGGCGTGATCGGGAATTGAAAGAAATATTCATAATAATATACATTATTTTACCCTCGAATCTTTGAGTTTGGAATTATAAGCATTGCTGGACAGGCGTATACATATTTGAGATATTATCAAGCCTGTATATATGGGTTATCCCCAGACATTTACCTACCCAGATTCACGCACATCATCTAATTACGAAGCCGAGGGATTCAGATTCTTCCATCATTAATCTTCCGCTAATTCACCCCTGGTACCCAGAATGCAATGGTACACACCGACAGGAAAGCACAGCTTTATCACCCTTTGATTCCAAAGTTTGCTCACTATCAATCACAGAGGACCGAACTGTCTACGCTTCCGTGTTGTCTCATGAGATGGGGAAGACCGGCCTATAAAGTACCTGTTAGAACCTGTTTTAATTGATTGCTTTGTACAGGAGATAATTAAACAAAAACAGTGTTGACTTTCACCGGCGTGTTGCTTCAGTTTACGCCATTAGCAAAGCATAGTCGTCTTCAATGCAACTCATTATGTATGGTCGCCTCAAGCTCATGCCTCAGCCTTCATTACACACAGGAATCAACCATAACAAGCTAATGTAAATTCATTTAAAACAGTGACTTTATCACCGCAAACTCCCGAAGGATATGCTAGGTGCTGACAAGGAAGTGCAAAGGAGAAAAGAATACTGTTGTTGCATGCACGCTTCAAAGACTATGCCATTAGTCCTTGTAGATATAAAGAGGCGTTAGATTAGTCAGTCTTTTGGAGGCCAGGAGAGGTGGCGGAAACCAGATATTTTGTATTCCTCTCGTGTAACACATTGTACAGCTTGCTGCACTCATATTGTAAATTATTTTCCACTTCGTGTTAAGTTGCCGTGTGGACAAAGCCTGAATAATAGATGTAGGCTATGTATGCAAGGAGCATATGTGGCTGTATACATGTAAACCATACACATTCTCACTCTAATATCATTTTCTTGAAACACGAGACCTTGATTACGAATTCACTGTTTTTTCCCCGACATTTTGTATTAATATAAAATACTCTATAAGTTTGTATATTGTACTGAGGCCGATCTTAGTAAAAATGAATTTGTCGTCAATTGTAAAAAAAAAAACCTTTTGAACCTCAAATAATGTCCTGGGACTGTAAAGTTTTGAATGACTGAAATTGTATTCTTTATTTAAAATTCATCGAAACAGGTTTTGTTGTCAATTGGGAACAATATTATAAAACTGTGCAAATAGTATGATTTAAATATAAAATTTGAATCATAAATATCAAACAGTATTTTAACTATGAATGCTGTTTTAGTATTCTATTAAAAACAAAAGCTAAGGATTAATTCTGCAAAAAGCTGAACAAAAACAACATGCATTTTATCCGTCTAGGAATCGAGTTTGTTTTTGAAGCTGCGTTTGACATTAAGAAAAAGCCCCGTGACACCTTGGCTTTGCATTTTGAATTATACCTGTGGGGAAAGGTAAAGTTGGTTAGCATTCCCTAAATCGCGGTGCCCGTCAAACATGAAATAGACCTTCATGCTTTTCGCTTCATTCAATCCAACTGCCTCAAGCCACGATTCGCAATTTGATGCACTTTTCAGCAATTCTTGACAGCTTTTTCCTCCTTTTTTTTTCTTTTAAAGAAGCTCGACTTGTATCAAGTTGGTCAAAACATGACACAGTAATGCGACGAGTTGGTTGACAAATACTACTCACGATTTTGACGAGACTTAATAAACGAAGCAACAGATAGGACCGAGAGGTGTCATTTTAAGAGATGTCAGTAGAACAGTCTACACAACGAACAGTCTGCCGTAGCTTGACGACGATCTGTGATGGATGGAGTGGGCTCTGCCGCCATAGTTTAAATTTCCCAAGCGCGTAGAATCCCCGCACAGATCAGCTTTCTGATGTGTGGAATCAGGTTTCGGGGATTCTAATGCAATAGTACACCCGGTTATAGCCCCTCATTTATTTTAAAGCTTTTGGGAAATGATGTTTTTTTTTATTCTTGCTTATTTCAGTGAGGTTTAGGCTGAATTCCTCCATGCACTTGGAAAAAAAACGTATTGTACGGATAGAGATATGTTACGAATCGCATCGACATGCTCAGATTCGTAGAATTCGATCTGCGCTGCGCACTCGTTCTTGCTTGGTATTACTTAAACTGTATGTTATCGGCATTTACCTTCGCTGATATGGACTCACGTACAGACGGTGTATAGATTTCCCTAAAAGCCTGCAATTAATACGAAGATTTGTCTGGCTGAAATTCGGACTCGTGCTATCCATCTGGGTTTCTGCAAAGTGGCGGCGGGCCAACGATTTAATTCTATTAATTGCTGAAACGCAAGTCTTCGAAGAAACAGACTTCATGTTTGCCGGTTACTTCGGGAAAGCTTCATCGATTACTTTCCATATATCGACTGGTTACCAGATAAATAATTCCGAAAGTTGAGTCTCGAATTGGTCGTTACGAAGTCTGATTGACGAACATCCTTTTTCAACGGCTTGAAAATGCCTCACGCTACTTAAGGAGGACCACTTTTTACTTGAAACTTATTTCCCATTAGTTCCTTTGCTCTATATGCTTCATACCATGAAGACTCAAATCGGTTCAACACGTAGCTTGACTTACTTCATGGTCTCTACGACCACGTAAAGAACTTGATTGTGTATAACTGAAATTGGGGCCCTTTTACTATTCATTTTGACATGATGCCTTTAAGTAAAAAATGTTCAGACAATAAATCAAGTGAGTTTTTCTGTTAGCAGTTGTGTCATTTCATAGTTCATCTGTGGTATATACTTCGTGCTTTTCTGTTATGTCTTTCCTCGTCTGATCTATCCCGATATATCTTATAGCAATGAATTGTATTTAGTCTATTCTATTATAAAAAAAAAAAACCCACAGCAACCTATGGCATTGCGGCGGTTATACAGATTCCCGGATTCTTGGTGTTGCCATGGTAACACCGTCCGGATGGCTTTATGATAATCCCTGATTCCATCTCCTTTATCACAGATGAGAAACGAGAATTAAACAGAATGATCGAATGAAATTTCACAGTGCCATTAGACGTAATGACGAAGTATCGATTCGCCACGTGCAAGAACTCGGTGAACTGATTATACCAAATAGTTCAACCCAACTAAAAAGAAACAGCAGCTCAAACTCCTTACTTTCTGAGTGATTCCTTTAAGATGAAGGTCGTCAACCCTTCAGTCACTGTCCTGTGTCTTCACTGACTATCACATGGGAAGCTCAATCGCACTGTGGCAAAGAGGGAAATCAGTCTGCTTTCTGAGCATTTCCGAATGTCTGTCTCTGAAGGAAACTGATACACTTCCTCGCTCAACTCTGCTCTTCGTAAGTCAAAATGTTATTACCATATCAGATGGAGTCTTTATCACAGAGCAAAGAGCCCTGGGGCTTAGTCAAGCGTTGCTCTGAAGAAAAAAATGGTGAAATGTCACAGGGGTTAACGAGCAAATCGTACTCGCAGCATGATTTAAACAAAAATTTACTCACATCTGTGACGCTCAAAATTATAAAGTATTATCCATATTCGTCTTCTACTAAAGCTACGCAATAAAATATTAATTGGAATGACGAATTGTTCACATAGTGTCTCACTAAGAAAATGTTTAGGTCCTGGTAAGTATATAGCCCCACAACTATATCGTACTTTTCTCAAAATCATTGTGTTATTATGGTACAACTTTAATTTGGATGAACTATTATTTTGTTAGGTGTAGGCCTATTGTTGCTCCACGAAGTGCCGTGCATGCGAGGTGTGGATCCATCAATGACGCCGGTTACGTTTGTAACAATGTTTGGGCTTATTTCAGATTTAATTTGGTATACGTATTCAGGATTGGTACATGACCAATATTATTATCCTATTTTGTTTTATGAAAGGACTCTACAGATTTCCATCGAGTGGTCGTTTACTGTCACTTAAACTGTAATGGGAATATGACTTATTGACAATATTTTGTAGTATATCTGTGTCGCTAATATTGTGGAGCTCTGACGCGTTTCAATCAATTTTATAAAACTGTAGACATTCTATATGATTTTATAGCCTTATTCCATTGACGAGGTTTTGCATTTTGTGTTTTTAAATTAAATCGAACTTTTCACTGTTTTTTTTTCATTTTAGATATGAGAAATCAAGTTCATACAGCATTTACATCGCGAGGAACTAATTCTCACTGAGCAAATCGGTTTTAATCAAGAACGTGACATTTCCGCCACCTTCCAATAGTCACGTCTGCCATTCATGCAAATGCCTTCTTCTTCTTCTTCTTCTTGTCATCCTATTTTTTCCCCAGCGCGCTGTCCTTTTTTATGACACCTTGAAATTAGTAACAGCTCCCTATACGCTTGATTTGCCGTGACTGGCTGAGAATATACCATGCCGTGGTTGCTCCATCTAACACGATCGATGGGTCCCACTTTGGCTCAATGTTGGAACCCGTCCAAGAAAGCCCACGAGGAACATACAATGCCCCTTACCAAGGCGGGAAATAGTTTTCACACAAAATAATATCCGTTCGTCTAAACTAAGAACGGTGCATGGTTAAAACTCTCCTTCAATTCACTGCTCTTTCTTATTCACTGCGTTGAATTTCCTCAGAGGAGAAGTAACCACTAGCCTCGGGCAAACATCAAACCGCGACAAAAGCGTACAAACGTGGACGTATTTTGTTCATGTTCCGACATTCCGGCCGAGCTTTTGCCGATCACATGTAGTATTGTTTGCTACACGTTTGAATTATGCCCTGAATAACACCGACCCGTTTGAAGTGGACACAGAAATGTAGCGGTCGGCGAAAGACGATATGTTGTTTTTGAATAAAAGCTTCAAGGAATGATACAAAACATTACCACAATAGCTTCATCTTGATCTCAACAAATCCATAAATGTTGAAACTGAATAAGCACGTCTCTCAAATGTTCACACGGCTGAAAATATCTTAACAAGAAAAAAACATTGTCCATGATATTGTAACTACCAATATCAAATAACTTGTCGAGTAGTTGTACTATTTTATCTTCCTTTTCCATTACAAATATTCCCCAAAATATTTTGTCTGAAAGATTTTAAATATTTTCGTTAGGGGAAGGGTATTACATCGAAGTCTTTCAAAAATCAAACTAGAATCAATGAGCGAAGTTTATAAATAAATCGTGCGCTTCAACTTGTGATTCCTAGGTTTGATTATGAGTAGATCGTAATCGCCGAATGAACCCACTAATGGTAAACCATGCGCTTGGATCGTCTTGGGAATGCTGAATTGGTAAGCGGAGACGCTCATCCATAAATGCATCCGTGCTTGGGGATGCTTCATGGGGCATGGACTTCTCACTATTTTCCTTTAGATCTTTACATAGCTTTTATTAACAGAGGTAAAAGAGATAGGGACGTCATGTGGCTTTATTATATATATATATATTTTGTACGTATTTTTCATCAATATTGGAATTTATTTGGAAGACAGCCGATAAAAATGCCACCGACACCTCTTTCTTTGTAAATCGCACCCAAGGGGCGACTTTACACTTAAAGACATTAAAATATGTACAACCAGTTCTGAAGATTATTTTGCAATTGTGTAAACTCGAAAGCATCTTGCCCCTTGACAATATTTATATGGGTGGAAAATGAAAACAGAAATAAATCTAATCTAGTTTTGAGGTTAAACATTAACACAGGAGTTAATAAATCGTCGAAACTCCGAAGGCGAGAAGTCCATATATTACGTGTGCGCCAACGCCATAGACGTGTTTATAATGAAAGTAAAATGGTGTGGGCAGTCTAGCGTCACATCCCACACTGTGTTAGCTTATTACGATGGCACCGTGCCGCGCAGCGATGCGCATCAGGGGTTGTTCACTAATTAACTTCAGATCTATTACCGTTCACGCCTCGGTGATTTTCCCATTATCTTGAGTGAAGACCGGTTTTGTACTTAAAATATAAACTATTAAATATAATACTTATATAGCAATGGTGATACTTCCGTATTCCTTACCTTTCCAACATGTTTGGCAATACATTGATGATTTTACTTGTTATTTCAAGCAGGTTATATAATTGTTAAAAATCGGAAGACGCGCGAGATGTAGACGCATGCTACTTTATGATTTTGTTGGTATTACTATATCGAAGAAATGTATTACCGCTTTTCCTTGTTTTATCCTATGAATTTGTCGTTGACAGTTTTGCCATAACCTTCAATTACTTTTATTGTTCTATATTCCCCCATTGTCTGCATGCTTTGCAATACACATTTATTAAAATAAATATTTGGAATAAAAGACATGTGCAGTAAGTGAATGTGAGTGTAGAACGATACAAACTTATTGAGTTTTTAAACTTAAAGCCACAATATTAACGTAACATACCAGAATACAGGACGCCCCTTAAACCACGAATCCCCGCCCCTTTTCTTTTCTTCCGATTTGGCCGTATGCACAATACCATCATTGTGTATAGCCGGCCGTATACACAGTACCATCATTGTGTATATTAGTATTCGGTAGCCTAACAGCCTTCAAACGGTTTGCTTACTTGTTCGACAGACACAAAGTAGTTATTTGTGCTCTGAATAAAATTTCTTTGTCGATATTGTGATAGGTCACGGAGAATTGAACAGACATGTAAATATGCGCATCGTTGCGTATCGGACTCTGCATTGATGGAACGGGCTGTATTGACGTGCAGTGCATGTACATGTACATGTAGGCTGCACAACTAAATGGGCTATGGAAAATTGTATGCAACTTATAAAGCCCAACCATTATTGTTTGCCGTACGATTAATGGTACTGTCTGATAGGCTCTGCCAAACAAACGTTTTGGCATCGGATTTTACTGCTTCGAACTGGAACATACGGGACTAAACATACGATGGATATATAATTTGTTGGATACTGTCTTTGTTGCCGTCTACAGCTTGTGTAGCAATCCTGTGGCTGAAGCCTACGCCCTACTGTCCAAGTCACTACAAGGGTGGACTGTGGAGCAGGCTCGGTCGGTCTCTTACCCGTGTCGCGGCGCAGCCGGTGACTGGACGTGAATTATAAGCCCTTGTAAGTATTCACCTCTATCACTCGGCCCGAGCAAAGAAGGGGAAATGCGCCACTTTAATTGGTGGTTATAATGTATGGGAGTCATGACAATTTTCCTTTTTTTCTAACAACAACGAAATGTTTCTTAATCTGTAGTCCGGCCTTCATTCCATGTTCGACGGATTTGCAGTATGACTGACCATTTTCGAAGTCGAACATTGGAAAGAATGTTGAAAGACATGAATCTGGGACTGAGAAACATTTCTAAATTTGTTAGGAAATACTTTCTTGACTCTCCATAGACTTTGTACACAACTGCTGAAGTGGCGTCTGGATACTATACATTATTTCCCAGAAATTTCCTGACAACATTGTTTAGACTGTTTCTTAGTTCAAAATTTACGTTGTTTCCAACATATTTTGCAATGACTAGCAATGTTGAAGTTAAATGTGCAAATCAGTGATGTCAGGCATGATACAATGCACATGTATTTTAAGATATGATAAAGGGTAATTAAGGATAGTCCAGGGTGCATTGCGCATTATGAATTGTGTATCAACGTAAATGATCTAGCATCAGCAATGGTATCATGTTTTTGATTGGTTCTTAATGTGTTTTTAACTTATCTTTCATCAGTCTCTATACAGTTTAAAATGTTGTAAGATAATTTTGTGTTCTAATCAATGGAAAGGGGGTCAATGCAGCGATAGGGGCGGGGGTGATCTGTTGGTTACTCGGTTATAATTTCTTTGTTGGTTTGGTTACACTTGAATGGTTTTAAGGTTTTAAGGCCTTTTATTTATTTTTGACGGTTTATCTTAAAATATTTAATACATTTTTTTCGCTGTAAAATTGTATGTGTAAATATAGTTTAATCATTACAACTGTAGTTTTTGGTGTTCTGTTTTGGAGCTTTCATCAATGTTTAGACATGTAAATTTTCCATTTTTATCTTTTTAAATGGACAATAAATGAATTGAATTGAATTGAATTGAATGAGAACCAGATAAAAGACACGGCACATCTGAATAGACACATTTGGTTCTAAAACTTATCATAGGATAACTGGTTATAAATATAATCCTCTTCAATTGTGGCCTCGTCCGTTTGTGACATTATTTGTCATTTAAATTCGGTCGCCATGAAAGTAAAAAAAAAGCGTAGTTACTTTACCTTCACAAATGACCAATGATATAATCTCCGAACTGAGACCGATCTAAATTAACCATCTTCATGCTTCTTGATGCAGTAACCTTTAGAAGTTAATACATTCCTCGAGATGTATTTTAAAGTGCAAATAATAATGACATCAGTGAAGAATTTGATATTAATAAATGTTGCTACAAAATCATATCACATCCCTTGTTACACCTCAACAAATATGTGTGAATTTAGTAGAGCCTACAGTAACAATGAATAACCCCTTTAATCTATTGCTGTGTAATACAATCTTATAGGGAAGGCGGGGCTATATTTATTTACTACCCATATGTTAAAGTTGAGGGTACTTCGAGTCCCGGGAACCAGTCTAAATACCCACAAATTCACATATCATTTTTGTCATTTCCCTTAAGAGAAACGAGTCTGATGACAAACCATTTTTATTTGCCTGTAGACCATACCGGCGTTTCTCAATTTATTTTCGACAGCGTGATAATTGGAAACCTCTTCAGATAAATCGATGTGCCAGAATTGTGAATGGCTGATTGTTTAGTACACCCTGTGTCTCATTAAAAAACAAAATCATTCATTTTGTTATGGGGGGGGGGGGGCTGATGAGACAATGATCATATAAATGTATGCGTCATATTTTTTAATGAAAACACGATGCTATGGAAACTAAAGTGATGTTACCCTTCAGTTTGTTCTTATACATTGAAAAAAGAGCTGGACTTAAGCAACGTTTTGAGACGTAATACGATAAATGAAAAAAAAGTTTTAATTTAAACAAGTTGTATTTCATTAATTATAGCACGTTCGAATATCTTTAATTAAAATTGCCAATAACGCTCACACACACCAGCACGTTTACAAGCAAACCAAATTACAAACAAAATACACCCCACAAAAAGCAAAGGACCAAAACACATAAACAAAATTAAAAACAACAGACGTAATAAAAAAGGGACTCGGACGTGAATCCGGCATTACCAAATCTGCTAGAATAGGAATGAGAAAATCCTTTAAATGAATGAATAATTAACAGAGGACAAACAATGCACAAAGCCTTTCCATAGCCTCTTTAATCTTAGATTTTTGAAAAAAAATCTTTAGCACAACTTTCTAATTGAAAAGGAGTACATAACATGTCACGCTAATGAATGTAGTTATCTACATAATGCACTCAGTTTTCAAGAACGAAATTGTGTTTTAAACCTTGGCATGTTGTTTGTTCCTCTGCAGCTGATTGCATCTCCGATCTAAGCAATGATGGGCTTTCACGGACCAAGTCTACTCTTCACCATCTTGGTACTGGTATCCGTTGCCTTGCCTCATGCCGCTGCAAAGTTCCCTCAAAAAGCAACGATTTTTGAACTGGAGATTATCAAGGAGAAAGCACCACATATTCTACATGACCTGTGCTGCCCAGATCGGGAAGACGTTTACGAATGCATCGAGAGAGGTTTTGATGATTGCTGTAGCTACTTACTGGGTAAGTTGCATGGAGTGCGCCATGTGGTTTCACAAGTATTTCCATTCAGGTGGGGATATTTAGAATGGTGGCTGTGTCTAGGTTGGGGAATTGTTTCTTCCATATGGGGGAGCTACAGTTTGATATACACCATCCTTATAGGCCATCAGGCTCGGTCAAAAAGTTTGGCCACCGGTATCAAATGAGGGGAATAATCGTCATAGCGATTTTTGGCAAGGTATACACCTCCAGAGTTGGAAAATATGTGATAGCATTGCAGCAGTGACAGCTTTTTGGGTGTTATCACCCTTTTTTTTTCAAATTGTCCATCAAAATGCTTGTTACCACTCTAGGGGCGGTATACCTTGCGCATGTGCACTATAATCGTTCATGCCCTGACTTAATACTGGCCAAACCCCCAGGCTGAGAATTAGATGTGAGTTAGACCGTTGCGGGCGTCGCAAAATAGTTGTGTTAACCGCTTTCGAGAAAATAAAAAGGGCAGAGCGTGAAGCAACTTTTGGAGTTTGTCAATGGTAGGGCTGATTTGACCATTTTTAGACCAGGGCCCAATATTACGGAACACCATTCTGCCTTTACAGCGCAGTTGGAGCGCAATTCGTAATTCAGGTATATTCAATTATGTACGCCTGCAAAACGAGCTGATATAACACCTTGCTCACTAATGCACTTTAACCATCAACATGAACTTTTCTGTTGTTGTAAGCAAAATTTCTTCGCTTGCGCTTAGCAGCGCAACGAAATTAGGCCTAAAAGTCAATATTTTGCGCTTACCATAACTGGTATTATTCTTTGAACGAACGCTTCATGATTATGAATAAGTTATAGAATGCGTAACTGCGGGACGTTTACATAGGCTATACATAAAAAGAACACATCAAAATCTAAGGTATTTTGTTCAGCAAGGAATTTGGCAAGACGTTTGTCTGGTTGCGATCGTTGCTGGTAACATTTCATTTTACTCCACGTGTCGTCTCATGCTTTGTCGTGCTTTGTTTATTCCCCAAGGCGAGAAGATTACCAACGAGGGCATCGCCACCGCTTGGTTAAAGAAACTCAACTTTCTGTCGATAGAGACGGCATGGGCTGGATCCAATTTCAACTGGAACTTCCAAACCAACATGACAGCTTATAACTCTTGGGTAAATATTCAAACACCAACGATTAGATTCCTGAAGTCTTCTCAAGTCATTATTACCCTGTGCCCACCCTGTGCCCACCCTGTGCCCACCCTGTGCCCACCCTGTGCCCACCCTGTGCCCACCCTGTGCCCACCCTGTGCCCACCCTGTGCCCACCCTGTGCCCACCCTGTGCCCACCCTGTGCCCACCCTGTGCCCACCTAACCCCCTCGGTCCGCCTTTACTACGGGTGTCATGGCTCACATCGTATTTGAACTCTGAATTAACTAATTGCTTTTATCGAACTTCTGTTCCTACCATCCAATTTGTGTTTGTTCCCTGCCGCAGTTTGCCAAGAACGCCTCGATGCTTATCGGTGATTTCTCCCTAGAGATGAAGAATCAAGCTCGTCGGTTCGATACCTCCAGATTTCAAAGTTCTTCCATTAAGCGCATGTTTATGCTGCTATTAAGAGGTGGCTACTTAAACGACAGAGAAAAACGCGAGTAAGTATAGGTGCTAGTCTAGAAACACTAAGTAAATGTCACTGCCAAGTCAATTCGTTGTAAACTGAATTGAATTAAATTTATTAAAATGTAAATGAAGTCACCACAATTGTCAATTCATCTTTTGATTTAATAGAAGTTTGATTCACATTCTTCAATGAAAATGTCATGAGTCCAGGCAACAGGTGCGGAAATAGTACTCCAACGTACTTGGAAAAATAATATAAATATTGAAATTAAAAAAATATATATTTATTAGGCCTATAAATAGTCTCATACAAAGAAGGGAAAAGATACCATTCACTCAAAGAAGTTCTTGAAAAATATTGCAATAGTAATCCCCCGAAAACAGTACCCTTGCTACGTCATGATGCACCCATCAAATCAATCAATTTGGAGAGTTTGTTGATCAGGTGTGCCATCAATTAGTGTACTTCATGTAATGGATGGCTTGCCTGGTCGACAAACAGAAAAGACTCAAATGAAAGGTTGGAAATGAACTATTAATGTTCTCTCTGGAAATAAATACAGAAAATTAACCAAGGTTTCCAACGAGATGGAGAACATTTACGGCAAAGGCACGGTGTGTCGGGAGAGCGGCGAATGCTTGGCTTTGGAGCCTGATTTGGAGGATCTGATAGCGACTAAACGAGACTACGATGAGCTACTCTGGGCTTGGAAGGGATGGAGGGATGAGGTGGGCCGAAAGGTCCGTCCATTATACCCGCAATGGGTGGAGTTGAAGAATGAGGGAGCCAGAACCAACTGTGAGTATAAACAGTAATAAACCTTTGATTACAAAACAAAATATTTTCTAGTCGAAGTGGAAAAAGATAATTGTTAAATTAATGCACTGCATATAACTTTCCAATTTATGGGCTTAGAGGGTTTTGTGATGCAGGCAAGCGGCTATTTTTTAAACTCGCGTCCATATACGTTGCACAGTACTTCGTGCAGTGTTCGCCGTTTTTCTTGATTTCAGTTATCCCAGACAAACATTCAATATGCGGTTAGCTAAAACGATTGGTGTTCAGGCTTTACGTGTTTATATTTCAGTTGTCATTTCAGGAAAGGAAAATATCGACCGAATTTGTTTCCATGTGTTTAGTTATACTGATCGGGTAGCGACAACGTATTTAGTAATGCTTTATAAGATTAATATGATCGAACTCAAAGATCAGGTAAGAAACCGATGCGACTTATTTTCACATGATTCAAGCTAGTAAACACACGCCACCGAATAATTGTTTTCTCGCAGCCTATGCCGACGAAAGCGAAGTATGGCAGGAGAGGTACGAGATGAGAGACGGGAAATTTGAAGCGATGCTCAGCCGAATCTACACGGCCGTCAAACCCATGTACGAGCAGCTTCACGCCTACGTCCGCCGTAAACTAGCCGAACATTACGGCCAGGATAAAGTGGATACTGACAACGGCATGATACCGGCTCATCTACTCGGTGAGTTATGCGTATTACACGGGGATTAATGTGCTAACATTAGCCTTCAACAATTCATTATCTGCGCGCGGTAAATGTCACTTTACGACGTGATATATACAGGACGATCGGTCAAATGACGACCACGATGATCTTTTCAGCAGACTGATTATGCGTGCGTGCTCCAAGCAGTGTATCTTAATGATGTTGATGAGTTGCTATGGGTTTCGTCCCTTGAGTAATACAATAATGGTCTGGCATGTTCTTAGCATTTTTGGGTTGAATACAGGAAGTGAAAGACGAAAATCCACACTTGTATCATATCAAAACTTCCAGAACACAACATTTTTTTTGGGGGGGGGAGCCCTGAAAAAGTTGTGGTCCCCTAAAAAGTGGGTCCAAAAAATTACGGCGTGGGGTTCGGGGCCCGCTTAAGGGCCCCCAAAAAAATTGGATTGTAGATGCTCTGTGGTGCGATCTGAGGCAATTTCTGACCACTTTGACCAATTTTTTTTGAGGAAAAAATGGTGGTGTACGCAGTGCCTGCCTTTAGTGCGACGTCACTTAAAAAAAAAAAATGGGTTCGTTGTGGGGGGCCCGTTGCCCCCCCCCCCTTGGATCCGCCCTTGGATCATTTTCATGATCTCGTTTTTTGCGAAATCAATCGATGCCTTCAAATGGTCTTTTGCATGTGCTTTTTCATCAACCTATAGTGGTACTCTGGCCTAGTGTCAGGGTTTATGAAGATAAGGGGGATATGTTGTGTCCTTGGGCAAGACACTTAACCCTCACTTACCTGTCTCCATAACCGGGGATTAGCATGCAATGCACCTCCCATCATAAGCAGACGTGTGTTTGATTTGATTACTAATATAGTCCTGTCGTTCCCAAGGTAACATGTGGGGCCAGCAGTGGAACAACATTTACGACCTGGTCACCCCTTACCCCGACGTGCCGGACTTGGATGTGACCCAGGAGATGCGTCGTCAAGGCTACACGGTTCATAAGATGTTTAAGACGGCCGAGCGGTTCTTCACATCCCTGGGCATGGATCCCATGCCCGAGTCCTTCTGGGAGGAGTCCATGATGGAGCGACCTAAGGACAGGGAAGTGGTCTGCCACGGATCGGCACACAATTTCTTCAAGAATAGAGATGTCAGGTGAGAATGATGGAATCTGTGCGTAAGAAGGATTGCGACCTCGTGTACTTGCCCAATGTTGAGGGAAGTCGTCTTCATTGTTGCATTCGGTCTTGCCATAAAGTAAATACAATGGACCATTATCATGTTGCGGCCATTGTGCTTTTTCCCATTCAAATCAACATAACCAAAGCGAGGCTGAAAGGAAAAATAATATGCTTCCTTTAACAAAAACATTATCATTCAGTTCTGTTATTGGATAGAGGGAACATGACTGAAATGGTTGAAGCATGATAAAGATCTATAAGTGATCCACTTTCCTTATTTGATGTAAAAGAGGCTAAGCTCTATACCTCCTTCAATCCTACCAAATCCTAACGTTGGATCCTGACGGATTTGGAAGGGTTAGTGTTGGTCGCATACTTTGCTAATGAACACGCTGATTCTTATTTTAGAATCAAGATGTGCACTGAAATCACGATGGAGGATCTGTACACGGTTCATCATGAGATGGGTCATTGTGAGTACTACCTGCAGTATCACGATCAACCTGTCGTCTTCAGCTCTGGTGCCAATCCGGGCTTCCATGAGGCAGTTGGTGACACCATCGCTCTGTCGGTAGTCACCCAGGACTATCTCCACGAAATCGGTCTGCTTGATGAAGTGTCGAATAATGAAGGTGGGGTTGGAATTTGCAAGTTTTACTTTCAAGACTCATAGATACCATTTAACCAGTCTCAGAGTGATTTTCAAACGATAGTTAAGTTGTTAGTTAGATTTTTTGATCGCAAAGGTTAACCTAACATAAACAAGAAAATCACTCCCTTTCCCGTACCAAACTTCTCCGTTCTATAATCACACGTTTCATGTTAAACTACATGTATCAGAGTTCAAGTTAAGCCCTTTAACGATGCAATATGTCTGCTCGTCGCAGAGGACCATTCTGCAATCTTCCTTATACCTATTTTTCTTATTAATTGCGCACCTTTACACGTGCGTGGAAAGATGTCCAGTCAATAGACTTCAATTTTGAAGCGATAAGATATAATTTGTGCGCGTTGGAAACAGCTTTGCGTTGTCTTGTTCCGAGCGAAAACTCAGATTATTTCTAAAAAATGATGATTAAGAGCATCAGCGAAACTGTGTGGTATATCCAGGAATGGGTGTATTGTTGACATAAGTTAAGTTCCTGTATCTATAAGGGCTTTCTTGAGACCATGACTCAGGGAAATTCACACTCAAAGGGTTTTGCCCGCCAAAAAAATGTAAAATGGCAGACACATTTGGTCCGTATTCCTGTGCCTGCTTTCATCATGGTAATAATGAAGACTTATATTTCACACCAATGAATCTAATTTATTTTATGTTCAGCGGCTGATATTAACTACCTCATGAAAGTCGCCCTGAGTAAGATAGCTTTCTTGCCGTTCGGACTGATGATCGACAAGTGGCGATGGGGCGTCTTCCGAGGAGACATCAAACCTGAAGACTACAATAAAGAATGGTGGAGACTGAGGTATGCTGGTTTCCTGAGTCGTGGTAATCAATCAAGTTGTTCGTTACTTCGTTTGTACCTCACGAATTCTTTGAAACCTTCTTTCCGGGACTGATATTGACGTTTCTGTGAAAAGGGTAATCTTAGATAGTTTCTCTAGGATGACTTTTTTTTTCTTTGGGAAAAAATACTTGTTTCTGATATCAGTTTTCACGTGGAAATGAAAAAGACGTGGTCACTCAAAGTCTATCAATTGCTGATCGTCGAATCAATGATAAAAATAAAAGTGATTATTTTTTTCGTTAAATAGTTATGACAAATCGATAAAGCAATACAATGTACATCACTTAAGGAACCATACTATCTTAATGAAGAGTCAAAGGTCGTCGGTCTGATTTAATGAAATGAACCGGTGATGATAAAGGAGAGCTTTCTGTATTTTACTTTGTCAGAGCGGGGTACCAAGGCCTGAAGCCACCTATCGAACGGACCGAAGAAGACTTTGATCCCGGTGCAAAATATCATATACCCTCAGGAACTCCCTATATACGGTAAGTTACAGGACAAATCCTAGCTGGAAGATTGTAGTATTACTTTTACTTTGACGTTATAAGAAGTCTCTCTTTCAAGTAAATGCGTTTTATATCTGAAGTCATTCGTGTGGGTCAAATTTATATCTATGTGTGACCAATATTACGCTATATCTGCAGCAAGCACTGTTCAGAGAGTTTTCATGTAAAGCATTCATCGTCAAAGAAACCCTGAAATGGAGCCCGCTCACTGAATAAAAAAGGGGATTTCCTTTCAACTCGTGTACCCTGCCGGTACCATTTGAATATCAGTAATATGTTTTGATCACTGAAAACAAATACACCTCAAATTGTAAAACTTACTGGCACGGGTATTATGCCTCTTCACTTTAACTTGGAAGTTAAGTATGGTAATAAAGCATTTAATAAATTTCCTCAACAGGTACTTCGTTAGTTTCGTGATTCAGTTCCAATTTCACCGTGCGATGTGTAAAGAGGCCGGTTTTGAGGGACCGTTGCACTTATGCAATACTTACAACTCTGCGGAGGCAGGCCAGAAGCTGCGGTAAGCACATACATGAAACACTAACGTTTATTTCTTTGTTTAATTCTTATATTAACTAGATAGCCCATTCAGTGGAATCCATCGGTGTCATATCAGGCCCAGTATATAAGAAATCAAAAGAAACACCTGTCGAATACACTTATCTTTTCTTGGAATTCAGGTGTTAATGTAATTCATTATTATTGATATAATATTTTCTATTGTGTAGGGTTTTGCAAAAATTAAATGAGTGATATTATTGTTTGTGTAGTGACATGCTGTCGTTGGGAATCAGCGTTCCGTGGTGGGAGGCCCTAGAGGTATTGACGGGCTCTCAAACCATCGATCCGTCCGCTATCGAAGAATACTTCGCACCTCTCGTCAAATGGCTGGAAAAACAAAATGGCGGCAACGTGGGCTGGAACCCCAACCCTTGAAAACACATCAACAGCCCTGTGCCTGGAGTAAACAAAATGCCTGCAACAAACACACATCCTGCAGCAACTTCCGCACAGTATAGTTGCGTCTGAATGTCGTGGCTTCGGCCGGGTGTCATGTGAAATTTGGACTCCTATAAAATCTGGTCTCTTACGAAATCTGGTCTCTTATGAAATCTGGTCTCTTTTACCTCATACAGACTGTTCTTATTCCGTCTTATTGAGGCATGCACAATACAACCACGTTCAATTTGGTTGTATCGCATATTTTGTGGAGTCCACATTTCACACTACATCCGGCAGTACTACATGCATCTATGAAATTTGGACTCTTTATGAAATCTGCAGATCCCTTATATCTTATAATGGACTCTCAACCTCCGATCAGTATTCTCATTGTTCTGGTGGCTCAGCCGCCATGCAGAACACAACCACTGAGTCTGTATTTCATACACAAATGCAAATCAAGATTTGACGATGTTAGAGGGGTAACAACGAAATGGCAATTTTTTTTTTAACAAGTTTGGACATGATCATGTTTTACAGGATTATTTATTTTTTACTTTTTATTTATATCAGAATTTCATTCCCATCTTTTATTTTGATTGCATAAAAACTGCAGATACCATTTCTCCAATATACCTGTGGAATTTATTTGTCCTGTTTTTTCCCCACAGAATAGAAAATCGTCAAACCTTGATTTTCATTTGATCATTTTTCAAAATTGCACTGTTTCGTAGTTGTACGTGTAGACTGAATTGGTGCAGGGAGTCCTATCTTTATCGGTAAAAATGACTTGGGATTTTTGGGATATAGAAGTTTTGTTTAAGATTTAAAAAATAATGTAGGCCTACCCCCGAAGTGTTTCGTAACACTTCGTTCCATCTTCGGAACTTCCTCATACTTCTCTTTCTTTTTACATCCACGACACGAAAAACGAAGTCATCCTTTAAGACACTGTCACGACTTGTCCTCGTTATCGGGGTCCAAGGGAAACATTTACCCCAAACCAAAGAAAGTCTCATCAAGTAGTAGGAAGGTGTACTGCAAAGATTTATGGATGGTATGAATGGTGGTCTGTATTATAAAAAAAGATATTTATTTTTTTTTAACTCTTTAATTGATAACAAAAGGTACTCAGCAATTTCAGCTCAAGTTAACTTTATTAAATTGTTAGGAGAAAATTTCAATGATTTTTATATTTATTTTGGTTAAAAATGTATGTAGGACTATGAAGAGTATAACTCTGCTCATTCGGAAAATAAGTGTACCTCTTGAGATTTCCTCCTATCTGTGATAACGATCTTCCTTGAGTTTTGTTGTCAACGTTTTTCCTTGAAAGGGCGGATTGGATTATTAGCATTTTATTAATTAATAATACTAACCATTTTCAGAATGCTGGATGTATGGCTCTATACGTCCGGGGCTAGATTGAGTTGGATTCTATCGCATACAAAGATGTCTCACCAGACGCATCTTATTGTAAACCTACGTGAAATAACACTTTTCTAAAGTGTTGAAAACACATTATTTCACCTCGTGTATTTGTGCAAGTCGAGGTCATACTCCTTCGTGTTTTTTTTTTTTTTTAATTAAAAACGATTTGAATGAAAAACTCATTCCCGCGCTGCAGAACTTTTTTTCAGATCGTACATCTAAATTTCTGATTTTATTTTTGTATACTTATTGGTCTGGTAAACTTAACGGAAAACGCTCATTTAACTGTTGGTGTATTATTACAATTATTACCATAATTATTAGTTTTTTAGTTTTTTTCTTTTAAGTATTATTCCTTATACATTAGTTGGATGGAAAAACCTTTAAACGTGTCAACGAATATATCTAGAAGTATTCCATGAGATATTTAATCTCCCTGTCAGGACACATGTTTCATTTGTTGTGTTCTCTGAATATTATAACTTTAAGTTAGAGAACACTAACTGTGCACAATGGTTATCAATAAATCTGCAATACACTAAGGTTCTTTATTCCATCTTAAATATAGTTTCCTGTACCGATAACAACATATTTCTATATTCTATTCGAGTTGTTTAATCATATGTAAAACAATTCTACCAATGTACATCAAAAGAGGGCGCTCCTATGAATACTTCTTCGACTTCTGTACATTAACCTCCTATACCCCCCCCCCCCCAAATATTCATCATGAGTCGCAAAACGACAATTAAGTGCAGTGTGCGACCACAGAAAGCCAAAATAGCTTGATGAATGAATATATATTGAACAATAACTCCAACAATACTTGTCTTCAATCAATCACCATTCTGTCTCATCTTCTGATTAATAATATTATAGGCCCCATATTGAAGATATTCAAATTATATACATTTATTGACGGAATTGATGGGATGAACATTAGAAGATAAATGTTTTCTTCAATAATCGATTATTTTTGCCCAAATCATCGAAATTACAGCTGTCTCAATATTGAATAATACTCCCCTTCCATCAAGAGCCATTTCTGCGAAGTTTGAAGAAAACTATTTTGGGTGGCCAAATTTGATCAAAGATGTAAGGTTAACCCCTTGCAATTTTTTTCAATTTTGGCCGAAAAATGAAATTGCTCCAAACTTTCTTGAAAGATGCGTAAGGGATCCTAGAACGCATTTCGACTCGATTTGTGGAGAAAAGTGCCTTTAAAAAGAAATAATGCGTCAATATTTGGGGGCAAAATCAGTCAAAATTATTAATGTTTTCTCAAAAGATGTTTCTTTTTTTTACCCTAATCTTCGAAATTATTGCTGTCTCAATACTGAATGATGCTCCCCTTCCATTAAGAGTCATTTCTGCGAAGTTTAAAGATCAGTCATTTTGTTTGCCAAATTTGATCCAAAGTAAGGTTAACCCCTTGCAATTTTTATCAATTTTGGCCAAAAAATGAAATTGCTCCAAACTTTCTGGAAAGATGCATACGGGATCCTCAAACGCACTTCAACTCGATTTCTGGAGAAAAGTGCCTCTGAAAAGAAATTATGCGTCAATATTTGGGGGCAAAATCAGTCAAAATTATTAATGTTTTATTAAAAAATGATTCTTTTTTTTACCCTAATCTTCGAAATTATAGCTGTCTCAATACTGAATGATTCTCCCCTTTCATCAAGAGTCATTTCTGCGAAGTTTAAAAAAAAGTCATTTTTTTTGCCAAATTTGACCAAAAAGTAAGGTTAACCCCTTGCAATTTTTATCAATTTTGGCCGAAAAATGAAATTGCTCGAAACTTTCTGGAAAGATGCATAAGGGATCCTAGAACGCATTTCTACTCGATTTGTGGAGAAAAGTGCCTTTAAAAAGAATTAATGCGTCAATATTTGGGGGCAAAATCAGTCCAAATTATTAATGTTTTCTCCAAAAATGTTCCGTTTTTTACCCTAATCTTCGAAATTATTGCATCCTCAATACTGAATGATTTTCCCCTTCCATCAAGAGTCATTTCTGCGAAGTTTAAAGAAAAGTAATTTTTTTGGCCAAATTTGATCAAAAAGTAAGGTTAACCCCTTGCAATTTTTTTCAATTTTGGCCGAAAAATGAAATTGCTCGAAACTTTCTGGAAAGATGCATAAGGGTTCCAAGAACGCATTTCTACCCGATTTGTGGAGAAAGGTGCCTTTAAAAAGAATTAATGTGTCAATATTTGGGGGCAAAATCAGTCCAAATTGTTAATGTTTTCTAAAAAAATGTTCCGTTTTTTACCCTAATCTTCGAAATTATTGCTGTCTCAATACTGAATGATGCTCCCCTTCCATCAAGAGTCATTTCTGCGAAGTTTAAAGAAAAGTCATTTTTTGGGCCAAATTTGATCAAAAAGTAAGGTTAACCCCTTGCAATTTTTTTCAATTTTGGCCGAAAAATGAAATTGCTCGAAACTTTCTGGAAAGATGCATAAGGGATCCTAGAACGCATTTCTACTCGATTTGTGGAGAAAAGTGCCTTTAAAAAGAATTAATGTGTCAATATTTGGGGGCAAAATCTGTCAAAATTATTAATGTTTTCTCCAAAAATGTTCCGTTTTTTACCCTAATCTTCGAAATTATAGCTGTCTCAATACTGAATGATGCTCCCCTTCCATGAAGAGTCATTTATGCGAAGTTTAAAGAAAAGTCATTTTTTGGCCAAATTTGATCAAAAAGTAAGGTTAACCCCTTGCAATTTTTTCAATTTTGGCCGAAAAATGAAAATGCTCCAAACTTTCTAAAAAGATGCGTAAGGGATCCTAGAACGCATTTCGACTCGATTTCTGGAGAAAAGTGCCATTAAAAGGAAATAATGCGTCAATATTTGGGGGCAAAATCAGTCCAAATTATTAATGTTTTCTTCAAAAATGTTTCTTTTTTGTACCCTAATCTTCGAAATTATAGCTGTCTCAATACTGAATGATGCTCCCCTTTCATCAAGAGTCATTTCTGCGAAGTTTAAAGAAAAGTCATTTTTTTTGCCAAATTTGACCAAAAAGTAAGGTTAACCCCTTGCAATTTTTATCAATTTTGGCCGAAAAATGAAATTGCTCGAAACTTTCTGGAAAGATGCATAAGGGATCCTAGAACGCATTTCTACTCGATTTCTGGAGAAAAGTGCCTTTAAAAGGAAATAATGCGTCAATATTTGGGGGCAAAATCAGTCCAAATTATTAATGTTTTCTCCAAAAATGTTCCGTTTTTTACCCTAATCTTCGAAATTATTGCATCCTCAATACTGAATGATTTTCCCCTTCCATCAAGAGTCATTTCTGCGAAGTTTAAAGAAAAGTCATTTTTTGGCCAAATTTGATCAAAAAGTAAGGTTAACCCCTTGCAATTTTTTCAATTTTGGCCGAAAAATGAAAATGCTCCAAACTTTCTAAAAAGATGCGTAAGGGATCCTAGAACGCATTTCGACTCGATTTCTGGAGAAAAGTGCCATTAAAAGGAAATAATGCGTCAATATTTGGGGGCAAAATCAGTCCAAATTATTAATGTTTTCTCCAAAAATGTTTCTTTTTTGTACCCTAATCTTCGAAATTATAGCTGTCTCAATACTGAATGATGCTCCCCTTCCATTAAGAGTCATTTCTGCGAAGTTTAAAGAAAAGTCATTTTTTTGGCCAAATTTGATCAAAAAGTAAGGTTAACCCCTTGCAATTTTTTTCAATTTTGGCCAAAAAATGAAAATGCTCCAAACTTTCTAAAAAGATGCGTAAGGGATCCTAGGACGCATTTCGACTCGATTTCTGGAGAAAAGTGCCTTTAAAAGGAAATTATGCGTCAATATTTGGGGGCAAAATCAGTCCAAATTATTAATGTTTTCTCAAAAGATGTTTCTTTTTTTTACCCTAATCTTCGAAATTATAGCTGTCTCAATACTGAATGATGCTCCCCTTCCATCAAGAGTCATTTCTGGGAAGTTTAAAGAAAAGTTATTTTCTGGCCAAATTTGATCAAAAAGTAAGGTTAACCCCTTGCAATTTTTTTCAATTTTGGCCGAAAAATGAAATTGCTCGAAACTTTCTGGAAAGATGCATAAGGGATCCTAGAACGCATTTCGACTCGATTTCTGGAGAAAAGTGCCTTTAAAAAGAATTAATGTGTCAATATTTGGGTTAAAATCAGTCCAAATTATTAATGTTTTCTCCAAAAATGTTCCGTTTTTTACCCTAATCTTCGAAATTATAGCTGTCTCAATACTGAATGATGCTCCCCTTCCATCAAGAGTCATTTCTGCGAAGTTTAAAGAAAAGTCATTTTTTGGCCAAATTTGATCAAAAAGTAAGGTTAACCCCTTGCAATTTTTTTCAATTTTGGCCAAAAAATGAAAATGCTCCAAACTTTCTAAAAGGATGTGTAAGGGATCCTAGAACGCATTTCGACTCGATTTCTGGAGAAAAGTGCCATTAAAAGAAAATAATGCGTCAATATTTGGGGGCAAAATCTGTCCAAATTATTAATGTTTTCTCAAAAGATGTTTCTTTTTTTTACCCTAATCTTCGAAATTATTGCTGTCTCAATACTGAATGATTCTCCCCTTCCATTAAGAGTCATTTCTGCGAAGTTTAAAGAAAAGTCATTTTTTTGGCCAAATTTGATCAAAAAGTAAGGTTAACCCCTTGCAATTTTTTTCAATTTTGGCCGAAAAATGAAATTGCTCGAAACTTTCTGGAAAGATGCATAAGGGATCCTAGAACGCATTTCGACTCGATTTCTGGAGAAAAGTGCCTTTAAAAAGAATTAATGTGTCAATATTTGGGGGCAAAATCAGTCCAAATTATTAATGTTTTCTCCAAAAATGTTCCGTTTTTTACCCTAATCTTCGAAATTATAGCTGTCTCAATACTGAATGATGCTCCCCTTCCATCAAGAGTCATTTCTGCGAAGTTTAAAGAAAAGTCATTTTTTGGCCAAATTTGATCAAAAAGTAAGGTTAACCCCTTGCAATTTTTTTCAATTTTGGCCAAAAAATGAAAATGCTCCAAACTTTCTAAAAAGATGCGTAAGGGATCCTAGAACGCATTTCGACTCGATTTCTGGAGAAAAGTGCCATTAAAAGGAAATAATGCGTCAATATTTGGGGGCAAAATCAGTCCAAATTATTAATGTTTTCTCAAAAGATGTTTCTTTTTTTTACCCTAATCTTCGAAATTATTGCTGTCTCAATACTGAATGATGCTCCCCTTCCATTAAGAGTCATTTCTGCGAAGTTGAAAGAAAAGTCATTTTTTGGCCAAATTTGATCAAAAAGTAAGGTTAACCCCTTGCAATTTTTTTCAATTTTGGCCGAAAAATGAAATTGCTCGAAACTTTCTGGAAAGATGCATAAGGGATCCTAGAACGCATATCGACTCGATTTCTGGAGAAAAGTGCCTTTAAAAAGAATTAATGTGTCAATATTTGGGGGCAAAATCTGTCAAAATTATTAATGTTTTCTCCAAAAATGTTCCGTTTTTTACCCTAATCTTCGAAATTATAGCTGTCTCAATACTGAATGATGCTCCCCTTCCATCAAGAGTCATTTATGCGAAGTTTAAAGAAAAGTCATTTTTTGGCCAAATTTGATCAAAAAGTAAGGTTAACCCCTTGCAATTTTTTCAATTTTGGCCGAAAAATGAAAATGCTCCAAACTTTCTAAAAAGATGCGTAAGGGATCCTAGAACGCATTTCG